TAACATTAAAAATGAAACATTTAATAAGGAAAATAATACGAGAAAACTACGATCGCACGAAGCTACGATATCTTGGATATTTCGCGAGTGTCATGCAACGGATGAATCCGAAATGGCAGAGGAGATTCATAAATAATACTTAGAAGACTTTATGTCAATCACGTCCAAAAAAGTTCTCTTATAAATTTAAATTAATTAAGTCAAAAGGCTGTGAGCCAAGCTGGGTTTTAATGCTCGTTTTCCAAATACGATTACAAATTAGTCATATAAATTTTAATATATAACGTGATGAAAGACAATAAACGTTAATAAGAGTCGAATTAATAGCGATAGATTTAAAACTTAGCTTGGCTTATATATTGTTCTTTGACTTCATTAATTTGAATTTTAATTAATCAATTGAAACCTTTGTTATTTTCTTAAATTTTCTCTTACAATTAATATAAAATTTTTAGCAAATAGATATCAAATTAATAAATTTATTAATAAATATTACCAAAATCATATGTATAAGTGATAATATTATACTATAATTAAATTAAACGTATTGCGTTTATCAAATAATTCTCTCTCTCTCTTTCTCTAGCTCTTTCTCTCTCAGTTTTTCTCTTTCTATTTATAATTATGTACTTCTTATAAACTATACTGCATTATTAATTAACAAAATTATATTAATATATAACATATATTAAAATCGAAATTAAAAAAAATCGTTTTTTCAGATAGCTTCAAAATAGAGTATATTCTTTGAATATCATATACGCATTCTTATATTTATAATTATTGTGTTTAAAAATGAATGTTAAAAATTAAAAATCTGATCTGCTAAGAAAAGCTTACTTGTAATTTTCTTGAACAGAAGCGTTTTCAATTTACTTGACTTATATATATATATATATATGTTATATTTATATACATACATATATAGTGTTAGAAACTATAAGGAATAGTGAGAACATACAGAATATGACGACTAACTTTTTTTAGAAAAGAAAAATTAGGAATCTCTTATACCGGCCGTACGCGACTTGCCACCTGATGACATTTGCACATAACACTACAGTCTACACATGTGTGCGTGAAACACGTGCCACACGTGGTATTGAACGTCACATATACCAACATATTGACATATACATATGTGACTCACGAGAGTCACGAGTACCGAGTATGCATCTTACAATAAGATTGCATAGACTTGTTTTTTTAACAATGCTTTTGATATTTTAATAAAGTGAATGCAATACAAGTAAGGTGTAATATTAGGTGTATTATTGTCTGTATCTTATATTATTTTGACATCTATCGTGAACAAAAAACAAGAATATAATAACCTTGTGTTTTTTAATAATCGCAAATAAATCTTTTTGTAACGCATCTGTGTGCATTAACGATACGCAATTTTGTTAACTCAATAAATATTAACCATTTATCAAGAGTTATGTCAACGTAAACACTTATATGGTAACATAACCATATTTTTATTTTTTTACATTTTTCAGAAGGCTGAGGAATATTCCCAAGTCGAAAGAAAACAAGATACCCGGTGATTAGATAACACTATCAATAGCTGAATATATACGTAATTCACACACGATTCTCAGCAGTACTCTACAAGCAATACTACTTCAAGCCGGTAGTCCCTTCACTAGTGTATTGATTTTCAAGATGAATCGAAACGTGGAACCTCTGGATCCGTCCAAAATGAACATTACATCAAGAACGTTGCATCAACCGCCTATGGACGAGTTAATGAATGGTACTTATAAAGTATTGTGGACCTGCAGTAGGAAACCGCAGCTGGTAGTAACATAAATTGATTTGATTGTAGTCCTAGCAGAGGGATTGACTGCGAACTTTGCAGAGGCCACCGTCGAGATGGCTGATTGTCCTAATTTCAGTGGATGGCCTTATAATTTTTATCGGGAAGGTATAAAAAAAACACAGAACACAAGGCTCTTGGTCTTTCTTCGAATCTCACACCTTTGACGATCCTTTCAGGCTTGTGTGGTAATCCGATTATTTTTGAGGTTGGTGGTCCAGCGTATCTCCTGCCAACTGTTCAGAGAGACAAGTTCTACGATGTCAAGTCGTTGCTGCGACACATAAATTATAATTACGACTGTCTCGTCGTTGGCGCAGGAGCTGGTCCGTGGCCACATACGGGACGCAATTGCGAGGTGTGTATTACGAGTAAATCACCGCGATGGAATTAATAATCTCTTCTGATTTGAAGGAAAGAGGAAGTGAACATTTATTTATTATTTTAGCTCATTATGAAGTTAAACATAGTGAACGACAAGGTCTCGCCAGGGTATAGACTTGGCATGGGGGTGGCGAATGGAACGCATTACGCTTTTGTCAATAAGTCCAACGGAGAGTGCATACTCCAACGAGTAGTCGCTAATGAGGATGAAACGACCTTCGCGTTGTTGGGCAATTTGTACGCGTGCGAGGGCAAACCGGGGAAAGTTATAAAGGTACGCGCTAAAAAACGTACCGGCAAGCAGGACTTCATATCGTGCATGCAGAAAGCGTTGGAAAAACATTACGGGGATAAGCTCGTAGGTAGGTCTTGTCATAAACCTTTGTCTCATTACGAAGTTAAACAACTGAGTACTCGGTTGACCGTCGAATATCTGTAAACTTAGGTTTGGGTGGCATGTTCGAGATGAAGAACGGAAAAGTGAAGCAACATATTATGCCAGATTTTTCGGACACTCCGTTGACCAGCGAGGCCCAGCTTAACAACTGGTTACGTTTCTACGACATGGAGACACCTCTGATAGCTGTCGGCACATTTGTCAGCGCCGAAACAGTAAGCTTTAAAGAGATTCAATATGACAAGAAAAAGAATCAAACTTCAAACACGTGTCCGAAAGGAACAGTCTATAAATTTATTCTGTACAGTATTTATTTCTCTCTTATACTGAATTAAAGTACTCTTTGCGCCTGTCTTTCAGGATTTGGATCTCAGGGTTCAACATTTCCATAGCGCTTTCGAAGAAAACAAACTGGGTGGACATTATCACATCGATACAACGCCGGATACGATTGAGTACGAGGGCTACTTCAATGTGGCAGCTACGATTTATCGTGTCGATCAACCGCCTAATAAACTACGCTTTGGAAAAGATTAATCTTTATATGTACATCAGATTGTTACAGCAAGTTGAATTTTACCAAAATTACCTTCGTGGCAATTGCCATGATAAACAAAAAAGTGACATGTTGACAATATATTTTATTAGCATTTATACGAATTTACTTAGAAATTCCATTTTATAATTGTTCCAGTTAATATATTTTATATATATGATTTTATGAGAAATAAATATATTTTATATGCTTGATTTTATGAGGAATAAATATATTTGTGTAAGGAAACGAGCCTAATGACATCCGCTTTTTTTCGAAAGTCTCTTCTTAAGATTGAATTACGTAAATCTCGATACAAAATTCCGTTAGCGTACAAATTAAAAATTTATTTGTGTTACGAAATACTGTTCCGTTAATACCGACTCGATTGCTTTACAGCGTATATCAATAGCGCTCATTAATTATACAACGTTATTTCTTATAAAAAAATCGAATTGAAAAATCCTGAATTATTTTTTTTCTACAATATACAATAAAATAATCACTACCGCGGTAATTACAGCTTTACAAAAAATAATCCTATATAATTAATAGGCGCTATTTAAGAGACACCCTGTATTGTCTTATACGTGTATGTTTACATTATTATTATTTTTTATTTACTGTTTTGAAGAGAAATTGCGCTCCTGTTAGAGTGCTTTGTGCGATTATTCACGTCTGTACAGTTTAAGGAGAATCACCTCAGCTAACTGCGATAATATAATAACGGGATCTTAAGCAGATTATAATTATATCAATCGCTTCACAGCGTATTTAGTGACGGTTTATTGCATTATATACATCGGTGAGTGATATATTATGTATTTAAGTGTGACTCGTTTCCTTCGTCGTTAGAATACGCGAAATGCTGTTCATAAATTTCATATTGAAAACTGTAGAGATGTATGTACGTCGATAAGACAGGTATATTATTTTCAAATTTTTCAATAGATTGGGTAGCAAAATTGTGTAAAGAGTTTATACATCTATAAAAGTTAAAGAAAATGTATCTGTTCGAAAAAGATATGTTCGCCAAAGATTTGTTCTCCATAAAAATATAAGTTTTTCTTTTATGGCAATATTATTGAAAATTCACGAATTGCACGAATTTAATAAAGATTTAAAGCTGCTGGTAAATAATCGTTATAATTGACTTATATTTATAATCTTTTTGTTCAGCTCCGCATAAGGAATGAAACAACTTGGGACTACGACAGATTCGACCGCATACTATATGTATAACATGAAAATTTATTGCATACATATTTTATGAAATTATAATTAATGTTCTTATGCAGTATTACATTGTTCTAAACAATAATACAATAAAAACATAATTATAATTTATTGGTTCCTCAATTTCGTTCTTTCAATTTCGCAATTTACATTTCGACTTTTGTTCTACATATTTTTGGTACATATATAATAATTTCCTACTTTTTATACAAATTATATACTATGGACAGTAAATTTCCGGCCGATCAAATACACCTGTTTATCCCAGAAGGAGCTAAATTAGCCGCAGGTATATACATAATACTTGTAATTTATTTTGAAGAGTAATCATATTTCCTGTACATATATATAATTTTTTCTGTGATAATAGTTTTGCAAAACGAGTTGAGTACAGATTTTGAAGAAGTCACAGTCGAATGGGTGGATTGTCCCGATTTGACTGAAGAACCTTTCAACCTTGCAACACCGGGTGAGATACTCATTGTGTGCCTGTAATATTTTTTGTCCCTGCTTTGATATTAAAATACAATATACACTTATAGGACTGTGCGGTGATACAGCGATTTTTGATGTCGGTGGTGTCTCGAATCTTTTTCCATTTCCGCAAGAAAACAAAATATATTTTTTCAAAGATATGGTACGAACTTTTAATCGCCTGCGAAGAGTGCGAAGCACCCTGCCAAATGATACTTTAATCATCGGAGGAGGTCTTACAAAAGTATCGGAAGAAAAGTTATTAGGCGAAGTATGTATTATTTACATTTCCATGAGACATTAAATACATCAATTTTTGTGTTTTTTTTCATTTACTTATATTTTAGTTTTATTTTCATTGAATTAGCGTTCTTTAATTTTGTTTTCGCTTTAAATTTACTGTTTAATTTTATTATTTTATTTTCATTTCTCGTGAATATTATATATGGTTTTACAGCTTATTATAAATGCGTCTTTTGACGAGAGAACGGCAGTCATCAAGAATAAAAGTCGCTTCGCATTTCTAAAAACGTTGGAACAAAGCAAAAATCAAAAGTGTAAATTGATACCATTAATTGATAATACTAATCCCAAGTGCCATATGTATGGCAACTTCTTTTTCAACAACGGCCTGAGAGAACAAGTTCTTAAAATACAGGCCAAGAATCGCGTCAGTCGCGATTTTACAGTAGCATTGCAGCGGGCAATTAGTCGATTTGCTAGTGACGGAGATCTCATGGGTAAGGAGTAAACTATTTATGAACTACTTATGAAACTATAAGAAATCCAGAAAGAAACTAAGAAGCAGTAATTTAGAAAATTTCCAAAAAATCAAAACGCATAATTATGCATTAAATGTTAACATCCCTATCTAAAACATTTTTTTACTTTTGGTGCAATTATATAGTTGTTGAAAAAAAAAAATGAAAAGATACCATCAATTAGTTACAAGGAATTGTTTCAATATCTAATTATCCTTTTAAAAAATGCATAGAAAAACGTGTTTCTTTTGTATTCATACACTTCCTCTCATTCTCTTATTTTCGAAAGATCATTAAAATTAAAAGAAGATTTTGAACAGTTCCGTACACTTGTCCATACTCTTTCCTTTATTCATCGCTTGTCAGGAAAAATGCAACAAAGAGGCATATTTAATTTAATTAATTAAATTTGTCACTGAATAACAAGGCAGATGAACGAATTTTCTGATCTCGCAGGTCTCGGCGGTACATTTGTAGTGAAAAACGGAAAAACGAAACATCATATCATACAAAATGATTGGAAGGGTCCGATAAGAAAAAGTACAGAAATTCGTAAATGCGTTCAATTCTGCGAAATGCCAACGCCTGTGGTGGCATTTGCCACGTTTCTTAGCGCAGACAGATATTATTACAGTAAATTTCCGCCAAAGGTAACATCGATGTCTAAACTTCAAAATTGATATACATCGTGAATTATTCAAAAATGATAAATTCGAAAATGCTTTGCAGATAAATTTTCTTACCCGATGGCACGCTCATTCTTACTCTGCTTTCGGCGGCGGGCACTATCATGAAACCAAACAGAATTCCGAAGATAATAATGTCGAATATCTGGGATATTTTTCTATAGCGACGAAACTTTATCGTATTGATCCCGTACCTATGTTTAATGAAATGCCCAACTTTTCTTATTTATAAAGAAATTATAAATAGACGCTTCAACATGGCGTTAGATCATTTGTCTCATATATTATATTTCAGATATAATGACATTACTAATATGTATAAGTATTCAATCTTTTTTGCCATTTTTTTAAATATCTCTTTTTATTTTTATTTTTTATTACTTCTTTTAATCCTTGCATTTTCAATGTTTTTTTTAAGTATCAGCAAATTTCTATTTTTACTGATACATCTCTATTATGATTAATCTACATTTTTACTTCTTATTACGAATAGAAGATGCAATGCATTTAAGTTAAAAATTTCTCATTCCCTTATAATTTCTCTTTAAGAATCTCTTTAGAAATAAAAATACTCATAGCCAGGTATACTATTAGAATTTCAGCGAATACGTAAAAATATTTACTGAGGAGCTAAGTAGAGAGAAATTATAATTCAAAATATTCGAAAAGGTAAAATATAATCAAGAATAAGCATAGAAAGACATAAATATATAGAAATAAATGCATGAATAACATTTTTATATAATTGCATGTATGTACGTATGTATAGTATAATGAACTAAATGTTATGTTATTTATAATTACTTAATTGTAAATAACATAATATAACATTTAGTACTTATACTATATAAGTACTACAGATATTTATCTGCATGAGTTACGAATAGATATATTATTTGCAGAAATATTATCTTCTATATTATGCGATATTAAACTTGTAATATTAGGTAATATTGAATTCAGATGAATATTAGTAATTAACTCTATAATTCAGGTATAATTAAATACACTAATTGTAAGTAAAAGCAAATTAACTTTATCAATAAATTTCGCACATTGACCAAGAATTACAGTTTTATATTTGTTTTGCTAATTTCCTGTCATGTTTTGAAAAATCAAGTTCTTATTAAAATATTTTATTATTAACGTTTATACGATTTTAAAAGAAACTATTTCATTAGTTATATTAATAATATTCAGAACCTAATCAGATTACAATTATAAATAATTTGCAGCGTATTAATTAAATTATTTAAAAGGTTGACAGCAATATATTATATATTTAGATATTTTTCGAATATCTTTTAGAAAAGTCTTAAAGAGATATCTTTCAAATATCATTAAGACCTCGATATTTTCTGGATATCTATTATGATTATTTTACATTTTTACATTTTAATAAGAGATATAACATTTTTAATTATTATACCTACGTAATAAATTGATTTTAATCACCAATAAAGCAAATGTTAACAGGCGAAATGTTTAATAAACGAAACATATATGTTTATCCGTACCGAAAAAATTGATGTTTAATTCGATGACTTCGGCAGATCGCGATGACTTAAATTTGTTGTTTGAATACCTTTAGACATCCCATTATTAATTGATCGTTCGCGACAGCTCTCTTCTGTCCCAAAAAGTGTCCTCTTAATTTTCATCAGTGTGTATCGGCAAGTCTCCTCACGGTCATCGCTCCACTCGCCCGAATCTTCCTAACGTCATTAATCCGCAATAATCCGTCGGTCGTCTAAGTTATGCTAATTGCGAACGGACGGAGTCGCAGATGCGTCAACGGGCGGACGATGACAGTACGGGTCGGGGCTAAGTGCCGGTCATCTGCCGATCATATCTCTTCGCGTACATTCTCGCCTCGGTGATATCGGTACACGTATCGCGATGAAGTTCAGCATAGAGTCCACGGCTTCTTACAACAGCATCCACCCGGCTTATCACTATACTGAGCAGTTCGCCAACAATGGCGAGACCTATCGGGACGGCACCAAGTGGTACGGGGTGTTCCTGGCGTTTCTTTCAGGCACCTTCTTCACCATCAGCTCCGCCCTGGTCAAAGCGATCCGCAACGTAGACCCCATGATTCTGCTGGCCATCCGCGCCCTAGTGCAGATCCTGATGATGGCCATTGTGGCTTGTAGAGCGTCCAGCAATCTCTTCGGCCCCTCCGGCCAAAGAATACTCATACATTTTCAGGTAAAACTAGCTAGTCCGCCGCATTTTTAATCAAGCACGAGATATCGATCGTCCGCGAAAACAATGATCTCCATAAACTTTCAACATTTTTGATTTTGTGATATAATTGATACTTAATCGCCAATTTAATTTCGTGACAGAAATGTCGGTCACTCTGTGACGAAGTCGCTCTCTTCTCATCTGATTGTGCATATGTAAATGATTACACGCTTATTCGCAAGTTTTTCTACGACGCGTATCATATATTAATTGCACTAACAATAAGCCAGAAAAGATCGGCGATGAATATTATTCATTCGTAACATCTGCGTCCGCATGCGTTAATGGAGCTTAGCTCCCCCCCCCCCCAGAAAAAATAAGAGATGTAAAGACAATAAACTCATATTATGCAATATAGTACACGTACTTTTTTATGTACTATACTATCGCACATCGATATACTGCAATAATATTTGAAACTTAATGAAACAACGCTAAACTATAATAAACATCTGCTTAATAATATCTGCTTAATAATAATATAATAACTGCATAAATAATATATTTCTTTTTGCCCTGACATTTTAAAGTTATTCTATTATATCAATATATAATACATTTAAAAAAATTTTTAAATTAAAAATTTTTAAATTTCATAATTAAGAAACAAGAAATATTCGTTTTCATAAAGAGAAACTCTGCTTCTTCGTTCAATCTACTATATGTCGATTTACATTTTTCTTTTTTTTTCCAGGGTCTAGTAGGTGGTATGACCCTGTCGTTGCTGTACTACAGCTTCCGAGAATTACCTCTAGGCGATGCCACCACGATCATATTCAGCTCACCGGTGATCGTCATCGCGCTTTCTTTCCTCTTTCTGAAGGAACCCTGCGGTGTTCTACGCATAGTGGTGGTCTGCACGCTCTTGACAGGCGTCATCCTTGTTGCCAGACCACCCTTTTTATTCCAGGTAATTGAAAGTGAAGAGAAATTAAAGAAAAATTACCTAAAGGCAGAGAGTATAATCAATGAACACAGTATTATTAATTGACGAGGATGAGGACGAGGATCCGGTAAACAAAGCTAAATTTTACTGCAGTGCAGAATCGAGAAATATCAAGTTCAGATTAATGAGAAGATTACGAAAAAAACGGACGCGGATCAGACTGTCTTCGCCCTCGATTGATTTTTCTCTTCCAGATGCATCACGCCGAGAGCTACAACCTTATGGGATATCTGTGCGCCATCCTGGCCACTCTCTTCATGGCGCTCAACATCGTCGTCATGAGAAAGTGCTCGGAGATACACTACTCCATTCTGGTGCTGAACCTGTCGTGCTGGTCGTTCGTCTCGGCCGTGTTCTTCTACTTCACCGTGTCCGGTCATGGCATCGGTCACGAGCTCCACCGGATGCTGCCGCACGACTGGTACACCTGGGGCCAGATCATGCTGGTGGCGTTTACCGGTCTCACCGGTCAGGTGCTGGTGACGAAGGCGCTGAAGGTCGAGGGCGCGGGTAAGGTGTCGGTCACCAGATCGCTGGACATCATCCTGGCGTACCTGATCCAGGTCTACATATTCGGCGACAAGCCCACGTCGACCAGCCTGACCGGGGCGATCCTCATCATCTGCTCCGTCGTTTGCATGGGCTTCGAGAAGGAGATCTACGCGGTCTGCGACTTCATCCCCTAGCCAATGGAACGAGCATTCGAGCGATCGAATCTCGGATGTAATGGAATGAGAATAAAATTAAATACGATCTCGAATTGCGATCTGTGGTGAGAACAGTGGTGAATCACGATCGGCAAAATTCAATTCCTATTTTAAAATAAAATCACAGGACTAGTCAGAATATCGAAACGCTAAATACCAATGAATTTTTAACGATAGTATTAGGATCAACGAATATTTAATTATTCAATTTCTTATTGGAACAAGCTCCTGCTATCACACATAAGAAAGGTGCTGAATTCGCAGGTAGCACTCGCTTGTACATGATTTTCTTTGCCTTTTCTATATCTCTTTCCAATTCTTAAAACGACAATATACGATAAACATCGATCATCTAGAATCTCCATGTCAATAATAATAGTAATAATGAATCGTAGTAATAAGTAACAATAATACCAATAATAATAAAGATATAATCAATTTCAAGACAAATCTATACGTGCAAATATTATATACATAAGTTTAGTATAGCTGAACAGAAATGCACGTATAACTCATTTATATAATTATGTATAAATATGTATATATATATCTATCGATGATTTATTCAATGGGAAAGAAAGAAAGGTACAACTACGATTAACAGTAAACCGCTATACCATATCCAAGGTATTATAATTATTTACATTATATATTCTTTTGTCTACTGTCGTCCCTGACGAAGCGCGCGTGGACGCGCGCCAGTCCTATTTAATATCGCTGGAGAACGGACGCTACTTCTTACTTTTGACAGTGTGCTTACAAATCTATATATATTATATATATTTATATATGTATACTTCAGAGCTTAGTTTACAATTTGAGTGATAATATTAACATGAAACATGCACATTTTCTTCCTCACAGCACACACATTCTCTCTCTCTCTCTCTCTCTTTCTCTCTTCCTTTCTCACATGCACATACACGCTTTGCTCCTTTTACTATTTTTTTCTCTCTTCGAGCCATGATGAAATTCATTTTATTATACCCTATGGCTAATCTTACTCTACGTTCTGCCTTACGATTAAAGAGAAGTTGCACAATTACTTACATATTATGTACGGATGACTTCTCGCGCTTGAAAAAGGTATGTGTACATATATACTTCACATATGTAACGTTACTTCATCCCGCCTCACTTCGCTCTGCCCTCTCTCGCTTCAATCTACATTTATCTCCTAGTTTCGCAGCTTGCACCGCCTACATGCAGTCGACACCGGCGTCTTCGTTTCTTTCTTGATGTAATCACGTCTGCGTCTAATCTCGTCCCGCGATACCGTACGTCACGCGGATCAATTCATTTGGATAAACGTACGATTCGAGGGACACATCCGTTAGCGATGTAACACAGGAATGTAATCGCGCACGGTAGAATCCTTTCGCACAGAAGAAGAGCGAGGATCGAACGATTTAATCGTGTTAACTCTCGCCTTAACACGCATCTCGCGCGCGCGTGTGTAAATATATGTATATATTTACATATATATTCTTCTGATATTTTTTTTCTTTTTATCTTACATTGGTCATATGATTTTTCGTCCCTGAAGCGTATTTCTTGCGACTGTACAAGTGAGGGACACCTCGTGCTGTTACAATAAATCGTCTCTCGATAAACCTTCTCTTCCCTTCATTTTCTCGCAGACACACACACACACACACACACATATATATATATATATATATATATATATATATTGTATAAATCTATATAGTATCGCTAAAAAGGAAGTTAGCCTTGTCGTGCAGCGTGTGTGCATGCGATAGAAAATGCTACGATACAACTAAGCGCTTCTAAGAACGAAGAGATCGTAAAGATCGGATAAGACCGCGTCGGGCAAATCCATCTTTTTATCACCGGCTACTTCAGTGATTTCTGCAATGAACCGCTAACGCTCACGACAGATTTTCGGATTTGTCTGATTAAAAAAAAAAGAATCTGATCATTGATAAAAAGAAAAATTAAGAGAATACGTCCTTTACAGACGGCAAATCAAATATCGAAATCTATATCGCTTCCGTAAACATCCGCGTATGATTATCTTCTTTTCTTTTTTTATTATAATACAAAGCTTTCCTTCACTGCGATGCGGTCTCGTCCAATCTCACGATATCCAAAAGACTCCTTTCGGATTCACTCGTCTACGTTTTGTCCGCCTGTCGGAATCTCCCCCGTTCTCGTCAAAATCCAATGTCCCTTCGACCGATTCTTGCTATTCTTTTTTTTTGTTCCTTCCCCTCCTTCCCCGTGGAAATGGAAACGAAGTTCTGGGTAGGCACTGCACGCCACCGATTCTGTCTCTGATCACAGTATCAAACGATAAAATGTACATTTTACCGCAAAGAGACGCGCGCTTCGAAAATGCGAAAATTTTCGTCGTATTCAAAATACGTTTTGGTTACAAAAATAGAGCGCGCGTTCGTTCTTTTTTTTTTGCCACTTTATCTTTTCCTTTTTTTTTCTTTTTTTCGATTTTTTTCCTTTTTTTTTTGATTGATTGCCTTAATCAACGCCGTGGAGGTACAAATACAAATGTCTAAAATACACATGTCAACGTCGAGCTAAGGATACATTCGTTTCTCTCTTTTTCCTAAACATTCGATAAACAATCGTTCTACAGCATATTCAATGTGCGTCACTTTCTCTCTGTTTCATTTTCTCTCCCTTCTCTCTCTTCCTTTTTTACTATCACTCTATCAATATTAAAGCTGTTCGTATCGTGTAATACAAAAATGAGCTGTTTTCGATAACTAATACTTGGAATACACGATACGTTAATAAAAATAACGCTATATCAAGATAATGTTATCCAAATAATTCGAAAAAATTCGAAACACGGCAAAAGTGTTGAATCCAACGCTCTACATCGTTATAACTATCTCTCAAAAAAAGATTTAAATACATCCCTGAAAAATATTTCATGTACTTATTTTTTTAATTAATTACATAACTTGAAAACCATATTTCAAAAAACGCTAAGTGTGTTTTCACGAATAATTAATTTATGTAACTTGTGCGGAACTGACATGCGAATATTTATACAACAAAGAAGATTAATTAATTAAATAAATAAATATGTGGAAAACTCGTGGATCTGATAGTGAGAAGTATACGTTCTCAAGGAAATTTAAAAGGCAAACACAAAAGATAAATCTCTCGCATAATATTATACCGATATACATTTCTTTTTAACATCTCCCATAGAAACTTAAATGAGATCTATTTTTTATGCGATACATAATCGCCATATAAAAAATATCTGAATTCGATAGAACTCATAAACTCGCAGCCATAATGTAAGAATAACAAATTTAGTCATTTATTATACGTTGAAAGTGACAGCCATATCAGTGTGGCATTTTTATACAATTTTGAAAATATATATATGTATTATAATATATATATACACTACATAATATGTAAATAATATGGATATATGTGTATATATATATACATATTATATGTGTAAATAATACATATATGTGTATATATGTATGTATATTATGTATAAATATGTGATATATCTAATATTATATTATATATATATAATACATATACATACATACATATATAATTTTCTATAATACCAAGACAACTTAAGAATATAACTAATCAAACTAATGTATATACAAGAACACTAAGTCATTAATTTTTGTAAAATCTGACACGTCAGATCCAACAGAAATCCATTTTTACAGGATAGTCGGTGCGTCGCGGTGATTGCTCAGTGTTCGAGACAGGGTTCACATCAGAATTGATTCTTACTCTTTTTTTCTCTTTGCTTGTATGTCGTTTCTCAAAGAACTGATTCGAAAGAGATGATTATTGTATGATCATTCGCGAAGCATACACTAAAGAATTATATAGAAATTGACATTCACACATAAAAATATTCTACTACGTGCAGTGTCGTACAGTTATTTCCTTTTTTTTTTGTTTTTTGGAATCACCAAAGTCGTATTTTTGACGATTTTTTTATAGAATCGTCATTAATTCGTCCAATGTTTTGTGCATATATGTGTATAATCGTATGAAATTCATACTGCATTTATTACAATATCTATTGTCTCGATTTTGACACAAATAAATATCCCTTTTAATCATAAATCCCACTTTTTTTTCTTTCGAAAAAAACGAAAGTTGATTTAATAGAATAACAAACATATCGTTACAATTTTACACAATCCTACATTTATTGAAATTAACAAATACTAAGATAAAGATCGCTCAATAATGCAACATTTTGCTCTTTGCCTCTGCTCGATCTATTCAGTGAACCAAAAGTAAAACTTCGCGGATTGAATCATAATTATAAAAATAAGTAATTACGATTAAAGTAACGTCATTATGGAATACAATCATATCGATATTTAGGATCTCTTTTTTCCCATTTCATGTTCTCGTACTGTATATATACATGGTACAATTTTCCAATATACGCATACCATCACATATAGAAAATTATACCATTCGTGTTTATACATTTCGTATATTATGCTCTTCAGTACGTGCATAGTACTTCCCCGAGAACTACAATTTTACCGACAAAAATTCCGAACGGTACAAAAGGGACACGGTGACGAGCTGCACACGTCGAATATAAAATTAATGATTTCATTTATATATTACATTAAATATATATTGTATATATACATCACGATATATACAATATATATACATATATAAATATATTTAACGGTTCCTGGTATTAAACATATCCGTTCTGTCATTAATAAGTTCCTGGTATTAGACATATCCGTCCTGTCATTAATAAGTTTGGTGCAATTATTTATCCATACATGTATCGAAATATTAAGATAAAAACTTAATCATTCACGATATAATACAAGCAACAGTTTCACAAGCGATGCTAATCGAATTAACAGATGTTCAATAAAACTTCCAATATGCGAAACATGAAAATTCGAGTGCAGCTAATGGAGTTAAAAGTGGTCGATGGAATCGCGACGCTCGTAATAAAGAATTGAAGTACAGGAAAGTGAGGAAAGAAGGGAAAAAGTGAATGATAAAGATAGCGGTGTGTTGGTGATAGAGGAGACCTCAACGATCGTCGCCTTCTATAAAACAACAAAACCTCATCCTGTGATAAACAACTATGCGATGCGATTAAACAAGTATACGCTTAAAGTAGAACAAACCTCCGCGCCGCTCTTCGGCTCGGACAAATTATTGAATCAAATGTGTACCGGCACGTGCACCAATAACTCGGCACGGCTGGAGAATTGCATGTCGCACATCTCGCACGTGTACTCCACCGTGTCCGGTATTATCGTTTCCGGGACATTGTCCACCGGCGCGATAACACTATGTACGGCAAGCATCCTCGTCTGTGGCGTCGACTCCACCTTGACACTAAGCTTAACGTTGTTGTCCCCATTGCCCATATCCTGATCAGCGTTGTGCGGCAATATGCTCTCGACCTCGTCGTCTTGAGCGGTGACAACGCTCGCTTCAAACGCTACTTCCAGGTTGTTGCCGTCCACCGCATGATGAATCAATTGTACTGGATCGTCGCTGTTCTCCATAGTATTGTTATTATTATTCCGTAATTGTAACTGTTGCTGCTGCTGCTGCTGTTGCTCTTCCGCAGCTATTTCTATCGACGTGTTCATTTCCCGCTTCATCACTGTCTGCTTCTGCTTTTTAGTCCTCTTCGTGGTGGCCGACGATTTCCTCTTGTTTGATGGCTGAGTTTTATTGAGGGCTAGGATATTACCATTGTTGTTCCTGTGACTGTCACCCGCGGTCTTTTGCACGCTTGGCTCCTGCTTGACATTCGCCAGTAACAGCTGCTGCTGCGACACCGTAGACGCATCCTCCTTCGCCGATTTCGCCGGGAACGTCGCCGGCGCGATCTGCGATTTACCTTCAACGTGGTAACTGACGTTCTTTGTGCGCGGCCGATTCCGCTCGCCACCCGGAAAAATGCCGGCCTTATGCTCGTTCGGCATCACCTTTGGTGTACGGGTCACCATCGTCTTCGTCTTCTGACCCTTCTTCGCGCCATCGCTACCCATCTCCACCGGCACCCGCGTCTTCTGCGTGTGTATCATCTTCGGTCGGCCCGACTGATTCGACGCCTGCGCTTCCTGCTTCTTCTCCTCCTTGCGCAGCTTCTTCTTCGAGACTTTCGATTTGGATGCATTTAACTTGGAGTTACTCACGATCGAGTTTATGTTCTGTAGAGAGCTTTCAAAACTTTTCAACACATTCTGATAGCCTTCCTCGACCACGTTCGACCGATGTTGCTTGTTCTTCTTGCCAAGTTTCCGCTTCGTGTTGTCCTCCGAATCGGAACCACCAGTGCCAGCGCCACCACCGACAGTACCACTGCCACCGACGGTACCGCTGCCAGTACTGGCGCCGGTAACGCCGGTGACACCGCCGCCGCCGCTACCTTCCATCATGTCGTACGTAAACTCGTTTCTACGTGCCGCTGCAGCATTCGTCTCAAGTGGCTTTGTTTTGCGTCTTCTCTTGTATTTACGCGGACCAGTCTGCGGCTGGCGTCTCAACGCAGTGTTGTCGTCGCAATGCTGCACTATATGCGCCACTATTTCCTCGGACGTGCCGTACGACTCGCCGCATACTTTGCACAAGTACGGTGTCGCACTGCCCACGCATTTTGGATCCGGACCGGAATGATGAGCGCGCACGTGTTCTCGAAGAACCACCTGCGACGAAGAGAGAGAAGACAAATTTCAAGTTTGATCATACTAATCGAAACGGAAGTTGCGTAATTTTTAGGACACTATTTAATTTTATTCATGCTTTAAAATTGTACCAAAGAGCCAGCTATAACCAGATTACAAAATTTATTTATTTCGGCTCAATATTATGTGGTTAACTATTCGCTATTGAAATTATTAAAATGAGAAGTCTTTCACGAAAGATAGTACGATATTTGTACAATATACTATCTTTCTATCAACTAACGTATGTTCGCTATTTGCACTTTCGATCGACTCACTCTCTGATTAAATGCCCGAGGACAGATCGCGCATCCGTATGGTTTCTCGCCAGTGTGGATGCGCTCGTGTTTTCTCAAGGTGCCGCCGTCTGCGAAAGCCTTCCAACAGAATCGGCAACCGTAGGGCCTCTCGCCGGTGTGGATACGTATATGAATCTGCTGTGAACTGCGACTACCAAAGGTTTTCCCGCACTCCCGGCATGGGAAGGAACGGCCACCCAGTTCCCTGTTATGCGAATGACGATGACTTACGAGTGCCCGCCCGTCGGGGAATTCCTCGCCGCATTCATCGCAAGCTACCATCTTGTTGCGATGTGACACCATGTGTCTGTAACACAATATTTTCGATTAAATAGAAAAGTTTTATAAAGATCAAAATTTTTCATCAAAATAATTTTAAAAAATATATTCTAGTGTATGCGTTTTTTGACTAATTATTACATGTACACAAGGCGACATGCACAGCAAAGAAGCTAATTCTTTTTCATCATATTATCTCATTTATACCTTCGTAATCGAGCTTTACTGTGGAAGCGTTTCGAGCACTTTGTACAACCAAAAGTCTTATCGACGTTATGTATCCACGAGTGCTTCAGTAAACTGCGCTTATCCTTGCATGTTTTTCCACAGAGCGTACACGTGTTTGGCGGTGCATCTTCAGCGTGATTCTGTCGCACGTGTTCCGCGACTTCTGCTTCATCACGGCATCTCGCTCCGCACAACAGGCAACGACGACTAGGAGATCTTGTTTTAAATAAGTTTACCAAATAAGTTTATGTTGTTATAAATGCGCTCTGAATTGTTCGATTCAAAGAAAATCAAAGTCACTTCATGTTTTATCAATATTATTGCAATCTCTTCTAACATTAATATTAGCTCCACGAGTAAATTATGTCAACAAAAAACTTGACAGCAAAAAATTGAATTTTATTCCGCACTATTTGATTCTGCGGTATAATATAGATCGCTGAATTAATGAAAGCCGGGGATACCTTGAAGCATGAAGTTCTGCGTGTGCCAATAGTGCTAGAGCCTCCTCGAATTGCTCTCCACAAACATTGCACATATGATGCTGACTGGACTCCATTGTATCCATATCTGGTTTCACATTGTGAATTCTACACACGATATTAAATATTACATTAAGAAATTTTCAATATTGACACTCACAATAATATTCAACTATTAAAAATATTTAAAATATCATAAAATTTATGTACTTTTAATTACCGATATTTTAAAAACCATTGTTATCAAAATATTTGGATTTTATACCTAAACATCATGCGTTCACTAAGGACAGATAACTCTAGAATATTCTGTGCAAATTTAAAATTCTTACTTCTGATGGCGTTTGAGTAGATCCAAACGTTGGAACGGTACCGCGCAGACCTTACAATAAAACTCGCCGAGCCTCTCGTTGTCGCCCGCGTAAGTGGCGTCATTGTCATATTCCTCTGCGTCGGATATCTGCGTAACAGTACCACCATGCTTCATACGCACGTGTTCCCGCAGACTGTTGGCATCCCAGAACAATTCGCTGCACGAGGTGCATTCGAATGGGCTGTCGCCACCGTGAACGCGAGCATGCGACGCCAGTGCCTTCTCCCTAGCAAAGCCGATACCGCACGACTGGCAGACGTATGGCTTTGTTGGATCGGTGATAGGCCACTGTTGCGGCTGCTGTCTGCCCGTAGCAGATGACATCTGCTCCACCTGCCACCTCGAGCTAGATGCAAAATTGCCGCTGCGTGCAAAACAATCGTCGGTCAGCGTCTCGTCTACGTAGGCTAATAGCGTGTCCGTGTAATCAATGTCTGGCTCGTACACATACTTGCCCATCTCCATCTTAAGCTCCTCGGTTTTGCGTTTCGGCACACCGGCGGCGGTATTGTTCTTCCGTTTGCGCGGCGCACTCGACTGCACCTTCTTGCGCCTGCCTTTGTTACCACTGGTCGCCACATCCTCCTCCTCGGCGACCAACGAGTCCTCGTCGTTCAGGTCGTCCTCGAGGCCATCTTGCGAGGACGGCGCGTACGCGTGGACCTTCAGATGATTGTTCAGATCGCACTTGCGTACGTAGCGGGATCCGCACAGGTTGCAGCCGTACGGCCGATCTATCTGATGTGCCACCATGTGGTTCATCAGATTCGCCTTCTTTCGGAACCTGCGGCTGCAGAAGTCGCACGGATACGGCCGGGCGTTCTGGTAGGAGTCCTGATCGATCGGCAACGGTATCTCCATGTCATCGTACTCCAGGAGATTGTCATGAGTCACCTTTGCCTCTGGGATCTCGACCCTTCGAGAGAAACCAAATTTGTGAGTAGACGAGCTTTGAATGAAGTATAAGAAAACAATTTTTTAATTATGGAAGATATACACAAAAATATTCCTTAGATCAAAACAGTGGAGAAATCAAAGTGTAGTAAGGCTTCGCTGAAGACAGACGCGCCCCGTTTTACATATCTGTGCTAAAACTCACCCATCGTCCGGACCGGGTCTGTCCCAGTTGTCGGCTATCACTTCCTCGGTGACTTGTATATTGAGATAGTCGTGTCCCTGATCCTGTGGCACTATATAAATCGATTCCATGTCATTCGACTGAGGTACCATCAGTATCTCAGACTCGGTAGCAGGGGCCACTGGAACGGACTCCACAGTTTCCTCCACCGCCACCTCCTCGCAGGCGCCAATCACCTCCTCCTCCGACGCGACCAGCTGCGCCTCCAGGCCGCATATCACCTCCTCGTGGAGCTCCACGTCTCCCACCCATTGTAGATTCAGATCCCCGGCGACGTCCATTTTGTTTGGCTTTTAAACTATTTGATCACTGAAATCACTGGCAACGTACGAGATCGGTGAGCAAGGTGTGAGCCCGCTCGCTCGGCTCTCCAGCGTTCGTCACATGAACGCCGGATGACGACCGATCTCACTCGTCACGGCAACGGGACGCTGGATTCCGTCTGTCGTGGCGACCCCGCAATCTACGGCGACTCACTTATTGTCCGGCAGTCGCGCGCAAATTGCTCACGTTCTTATCGCGAAACCCGTCCGACATTACAACTCACTCACAAGCAGGCGGTGATCAAGGGATCCCGGGATTAGTCTTCGCGCGCGGACGCGAGTGATCCTCCGCGGATCCGAGGTTACATCACGCGCGGCGAGCCGCGCCGCGGAGAAGTTGGCGACGTAGGTGGACGACTTTCGCGTTCCCCCTACCACGGAGCACGACGGAAACGCGACGGCACAGAGACGACTCTCGCGAGACACGCCGCGGCGAATAATTATCGGCAGGCCGACCGATGTTCCCCTCTTCCTCCCCACCACACCGCTACACGAGTCGTCGTCGTCGTCACCGTTGCGGCGGACAAACGATGATCGGCGCGCGGGGTCGCGCGATCGGCCACCGAGCTCGGCCGAGCGGCGTGACGCCGCCGTGTCTCGACACACGGGCCTGAGGTTATAATTATATAGGTTATAGCGAGAAAGTTGGAGGTTATAGCAAGCGAGCGGGACGGTGCCGCGTCCACGGGGAGCGTGGCGTCGGCGGAGAACGACGGTGGCGTCGCGACGCCGGACGAGGAGTGCCGTGTGGCGCGACGAGCGGCGGTGGCGGCGACGAAGACGGTAACGACGGCGGTGGGCGACCGGATGACAAAGCTCACACAGAGACACACGACCGTCGTCCGCGAAACGGTTTACACCGTCCAAGCGAGGCAGTCGCCTCTCGCCTACGGAACGGAGCCCCCTTTCTCGCGCGCGCTCTCACTCTCTCACGCACGCACACTCGCTCGTTCTCTCGCACTCTCTCTCTCTCTCTTTCTCTTCCGTTGAAGCGAGACACATACACACGCGCGGCGCGCGGAGATCTCTCGAGCGGAGGCGCGGCGTCGGCCGCGCGGACGGCACGCCGTGCGTGACCGGCGCGGGATGCGGGGACGCGAAAAACGGACGCGGACGGCCGCGGCGCCGGTTCTACTTACTGTTTCGAAGCCCCGAACGTAACGACGCAGCCAGTAACCTAACCAAAGTGCGCACGGTTTCGCGATCGCGACGAGCAGCGTCGACCTTCGGTTGTTTTCAATCCTGGTGGGGGTTGCGCGTAGAAATAAACGTGACAAAATGGCGGCCGTAGAGGGGGGAGGGTGCACGCGCGCGCGCGATTACGAGCGCCGCGGCGCGGGTCGTACATAGACGGGCGAGCCGCCGGTGGAAACTGGCGGCGTCGCGAACCGACCCGTTCAGCCAATGGGGAGGCTCGCTTTCGAGGAACTTTGGAACTGGGACTTTTTTGTATACCTGGAGAACGAATTCTATTGGATGCTTTTCCAGCGTGAGGTTACGATATGCGCGTTACATGAAAAATCTCTGCCATGGGACGGCACCCTAAGTGAGGTTCGAATCTTCGCTAAGTGGGGTTTGAGTCTCCGCTAAGTGAGGTTTATTCAGTTTATTGGAGCCTGCTCCTCTGATTGTGAGTAAAATATGAATTTAGCGGAGACTCAAACCCCACTTAGCGAAGATTCGAACCGGATACTTTTACGTGAAAATCTCTGCCATGGGACGGCACCCTGAATGTGCGCGCGAGATGACGCAAATGCTGTTATTAAATGCATACATTTGTTTATTGACTATTGAGCGGCTTAATGACAGTTGAATGTGATTGGTTCTTACTGTGATACTCGATCAATTTTGTTACTCAGATACTGAATGAGCGACTGACTTGAGCTTCAACCCCGCAATAATTACGTTCTCTCCAATAACTCCATGGTTTATAATATATATACTTAAATCCAGTGAGCAATTAACAATAAGTATGATTTGACTTTCTGTATCATCATATCTTTCTCATATATACATATCATCAAACATACATTTAGCATTTAATTATATCGGTCTTGACATTGTGATAAAAAACAAATGTCATTATGAAAAAAACAATTATATACATATATATATCTTAATGGTTCGTATTCAGAATGCGCTTATAACAATGTTGACATGTTAGAAATCTTGAGATTCTACAGTATATTATATAACATTAACTATGCTAAAAAATGTGCATCAACATTCATATGTGTGCGTTTCTGAAGAGACAAATATGTTATTAATATATTCTACTGCGAGCGCAGGCGCGGGTCGAATCTCTGGATCTATTATTTTCTACCAATGATTAACTTTAATCTTCGATTTAAAATTTACTCTTTTATCTCTTCTTAATTCTTTTCCTAATTAAAAAAAAAGTTAAAAAAAGGATGCGACACAATCATTAAAATGCATATCTGATAGACTGGTATTGTGAAAAAAAATGCAGGGCGCAGTTGCGAGAAAAACTATACCATAATTAATCTATCCACAGTCGCGGCGTTATCGCGTCGCGTTGATTATGCGAGTGCAATTTAGTCATTTAGTGCGCTCGCTGGCGACACGTCGTCAATTCTCCCCGTGGCGCTTGTTAAAAAAAAATATAAGAGAGAAAAAGAAAAATGATGTGTCATCCTCTTCGCGCGAGGCAGATATAATCGCGCGATAGTCGCGATAACGCGCACTTGATAGTTGATACTGAACCCGGCACGAGATGAAGAAGCGAGTCGTAATATTCGGTGGCACCGGCAACACCGGCCTCTGCTCTCTGAGAACCGCCGTGGAAAAAGGTAACTCGTCTCCCGATTGTTCACGCGATTGCCGCTCTCATTACGCGTCTTTCTCGAAAATTATCATCGCCGATGATAAACAGGCGATGAATGCGACGTTCTTTGTAGCTGGACCGCGTTGCACCTTCCGCACCTTGAAACGAGGCGGATATATAATGTTGGACGTTAGTTAGAAAAGAAAGGAGGATGGAAGGTACAAAAAGTTCAGCTACAGGGAACGAACCTATAACAAAGTTTTTGCCAAAAAGTTCCTTATTTTGTCACTCCAGATGACAATTTACATAGAGAGATCTGTAATTGTTGATAATTTAGAATATATATAATTATGTCATATTGATTTTCAAATTAAACGATAATCTGTGAAATCAATAATTATCGATTTGTTTTGCACAATGAATTATATATATATTTATTAACTGTGCAATGTAATAATAAAATCTATCTTATCTTTTGCTTTAGTATAAGTTTGCTGTAACAAAAATATAAAGCAAAATGAGGATTAAAATATTTGTCTATTCAATGTAATGTAACTGCAGATCAAAAATCAGAGTTAATAAAATATAATCATAATGTAATTAAATCTGATTCCCTTTACGTTAAAATGTATTCATAAATTATTGTGTATATGATTTTATAATTTTTGTGTACATGTTAACGTTTCATCTTCAACATTCAAGTCAAATATTATACTGATGATTTTTAATTCGCTATCATTTAGGTTTGGAGGTGAGAGCTTTTGTAAGAGACAAGACCAAGATTCCTAAGGATCTTAGTAACAAAGTCGAAGCAATTGTTGGAGATGTCACTAATGCGAAGGAGGTTGCGGATGCAATAGCTGGTAGAGATCTCGTCGTGGTAGTACTTGGTACCAGAACTGACTTGAGTAAGCAGTATATATATATATTTTTTTTCTAATAATTATATGTACATGTATTATACTCTCGTTGTTCTACTTAATATGTTGCACTTATTTGTTTTATGTTACTTTAAGGCCCTACTACCGTGATGTCTCAAGGCATGAAGAACATAGTAGATGCCATGAAAGCGCATAATGTTGAGCTGGTCTCCGTGTGCATATCAGGTATTATCATACTATAAAAAAAACAAAGATATCGAATATCTGTCAATTATCATAATAGAAACAATATCATTATGCATAATTTTGCAAAATTGCTCAAAAAGAGAATATTCTTTTGACTTGTTTCTATCATATTTGAGGAACTACTCGCATCTAAATGTTTTAACTTTACTATAAAGTATGTGCAATACTTTTTGTTATCTAACGTCTGTCATCGCTTTAATTTTCAGCATTTCTGTTCTTCAAACCTGAAGCAGTGCCTGCTAGATTTAGAGATTTGACCGAGGATCATCAGCGCATGTTAGATATAATCAAATCGAGTGGCTTAAAGTGGGTGGCGATATTGCCACCGCACATTGCAGGTAACGACGCCTAGATAATGAGAGATGACGAAGCATAATATGTCTTGAGAAAATCTCTCACAGATTTTAATTTTTCTCTTTCAGACACACCAAAGTCCAAGTACACCGTCACATTCGATTCTTCGCCTGGATCACGAGTGATCTCCAAACACGACCTTGGTGCGTTTCTCGTCGAATGTCTCGAGAATCCCAATTATTACCAAAAGGTTTGCGGCATCGCGAACGTGTCGTGATGTGTGTGAAGGAATGTAGAGATGTATAAATAATAAGATGCATGTATTTCTTTTTCTAAGTGGAAAAATAAATATGTATATATTTTATCTAAATATCGTTATCACGTTCGACAAGTTTGGCATTTATGCAATTGACGCGAAATTGCACGAGTTGGATGGAAGAAAGCAAGCGTATAAAGCGTTGTCGTGTTCTGTCGCTGAAATACAACAGACAGGGAAAGAATATTTGAAATAAATAGAGGCGTAGAGTCGGAGAAATCGCGCTAAAAAGCTGGGGGATATAAATCTGTCCGTCGAACCGCCATAAATTAGAATTACAAATATAGCTACATTATAAAGCTAGAAAAATATAAGCCTGCCGCACTCTACTTTGCAACTTATAATTAGAACAGAATTTGAAGTTTGATATCTCTCCAGTGCTTCGTTAGCGTCGCTTGACCGAGCTGGAAAGTCAAATGCATCGTTCATTCGCGAATGATATTCCGAAACATTATTTACCTAATATCGATATGTACTAATGAACATGATTTCCTAAAGGTTTAAAAATTTTTCTCAAGTTCTCTTTGTTAAGTTTTGCGATGTACTAAATTGTCTATCCCGCTCTCGTTTTGTTCTACTTGAAATTCGTTTTTTTTTTTACTTTCTTTGAGCTAATTAAATCTAATTTCAATCGACGTGAAAGCCCTCGTTCGTCTCGGCACGAGCGGAGCGCGCTCTGAGATTTCGATGTAACGCTAGTATCACAGTTTCTTTACCATGTGCGTTTTTTGAGACTGCATTCGCACGTCGAAAAACCTTGACAGTTGAAACGCCGGCATCGGGGGCGGCGGTGGCGGTGGCGGCAGCGGTTGTCCGGCGGACTGATCGCCCGTGTTCCGCTCCTTGAATCTGGTCCTGCCGAGGGGCGGACTCGCGGTTATGATGTCGTTAATGCCGTACGCCTTAAACGGATCGCACACCTTGTATCCGTTCTTGTAGTAAAACACCTCCTGGCCGTCCGTCTTCAGGTAGATGTTTTTCACCCCTCTTTTCGCGACGTACTCCTCCACGCCGCGCAACAGTCTAGATCCTAATCCTCGAGATCTACACCGATAGTCGATTACAACTAAAAAAATATCGCATAGTTTTTATTACGGTTTACTATTGTCTAATTTATTTTGACATGTGCTCTAATTAATCTATACTTGTTAATCCTAATGCTGTATATGTGCATTAAAGCAAGTTGCTATCGTTTCTCCGCTTACCAGATTCGATGAAACAGCTAACTTTCGATCTGGCCACCAGAGATATTTTGCAGTGCCCGAGAACCTTGTTCTCGCCGTTAATTAGAACGAGACACGTGGGAAAATTGTCGCAAGACACATTTAGAGATTTCATTCTGCAATGTAACGAATACAAAAACTTTATTAATTTCGCCGGGATGTACCTTTCGCCACTTTCCTAGATCATCTTTAAAACCAAGGAGAAAAAATAACACACCGTGCAGTTTCGCTTCGAGGCCATTCAGAATTAAGCAACTTACAGCAGTCTTTCATCAAGTCAGGCCGATGGTGAAGGGGTATCACTATGTACTTAACGTTGTTTTCCGTCATACCTTGTCTGCAATCAAAGGTGAATAATTGTTAGATACTCAAAGTCTAATTAATCAAATTAATTAAATTGTCAAATTCATAAGTAATGTTGAAAGATACGTTTATTTTCCAAGTATATTAAATTACTATTTTTTCACATATAATTGTCCTAAATCTTTTTACATTCAAATATAAACCTCATTCAAACTTTAAACTATTTCAATTAATTGTCACATTTTCTACTATATTTTTATCTTCTTTTTATATTATCTCTTACAAATACATAAAATTCGCTTTCCATTTACATCAATTCATGTATCATTATAGCATTTTTGTCATTATATTATTTTATCATTTTTGAAAATAAAATTCACAAGAATAAAAAAACGTATTTTTTAAATTAAAACTTGTTATTGTTGTACACACAAAATCCACAAACTTTAGTTTACTACTTAAGCCTCCTTAATCAAATTTCGCTTGACACACACATATACCCACCTGTCATACCTAAAAATATATCCTAAGTACACGAGATCACGAAATCATCAGCTACACGAGCTTGCTATACAAATAGCGAAATACCGCGTATGAACCCGTATCTATGACTCTAAAGAATCTTAATCGGTGCATATCTCCGTGTCTATGTATTATCTTTAATCGAGCCGCATCTAAATCTGACACATATACACATGTCCTCCTATCTATCATTTATCTATAAATATATCTTGGATACGGATGCGGAATTCGGAGCTCCGCGAGTACACGTGTATGTACGACTACGGCGGTCCGAGTGTCGTGGATCCCGCCGTAGTGGAAAGTCTGTTCAAAACTGTCGCGTCGCATCTTGCTCCGCTGACAGGTAACGTGCTCCGCAAATCGGGGCACATACCGATCGTGAACGAGGAGGAGGCAGAGGGGCGGCGAGGAGGGCCAGGGTTCTTACCGTGTCTCTTGACGGAGGCGAAGGAGGCCGAGAACTCGTTCCCGCGCGCTCGGACGCGGTGCTCGCCGGGGTGACGACGCGATGCCCGGCGCAGTGCCTCATCGCAAGTTTTCCGCCCTCGGAGGACGATATTTCGGGGTTTTATCCCCACCGCACTGTTATGCCGCATAACGCGGCGGCGTCCATAACGAGACGCGCCGCCGCGCCTCTCCCGCGCCGCCCGCGCGCGCGGCGCGTCGGCGTCTTCTCGGATTTCCTGCATTCCTGGGAGCCTCGCGTGCCGCGTTTCCCGGTGGACAGACCACCGCGTGCAGTCGATCGTAGTCGTTTGGGAAAGATCGCAAATATTAAAAAGTAATTCCTGACAACCATGCGCCAGACGTTGGGCCTTCTATTTTACAGTGGGTTCTTTTAGAATTGTTTTCAGCTGTACTTTCGCACGTGGTATTTTCTCTAAAACACACGGTACACGGCGATTAGTCCATCGTATGTGACAGCGAGCGACAGAAAGAAGAAACGTACGGCTGCTCGATTCGAGGATACCTGTGTAGTTTTACTCCAAGAGAGATTTGCTCAACAAAATATACTGCTCCAGTAAAAAGATAAAATATAGGGGTAAAACACTTCCTGATTAATATCTCCACGGCGTCGGAGATAAGAGAAGATGTGTTCCTCTCTCTAATTCCTCCTTATACATAAATTCTGTAACGTGTTCTAAATATACATTGCGGTATGTATAAATAAGGTACGTGTTTCGACAATCCGGCGAAATCTGACAAAAACGTCAGATTTAAGTGTACTCGATTGAGAAGTTCCGCCCACGTGACGGCCAGGACGGTTCACGAGAGACTCGCCCGTGACCGAGTCTATTATTGTTCGCTTCAACGAGGACAAAAAAAAAGGGGGAGACGACCCTTTTCTCTCGGCGCCGTGTATGTACTACGCGTCCTATTTCCTCCCGTAACCTCCATTCTATTTGCGGACCCGTATGTGGTCCGCATTCGCGCGCACGTGACACGCCGCACGTGACGACACGTCGCGCGCGCGACATGGGAGGAGAAAACTGCGTTGCCGACGTGATGTGACAGGGAGGCGGAAGATGCTTGCACTACCGACCGCAGATGTTCCACCTGATTACCATCCGAGTGTCTTTTCGATTATGTTGCGTCAGAGAGAAACGTGAGAGGGGCCACGCCGGCTTTTGGGTGAGACCAGCGCCCCACGTCCACGTTTTCAAAAAAGGAACGTACCACGTCTATCTTATAACATTGTCGATCAAATCATAGCACGAGAACGTAGACGTGATTTCGAAAAATTGCGCATTCGGAAATCCTCTCTCAGATATTTCCGGCGAGTGACACAGTCTCCGATATTGTTCCGTGTTATGTATATTATTGTTTGGTTCTATTCCGTGCTATATGTATATGTATATAATGTATAATAATAATAATAATGATAAAATTATCTTAGATATTTCATACGAAAGCCTAAAAGCATAAATGTTTTAAATTGCAATTTTACACTGGCAATTCTTTTTAATTTATTATATATATTATTTGTATGATATCATCAGCTTTAACATATAACATTTAATATATGTACTTGTATTAAAATCTTTAATTTAAAAAATATATATAATTAATTTATGTAATATGAAGTTTTGCGAGAAATTGAAAGAAAAAGAAAGACAAAAGAGAAAGAAGAATGTGGCATATACATATAATACGCGATTAGCACGGACACGAACCACGTTCTAATGCTATGATTTGATCGACAATGGTATAAGATAGACGTGGTACGTAGTTCCTTTTTTGAAAACGTGGATGTGGGGCGCTAATGTACGGGGGAGATCGCCGGTCCAACCCAAAAAGCCGACGTGGCCTCTCTCACGCTTCTGAGCTTCTCTCTGGGAATTGTCGGCCGTTCCGTTTCGTCAACAATCGTCAACATCGGACTGTCATCTGCTATCACCGCCACTCGCCCCCGCTGGATACCCGCTATGCGTCTCTTGTTGCCGTTGACTGTTCCGTAACGTAACCGTCCACGTTGCAGAACAGAACGTCCGACGCGTCAGTAGATCGGTCACCGAGGAGAAACGAGAAGAAACTCATTTGGCATTGTCCAAAGCGTGAGGACAAAGTGTACAGAGACCGCGGCGGCAGCGCGGCGGCCACGGACATTCTCCATCTTGCGCAACGTCCGAAGTCCGAGGAAGCGTGAGAGTGCGTTATCGACAACCCGCGACCATGTCGACGACAACGGCGAACGACTCCGAGGAGTACTACTGCTTCCGGGTGAAGGAGGGCATCGGCGAGGCTTTCGACAAGGAGAATATTGTCATCATTCCGCGCTCGTACAACTTCGACTTGAAGAAGTTGCGGACGGAGCTGGTGAGTCTCCTCCCACCGTGTCAAACGCTTAAAAGTATGCGCGTTCGAACAACTGTTATATTCCTACAGTATTTAAATTAATATTAAAGAGTTAAAGTTTTGTTTTCCATGTCGAGATCTAGAAAATAAAACGAAATGCGACCAATCCACGAGTTCCCCGTCACTGAATATACTTTTTTTTTTCGATGCTCCCTGTATATGTAATTAACACGAATGACGCGAACTTTTCGTGTCTATTGTAGTGGAAGCAATTTGGAGTGCCAAGAGACAGACGCATCTTCTACATCGACGATGACGGGGACGACGTTCCAATCGATTCGGAATGCGAGTTTCACGAAGCATTGAAGGTATGGGTTATATATACATATATATAGATATATATGTTATATACATGATACATATATCTATACACACACACACACACATACACACACATATATATACATATATATATGTATATATATGTGCACATACATCTATATACTATAATTGTAATTGTATCTCATTTCACGCAACGCATTAAAATATTTACTTCTCTCAAGAATCGAATGAGAGGTTAGGTTCAAAATAATTTTGATATACTTTTGAAAAATTATTTGATTTATTAGAATATACTTTGACAAGCGATCACGAGAATCAAATCTGATTTATATTTTGCACTCGTCTAAAAGATGTTTCTATTTTTCATTATGTTCTCTAACTTGAACAATTTTTTTCTCTAAAATTAAAATTCAAATTTGCAACTCATTTTGATCGATTTCTCTCTTTTGAATTCTTTTGATCACGAAATTTGAATTGGATTCAGTTTATGTATTTTCTAATAATTTTTACGAATTTTTGACAAGTTAATATACAAATTATCGAAAAAGATAATGTAATTTACTTCTGCAGTTTGGATTTTATTTTTTATTTAATATTAGACAGAGCGGCGCTATCTAAGAGATAATTGCAGACAGAAAAATAATGTTAAAAGAAATATTAAAATTTGTCAACTTATTATTAAAACTTATTATTAAAAATATATCAAGCGCGAAAACTGATTAAATTGATTAAATGTAAAGTCATATTTGATATGAATGCAAATTATTTTATAAAATTTTCTGATCCTTAGACTTAAGATAATTATTGCACAAAGACTTATTTGTTAACAATAATTTTAACTTTGCATTGTACGTTTTAATCGTGAAAACTGCAGAAATAAGCCGTTTCGTATCTTTTGTTTTAGCTCGCCAAAAACGCCTTCATGGTAAATACGGCGATTCCATTGATTGTGGGCACTTTTCACGTGCCTACGTCGTGCAGCGACGAACAATGTTCCGGAACGAGCGAGATCTGTTGTCCGAACAAAGAGTCGCGAAATGTCAATGGCAATCCGGCCTCGTCCTTTACCGAGAAGAGCGATGGATCTATGCCAGAACCGAATTCCGAATTCGACAAACAGAAGCGTTCAACCCGAAAAGTACCGTCAAATCAAAGGAAATTGCATATAAAGCGATGCGACGAGTCGAGCGATGAACAGACAGAATTGGAGGACGTGGAAATTCCAAAAGTGTCGAACACTCCGGCGTTACGGTGTTATTCAGACACGGTGTCCCCTCCGTGGTTTACCGAATACATGGAAGTGGTAAGTGATACGACTAACTGAAAATGTATTCGTGTATACTGAAACGGTTAATCTTGTCGTTTCGCAGATGAAAAAGGACATGGTGTCTACGATCACACACGAGGTGGTGAAAAACGTCACGGAGGTGCTGAACAAACGTCTAGACTCCTTTGTGCATCCTTTATTAAAGGTACTAGATCGATCTCGCAATCAATCATATTCTTCTCTCTCGAAACGACATCCTAGATGCTTCGACTCAAATGAGAAGAATCAAAAGAGGATGAGATCTCAGGACGAGGAGCAGTCGAGCGATGCCTCGATCGAACGTGTGGACGAGCCGCAAAACGTAAACATTGCGGAAGATCCACAGATGAAGAAAGATGTGATATCTACGATCAGTCGAGAGGTAGTGAAGGAGATGACAGACATGCTGAACAGTGTTCCCCTTACGTCTGCCCCTTCGAAGAAACACAATCAATCTCGAAGCCAGTCGCACCTTCGTCACCCGAAAGAATTGCCCACTTTCTTCGATATCGACGATATTTTGTATTTCCGCTCAAGTGAGAAGAACCAGAGGAAGATGAGGCCTCAGGATGGAGAGCAGTCGAGCGATGACGCGTGTACGTTCGGCGAATGTAAGTGCGAGTTGCGAAACGCGACTACGGCAGATAATGTTTCGCGGCAAGCGAAACCGGAAGAGATTAAAAAAGCTCTTCACGAAAAAGGTATTTTTGTAAAAGGAGAAAAGAAAGAAGAAAAGGGGAAAAGAAAGAAGAAATGTCATCAACGGACTGCCCCGGTAATCACTGATAATTTGAATAGTGATATCGGCAAAGAACAATCTCAGAATAATGCGCGGGAGGATTTTCCGATTCCTCGGAAGAACACGCCTCAGACGAACCCGATACCGTACGATGAAACTCTGGGGATGCTCGAGAATGAGCTTCGCATGAGCTGCTCCGTCACCGGGCACCAAATATTGGACGAAGGTCGTCGTAGAGATGTCTGGTGCTGCAACAACTCGGATATCGATAAAACCAGCTTCTGGTCGTGCGATCAAGAGGAGGAGGACGATGATGCCTTCGAGATCATCCAGATGCCCGCTTCGGAGAACAGAGATGACTTGATTATACATTTTGAGGAGCCCGCCGCCGAGCAACGACGACACGACAGCAATCGGGATTCGCCCAGCTTCGAACTTTTGTCAGAGCCGCCCTCACCTACGAGCTTCATGCACTTCAACGAAGAGCATTTCTCGACAAACGAGGGAAATCCCGAGCAGCAAACTTCACAATTCGCCGACACGAGTCCGTCGACGTCGGGCTCCATTTACGTGGTAGATGTTCATGGTAAGATCTACAACGAGCATCAATCGGCAGATCTCAACGAGCGTGTTAACGCCGATTTGGAAAAACGATCCGGCGGAGCCTACTCGTTCGTGGCGGAGACCTTACCTGCGGTTCAGGATACTCGCTGCTCGAAGTCGTCGCGTTCAGAGCAGCGCTCAGAATGGAAGAACCCTCGAGATGACGTTGGATGCGACAGCCGCGACAACGCAAGCAGCTCGTACGACGACGTGAGAAACTCGCATACGAGTTACCTGACCGTGCGTACGCACTGCGACTCGAAGACGCAGTCGCAGTGCAGCTGCCAGACCGATTCGAACGACCTCACGCAGAGCTTCCACTCGCACACCACATCGGTCACCGACACGACCGACATTTATACTGAGGCCTATGGCATCGGTAAATACGAGCAAGTGATGACGGCCAAGGACGTACTGGAAACGGCGACGACGAAAGGGACAGCGACGGCAACGGCGACAGCGACTGCGGCTTCGAGAAACGATCAGGATGCAGGACGTGTCGGCAGTAGTTGCGCGAAGGAAACCAAGACGAACGAAAGACATTGCCACGGCGGTAGTTATCCCGAGTGCACCTATTGCTCCATCGGCAGTTGCTGCGTGAAGGAAACCAAGACGAACGAGAGGCATTGCCACGGCGGTAATTATCCAGAGTGCACCTATTGCGCCAACAGTACTCCGCAAGGAACTTCAGTCGATCCTCCGTACCAGTCCTCCGGTCGAGCGAGTGGATCTTCCAGTAAATCGACGAACGAGAGGCATTGCCACGCCGGTAATTATCCAGAGTACGCCTACTGCACCAATAGTACTCCACAAGGAGCTTCGGTCGATCCTCCGCACCAGTCCTCCGGTCGTGCGAGTGGATCTTCCAGTAAATCAAGCTCCAACGTAGGCTCGAGGAAGGCATCCATTGGCGAGCAAACCGCCGATCCTGTTCGCATCCTACCGGAGACGCTAGTCACCGCAGCCGCCCACGTCGTGGGCTCGTTCGCTTATGACACTGCACGCGAGGTGTTGGACAAGATACGAGGACACACGGTGAGTCTTTAAAGTGACGCATTATCTTTGTCATTGAATGCGAAGACAATTCGCGTTCGCGCAAATGAGGTTGTCACGAAAATGATTATCTATTTCAGAAGGAAGATTTTGCTAAACGTCGAGGCGGGGCAAAGTGCGACGACAAGAAGCGTTTCTTCGTTAGTCCTCTGTCTTTGTACTAACCACTGATCACGATCTTTCGTTTATAGCTGATATACTATATACGCTACACGGGATTGCTAAATAGATCTATTAGGCGATGCGATGGGTAAGTACGCGGATCAGATTTGCAAGGCTCGAAAGAGTATCGTATTTTGGACATGGTGCAATCAATGAAATGAGTGTACAGCGCGTCTCTCACAATACTGGCGTTTCTTAGATTACGCAGCGTAAATAAAGTTTCGTACGTCGATTATCGTTAATCGACTTATCGAGAGATGCCAAGAATGTATAGAATTCTCATTGTTAACAAATTTTAATGACTGAACCGGTAGAGCGACAAGTTTCGAAAAAAAGATGAGAGGACGCTGGAGCACTTTGTTTATACGGGCGATCCTTAATTGCATACGATAAATACAAGTAGAAAAAAGTGTTCCGATAAAGAGCCAAGATTATATCTATCGAATATTACTATGTGTCCATTTATCGCGTGAAATTAAGAATCACTGTGTATGTAATGGTATTCATAGTGAAATGAATTATGCTATATCATAGAAAAGTTAGAATTGATCTTGCAATTAGCTGTATAAAATTACGGAATTAATTATATATATTAAAAATGAACGGACGAAACTCGGGAGGGAAGAGTGATGATGCGAAATAGTTTTAGATTGTGAAAGGGAAGGCAGGTTGTGTTTAAAGGGATAATGTAAAATTCTTTATTACAATCTTTCCGCGTATGAATCATATTAGAGGGCTAGAGACAAATTGACTATATAGATAAGTCGGTTACTCTTATTCTATATTTATTGAAGTGAAAGGGCGAGATATTGTGTTAGGGCTGGACGATCATTATTAGTCTATACGGACGATTTTGCAAACGTATTTGAAGAATTTGCGGTTCAATTTCATTAAATACTATGGATATCGGCGCAGAAACTGACAGAGAGAGAAACATTATCTGTCGAAAACTCTCTTGATTTAAAAAAAAAATTATTTCTCCAGCATGTGGATTTTGCAAGATGATGTATCAATGTTCGGCGGTAAGCTTTACATGAAGTAATTAATCAATTTACTGCACTTTTGAAATTCTTGTCTCACATGACGACACGCATTATTACGTTATGCTAGAGCTTATGGAAATTTAGCGGGACTTGCGAAAATAAATGTTATTATATGAATTATATACATAGTTCAGAAATATTCACACGTAATTTTGATTATTTTAGAATTTAAATATACCTCTATATGTTTAGTAATATTTTATTTATTTATTTTTTTGTACAATTTAAATAACTATCGCACAATTGTTGCTAATTATATTATCTTTTTTGTGTAAAAAATTTGTAAAGTAAAATTTCGAATTTATATAACAATTTTCAGATACAATTTTTATTTAAAACTTCGAATTAAAAGCTCTCATTATATACTGGTTGATTGCATTCAATAGATGAAGTAGCTCAGTAAACGCTCAGTCTATTGAACTCAGTTATTAACAATGCAAAAGTTTTTTTAATATTTTTAAAAATACTATTTAAGCACTTTCGCTCGCTTGTTTTAACATTTTTCACTCATAAAAATATTTTTATAATTTAATTAATTTTTTACTCTTTAAAATTCTCAATATCGATTGTATCATTCACAGCACTTGCACAACTTTCCAATTTTTGCTAATCTTGCAAGATTGCATAATTTGCAAGAATATAAAAACTATTTAGATTTCTTATTTACAATATTTAAAATTTTAAATGTTGTACTAAAATATAAAATATGACGTTTCTCATTACATGGACTCCCACTCTCTTTTTAAATTGAAATGAATTATAGATTTGCTGTTATAGAATGCGTATCTTCAGTCTGTCATAATTAATTTTATGAAAAATTGAGAGGTGAGATTGTGTTAGGAAAAAAGATTCCTGTATCTTGCCGTACTCTCGAGGCTTATAGATGTCCAATAAAAATGAACGAACTCTCGATGTACGAGCAATCATACCCTTCGTATTTTAATAGGCTGCGATACGTGCAGTTCCTACTTTTCGAATGAGAGAATACGTGAAAATTATTATTTCTCATTTGTCAGTCTTTTCTCGTTGTCATTTTTCATCCTCTTTGTAGGCCGAATTGACATTCCCCATCTTCCCTTCTAAAGGTATATCCCCATCACTATCTTCTTCTTCCTCTGGTATTTCTACATATTTGTAGAATAGGGTCATCACGCCGAATATAACCATAACTACCGCCATTAAAACGGCATATAGGAAAATTTCGTACACCTGTGAAATAAATGAATAAATAAATTCAACGTTTAATTAAAAGACAGATCGTATGAAATGTGAAAATAGGAAAAATGGGTATTAAGAGCAGTGAATCGCGTGAATTTCATCGATATAATCGGTTTTGATTTTACTTACTTGCCGCTCGAAGGGATGCGAGCCCTTTATGATCACCACAATGAGATTGCCGAAGGCCACGCTCAGCAACCAACCCGCCGTCAGCAGGGACTTCATAGTCACCGGAGCCTGAGTAAAGGCAAACTGCAGACCCGTCACGGAGAACATCACCTCGCCCATCGTGATGATAATGTATTGCGGTAACATCCAAGCCATGTGCAGCGAATTGGGTGGCGTGACCGTGACCGTTTTGCCAACGATATTCGGTTCAACATTTTGCGTAACGTAGGACCCTACCACGGTGTACACTCCACCGGATTTGAGAGGCACATTCTTTTCCAACAGTTTTTTGTCTAAATAGATGTCGTATTCACGTGGATTCTCGATTTGTTGTAAGTCCGACTCTGAGAAATGCGAACTGACCGGAATTGACACTGCACTCTTGCCGTCACTGTCGACGACGTTTAATGTGGCGTTTTTTAATCCAGGCTGAAGATAGATGAGACTGCGGACCGTTGGCTTACCCTTCTCCGGTTTGTCTACCATATCTTTATAACTATATTGTAATCCCAAGGACGTGGGCGTTATCACCCATGATGTTGCAACGGCCTCCATACCCGTAATTTCTCCTGATAAAAAAAAAGTTATTTTTAAAATAACGTAAATTACATTTTTCGATATCCAAAGTTAATGAATTTTACCTTGTTCATTTTTATTCAAATCGGTGTAGCCCTTATTATAACATTCTGTGAAATCTGCTGTGTAGGGTATTGTAACAGATCCGGCTGCTTTCACTTCTAAAATTTCTACCATACTTACTGGACCTATATCTACAGCTAGGCCTTGATTTACCATATTTACATTCACGTTGCAATTCATTGTATTGAAAATTCGGATTTGAGCAAATCCGTTTGTCGGTAACTTTGGATATGTTTTCTAGAAATTGAAATTGAAATATTACACTTTTCTACATGCAGTAATATATAAATAATATATTAAAACTTCAATAACTTTAAGAGATTTTGAATAAGCATTCACATTCATCATAGATAGATTTCAAATATTTCGAATAATGTACATAAAATTTCTTTGTTGATGTAACACACCTCAATCTGTAATTCGACGATACCAGCTGCGATGAAAGCTACGCTAGCCAAGAGACCGCCGACGACGAGCTTCTTCAAGGGGGTATTGATGAAATGTATTTTGGCGAAAGCCGGATAGATACAAGTCTCGAAGATTGGTATGAAGATGATGATCAACAACGGATTGACAGCTTGCAATTGATCGGGCAGCAAAACGAAACTGCCTATTTGGCCATCCATCCGCGTTGCTTGGAATGTCCATTGAGAGCCTTGCTGATCGTAAAGCGCCCAGAATATTGGCAGTGGTATAAACAATTTTAGGACTCGTATTACGATTTTGACATCTTCGATCAGCTTAGTGTCGTAAACATCATCGGCATTATCGAGCCAATGATCGCGTTTTTCTCCTTTGCCCTTCATTTTATTGTAGATCGCATGCTGGTTTTTTGAAACAAAGAGGGTACATTTATCTTAAGGGATGTCTGAATTAATTCAAAGAGTTTTATGAAATTAAAAATTCATAGAATCAAAGAGTATAAAAGAGAAAAGTTAAGAACTCTTAATTTTTGTAGCCGAAAATCTAAAAATCCGTAGATCCATAATATTTTAGAAATATTTAAAAATTCGCTCATTTCCGCGTTCAGGAATTCACTAATTCCACGAATTATAAATTTAAATCCGTACGCAAGAGCATCGTCAGTGTGACAAAAATTAAATATAAATTCCAAACTATTTTAGATTTGTCTAAATTATTTGTTAAATAATAATTTGTCATTCAATTTTTGCGATAGTCTGATCCAGCAGATAATCTTTATTGTGAGTCTTCGAAGTATTTAAAATAATTTGAGATTTCGGTGATATATACGACTTACGCAAACGCACTTGGTAACCTTGACAATGAGATTGCCTGAGGGTTTCACCATTTTATACAGTCTTTTCCCCAAGACAAATACAACTGAAAATAAATTGTCATTAATAGAAGAAATACATCTATACGGGTGGGAGATGTATTTCATGCTTTCTCATCCTTACTAATCGATGCAACCATTAGAACGGCCGGCACTAAAAATGCCACGAAGTAACAATCATCATCAAAGCACTTCGTTTCACGAAGCACCGGAGTTAGCAAAGTAGAGATTAAGGAGCCTGTGTTAATAGAAAAGTAGAAGAGGGAAAAGAACGTCGCCAATTGTCGTTCCTGCTGAGGTACAATAAACTGATCGCCTCCGAAAGCCGACGCACAAGGTTTTATTCCGCCTGTACCAAACGCTATTAGGAATAAACCTAATATGGAAAATTCTCTGAAAATTGAAAAAAATGTATTCTTTTCGTCGACAGAAATTAAAAAGTCTTTCAAATTAGCAGCACATAAATGATATTTAAGTTAAATTTTATTTAATTAATATTTAAATTTAGATGCAATTTTAGATATAGAAAAGTTGAATTTTTTCTATATTCTGTATTGATTCGTTTGTGTTAATATTGTGGTTGTTTTAAGCATATTTTATACTGACCGTTGGGGCAATCCAATGGGAGTTGCCGCACTCAGGGATAGAATCACTTGTCCGAGTGCGTAAATAATACTCAAATACAAAATGGTATTGAACTTTCCGAGCCATGAATCAGATATGATCGCACCCACCACCGGGAAGAAGTAGACGAAACAGGTGAAGACATGATAGATTATTGTAGATGTACTTTCACTATAGCGCAGCATATTAAATAAATACAGCGACAGAACGGCTAAAAAATAATTTCGTGTTAATTCACAATATCTCCACTAAGTTATGTAGATTCACAAGATTAACGTCAAAGTTACTTAGTCTCTTAATATCTTATCAGCATTTTAGAATTAAATAAAAACAATTAAATACCGCCCATCGTATTTTATAATCTTATATTTGACGTTTTTACGGATTATCGAAAAGATAACTAATAAGTAAAACGTAATAAGATTATTCTCTATTAAAAAAATTAAATTAAACAATAATACACAAGAGACTCTCAAAAAATATCATATTCGTTAAAAATTATCAATTTGTTACTCATATATCCATAATGACATATGTTAGATTAAACTGCATTCAATCAATTTATACAATTGTTCATACAAAATATTAGAGCGAGAAATTTATTCTGTGTTTTCAATTAAAAATTATACTATAATTTTAGTAAATTACAATTGAAAGAGTAATTGTTCTAATTATCGCAGTGTTATTTTTAAATGACATAAATTGCAGAATGTGACTAACGCAATCCAATACTTAAATTGATGTTGATGATCGCGATGTATATACTTACTGCGCATTCCATAGAAAGAAAATCTTTCGCAGAATTCATTGCTGATAATGAAAAACACCGCTTTGGGATATTTTGGTTTCTAAAAATTTTTTAAGAAGAAAATTATATATATTTTTTGTAATAAAATATTAAAATTGAATACGATTACGTTAAATATATAATAATACGAAATTATTTTATGCTAAATAATTTTAGCTTATTTTATTGTTTATTTTACTATCAAGATATGTATAATAATTTTCACAAGTTTCAACAGAGCAATTTATTGATCCATAAAGGATTGAATGGAAATTAAGTTGAATACCTTAGTAATTTTTTTTCGAACTATAAATAATTTGCTGATTTTAATTCTTGAATCTAGTTGATACTAAAATAAAATCAATTTTTTAATTTGCCGCTAACGAGACATTTGACCCAAGTTACGAAAGCAGCTTTTCAAAGAAAAAGATCTAGCGCAATCACATTGACCCGATTAACATCATTGTTACATAGGCACATTTATTTTCTAGCGTTTCCTAGCGAGGATCGAAATGCGAAGGTCGTACCGACCGAATTATCATTTGTGTCTTGACGATAAAGACATGAAACTAAAGACTCTTCAGAAACGAGATAACAAAATGAGCCTGTACTATACGATACTTAACACAAGATAATTGGCATTGTTGAGCGATATTCTCTAATTACGAATACGTGTGTGTCTTTTCTGTCGTATCGTTACTTTTCTACTTTCAAAAAGTAAAAAAATTTGAAATCGAAATACAAATGTAGAACAATATAAGAAAATTTAAGGTAACATTTATTAAAACATGACAAAAAGATGAGAGAAAAATATCTATGGAATATAATCAATGTAGTAATAAAAAAAAATTCTTGAAATTTATAAATTCATGCAAATTTTTTAATATTTAACAAAATTGTGTGCAGCTGTTTTTGCGTTTAAAAAACTGCGCTTAAAAAAGCGATGTTTCTAAAAAAAATTGTTCACAAGTATTGTGCAAAAAACTTAGCTACAACAATTCAAAGCATGTTTCTGCTTCAAGAAACTTTTAACGCGTAAAGAGATTATTATGAAATAAATAAGTATTCTCGCAACAACGTTCATTTCCAGTTATTGCTTTAACAATTAAACCGATGATAACATTGTCCTCTGACGTACATATGATTGGTACGCGAGCATCGATAGTGAATGATGTAAAGTATAATATAAATTGCATTATGATACGCTATCAGTTGATACAGAAAGCACTGAGGTTTAAAAATTGCGCGACGTAATTCCAGATTGTTATGAAATAATTGTATTACAAGCTGTAGTTAATTTCTGAGACGCCATAACAATATCGTTTATAAGGAATCTCAGAAAATACCACATTTGTTTGAGATATTATCAATTTATTGTTATATGCTGTTGTTGAAACCTTGCTTAGCAGACGCTTGAATGCTATCGTGGAAAAACAGGACACCGTTGAAAATATCACTAGTAATGAATGTTAATTATATATATTCTTAAAGAAAGCGAACGCGCGTCAATTCTTCCGATAAAAATAATATTTTAATTTTCAAAGATTATTGGAAAGCCTTAATACAACGTAAACTATTATTATTTATATTTTATATATAATAACTTTGATAAACATTAGAGATATGTTTTTAATTAGTTTAATATTTAATATAATTTTATGTGTGGATTATTATCATATTTCCAAGATACTACAAGTATAAATAAAATTTTTCTATTATTAAAGGAGAATTAATATCAGAGGGGTAATTTCTGAGACACTCTACATTTCATATTATTGCTTTGTTGAAAGTTTGCACGAATGCAAACCGATAAAAACATGTAGAATATTTACAAACGATAAAGCGCGATTCTTTTACGACGATTAATGCATTTACGTAGTACGTACGAATATGACAAAACTCGTGATTACAGAGATATCTTTATCTGCAATATCTGTACTTTCCTCCCAACGATTGTTCCAAATCAAATCTGAATCTCGATAATGCTCGTCGAGTAATTACGTTGTGGATAAAAAATTTGATGATAATGTATATGTATGTGAAAAAGAAATTTGAAAGGATGATCTAATGTCAGATGTATGGCAACATCATCAATATTTACTAATCTTTATTAATACTTTTTGATCGTATACGGAAATCGACGTCTCGCGATATCCGGAACGAGGTTATCGCACGATCGGAATGGATTAGAGAATTTGAAGAAAAACTTGCATCTCAGAGAAAGTATAGTAGTCGGCCGTGATTAAGGGAATTAGTCGGATGCTGAGGTGAATGGAAGTGAGCCAGAGCGCTCAATTGAAAAACCGGTTTAAACCTCCAAATCTATTCACATCAACTATTGTGATTATATAAGACTGTATAAATCATAATACATTTTCTTTTTAGCGCATCAGTAAAAATGTGCAAAAGAAGGATGTGAAGTTATTTACAAAATATTTCGAAGAATACAGTAGTTTCTGTATGAATTCACGGATCTATACATCTCTTGTGCAAAAATACTATTGGACTAATAAACCATTAAATAAATCTATTAAAACAAATAATGTACAATATTGGATTCGAATGATTTTCCAATTATTTCTAATCATTTTCGCGATTCCAATTGTATTTTTCCATAAAAGTCTCTACGAAGATCAACATACAATGATTTGATCTTTTTATTAAAGCAGCGAGACGCCGAATTACACAAATTCGCGTTATATTTTTATGTAAAAATATGAACAAACACATGTGCTTTGCAAATCTGCAAAGATTTCGTCTCTCTTCTCTCGTTTTTTTATTTTATAAAATTCTGAAATATTCTTCCGATATTTCTTCGATATTCTAGCGCGCAAACGCAATTTCTAATTTATCGCTGTCCTTCAGAAAAATAAGCACGATTAGTTAAATTATACAATGACTAATATTTAAGTACAAAAATAAGTGTAGGTAAGAAATTTACCTGCCGCACATGCATTTTATTCACGGCCATCGTACGCGCAGTAGATCGCGATAGCGAGTTTGAGAGAGAAGGAATACTGATGTATGTCAATACTGATCGAATACCACGAGGATCGTTTCACTTCATCAGGATATTCTATCCGATACGTTACACTTGTCTACCCCGATCATCCAGATCGAGGAGCCAACAACAATCGGTCACTCGTCGCGTCGTCGGTTTCGACGGCTCCGTTCGTACGCGCTCGTACATCGAGACTGACATCAGCGACTATGAGTGAGCACAATATTGTTGCCCAGAGTCGGTAGGTAGGTAGGTACCACACCATGTAAGCACAGTAGGTATATCTCGAAGCAGGCATAATATATACACGTGACGGGCGAGCATTACATCGGTAGTGCGAGCGCGCAGACCGGCGTAGTATTTGGAACAACGTACGTGAAAGTACGTGATCGCATATATAGGGCCACGTGCGACTCGCCGTTCATTTTCGCAGGTGGTTCAGGTACGCGCGGATGTGACAGTTTCTGCTTGATTAAAGCTTGATTTATCTCCGAGAGTTTACGAGAGTTCGTGATTGGAAAGCGCGAGACGTCATTGCACTACATACAAAATGCATAATATAAGAAGAAAGACAAAAAATACAACATCATGATTTTGAAGAAATTGATTTTCCCTTTCAGACCTAATGAATAATATTTATATCACGGCAGTTAATCCCGTATGCAGCAAAACTCGTCTGTTATTACTATCGATAGGAAATATCGCGATACTAATATTAGAAATCTGTGACTTATGTTGCTGACCTCGTTGACGTAAATTAAATCCGCGTCTGCGGAATAAAAGCTGGAGAAGCTGTGCATTTTGTATAGTAGTGTGGTTATCGGAAACACGCGGCGTATGTTACGAGTGTAATTAAAACCGAGTTGTCGTATCCGCCAATTCAATTGTTAGGCTTCTGTTCCCGGTAATGTGACGTATTACACACGTATGTACACATACATGCGACCTTTTTTATATGTGTGCGTATTATCTATATAGTAGTAGAATAATCTCATATACATATTGCATTCGAATTATTATAGTCATATCTTTTGTTTACAGCGAAAGATAAGCATTGAGAGATAGATATGATTGTACGAAAATTAAAAAATCGCTTTCATCCGGACTGTTAATTAAATAACGTAATTTCAAGAAGAAGAAATTGAATTAAGCTTTCGCGAAAAAAATAAATCCACACAATTAAAGTTCGTTGTAAAAACCGCCGTTGAAACTTTCGTGCGAACTTTCATCTCAAACTGGAATATCACGCATGTATTGCGGAATCTCTTGTAAAACGGCCAAGTAGGATCGCGCGATGACAGGTAACACAGGCAGAGAGAAGAGTTGCTTAATGAAATCGCGGTCGATCGACAGAACGTGAATGTAAATTCGATGCGGGACATTTGATTTTGCAATATCGAAAAATGCGGGAAGCTCTTTCGTCGCGACATAAGATCGCAGAATTTTACATTCTCGTTTTTACGTTTTTCTTTTCTTCTCGTCGTTTATTAATGTACGTTTGAAAATGTAAGTCTCGTACATTGCCGTCATCATTGAATTATATAACACGTTTTTAAATACGGTAATAATAACTTTTCGACCTTGCGGTAACGCTACTATTGAGCGAAAATAATCACAGGTATGGGCACGCAAATTTTTCGCAGTGGCTTGCCGCACCGGAACCACACGATATAGGCAAAATTATCAGATAGAATTACGGAATACAAATGATCATGAAGACATTCATATCTTATCTATTTATCTATCTGCGATCTTAAATCTAAATATCTTAAACACCTAGATATAAAGTGTATAAACGTATACACAGTGTTTCTTGAATATATTTACGAATTAGATGCTGATTTCCTGATTAGGAGTGTGATCTCACCTCTTCTTGCTCTTCGAAACTGCTTTGATTATCCGGATGATCTAAAAACGTATAATATAAATATTTACGAGGCTGACAAAAATAATTTACATTATTAGAGCTTGATTGTGATTCGAGATAGGCGTTACCACGAGAAGGTTAAGACTGGCAAAGTTGTATAACACTGAGAATTACTTAATTTTATCATCAAAGTGTCTTTATTTACAATAATTACTTGATATCGGCATAAATAGTTTAAATTGAATAATTTAAGATATTAATTGCTACTATTTGAAAATCAATCTAATCATTGTCAGTAAATTATTTGGATCTATATCTTAGTGAAAGCAACTGGTGATCATTTACGCCGATCATCAATATTCATGGTGCCGATTTGGCTGTTTAAACTAGGTCACGGTCCAATCATGTGTCAAGCCGATAAAAGAATCATTAGGCAAATAGTTTCGACAATTAAACTGCTGAATATTCGATGAATATTTACTGCGATAGAGTCTCTGAAAGCACCGGGATTGAGTAAAATCAGATAATATATGTTCGACAAATGTAATGATATTGTTGACGTCATTTTTGACTTTGTTTCGTTACTCGATAATTTCTTATCATGCTTCCTGTATTAATTACAACGATTTACCTTAGATAAATGACGTTGCCGAAAGAGAAACAAAAAGATTATTATCGCAGAGTTTAACAATTACCGCCGGCCGTATCGACGGATGCAATACTCGACATTCTTTGAAGAGATAAGAAAAATTGTTTACTGTTACTAGTCTAAAGATTTTTTCTGATTTCCTGCCTATCATCGGTACGCTATTGTTTTTCATTCTTAAATAGAACTTAAAATTTTGTTTAATTAAATTAGTTTTATTCCAGTAATCAAAGATGCTTCTATCAATTTATATCAATTAAATCATTTACCCTGCTCTATCTATCTACTCTACCTATTCAAATGTAAGTAATAGAATATTTTTATATAATTTAAAAGATTATATAATATTTAATAGACTTTACAATAATTTCAAACAAAAGGTACAAATACTGCATATTCTATATAATAATGGGAAAAGAGTCAAAGGTCACGAACAAGGCTAAATGTTGATTGCTCAATAATATTTTTAATTTTTAAATCTTTTAAATTTCAACTATCGTAAACTGCGCGCCGATTTCTGTCAATCTTTAAGAATGCAATTTTTAACAATAGTCTTCTGTTTATTGCATAAAGCCATAAAAGATAAGAAAATCTAAATGTTCATTAAATCCCTAAATTACCTAACATTTGTTTTTTACTTGTTAAATAGAACAATTTTCAAAATCGTTATTCCGTCAATCACTTGTTTAATCATTTTCCAGTTTATCTATTAAGACTAATTATTTAGTTGATGATTATTTACTTACAATGAATAAATTATATTTTAATCATTCCGAAATTTGTTGATTGCTATAAAATTAAAGTAGCAAGTCGATTTGCGTCAAACCAACGTAAAGCTTTGCAACTTTATTAGCAGCTGTGTTTGAGAACTGCTGAAGAAAACTTTATATTTATTTTTATTATTGGGAACAAAGAATGTGTAATAACGATTAACTGAAGTATAAGTTTATCAGAGAAAAGCATTCTTATTTCAGTAATATCTTGGATCACATAATTAATCGACCGGATTGAAAGAAAGGCAAATCGCATGGGAACGAAATATACATAAGAATATTGCCAATAACGGTTAACGTTTGATCTCAATCTAACGCAGAACGTTACAGCTATTTATATATATGTGCCATGTCCATATATATACACACACATAGGGAAGGGAGAGACAAAGAAACGCTGTCATTATAATTGTTAAATAATACCTCGGATTTCGTTTTCGGAATTCTTTCTCTTCGATACGACTGAATCCATTTTTCACCGATTTTCTCAGCGCTGTTCAGCTTATTTCCACGACGTTAACTCGGACACTGATCCGTCTTTCCGATCGTAATATCAACTGCGTATGGATTATCATTCCTCATCTTATCTAACAAAGGCGAAGAAATCTGATTACAAAGACAGAAGTTTTTATCATGAGTGATACAGAAAATTTCGAGATCCTGCATGCGGTTGTGAAATGAATATCGATTTATATATCGTTTGGATTATCCAAAAACGACGCGGGACACTCTGGGTGACTTTTTTTTTTATTTGCAACGTGTATTAGCGAAAGCTTGGTATCAATAAGCCTTGTATAATTATAAGATGATATCAAAATTCTTCCTTTATAAATAAAAATACATACACAATAAGTACCTAGCTCTTATTATGCTCCACTATTGACTTAATTCAAAGTAGTCCCTTCGAAAGCGTTATAATTAGTCACATCGATTCCAGTATATATCTGCCAAAAAAGTACGTTTGAGGAAAATTGTGTCAATTATATTTAAAATAAGAGAATTATTAATTTATCGTTTGTCGGCTGCTGGCGAAGATCTTTTGTAAGTTCTCGTTTATCTTACAATCAGTATACTCGCTTGCTCCCCAGCTGCAATTAGAGTTCAAAAACTTCGAAATCAAATTTAAAAAAAGAAGCAAATCGTACTTATAAACAAATGGTATTTTTCCGTGGGATATTGGGCGAGCGCCATATGATATGAGCACGGCGAACAGAACATTTTTGTTCTTTTTCCTCGGAAAGAGCTTGGATCATGTGACGAGAGAGCTAATGTCTATATAGTGACCGTGCCACAGAGCGATGTAAATGCAACAATTGAACAATACGCGTAAAGTTGCACTCAAAATAGATGTCAAGGCATCCGCGACGTCCGGTGTGCTCGATTTTCAAAGATGCACACCTGCGTATACCTGCGCACCGGATCGCCGGCACCGATAGCAAACTTTGCGTTATAATACGTTTGATTCCGGCCGATTACGAAACCGACTGTAATCACCGCCTTTTCTGTTTTAGCGTTTTCGGGCGATTAATTACGTCATATGCTGTTCTCGTCCAATCTAGAAATCTAAATTAAATAGAGCGTGTAGTAGCGTCATTAATCTCTCGGAGCGATCAAACCTGCCCCGTCTGAAAACGCTATTTGATCCCTTCGGGAATAAAATTCATTTCGATTTTTCCTTTGTTAAACGAACATGATCTTCGAATTTCCGCTTGGCAGAACGACTCGTCAATCTCGTCATAGATCTCTCCCTGGCGATCTTTATTTAGCTCTTGGCTTATATTCGGCCACGAACGCTGCGGTTCATTATACGTCTACCCATGATCGAGAACTGCGCCGGGCCCTTCGCTTCCCCCCTTCCCCGACCCTTCTTCTCTACCAATCTATTCTTCTGCGAAAGTCTCTGTCCATAAAAAAATGATCAAAAGAAAACGTTCCTCTCGATCTCTTTTTTTTTCTCTATATAGCGACTGGAACGGACGGGTTAATTTTGTTGAGCCGCCGTGCGTATTTGGAAGCGGACCGTTTAGCGCGAGAACGGGACGAACTCGCGGCGCGGATGTAACGGTAAAATCGCGTCCGCTGTCCAGCAGTTACAGCAGCCGAGAGTCTGGGTCTCCAGAGCGGCAGAGACGAGGGGGTCTCCTCTCTGCACAGTGCTGTCCGCGCGTTCGTCGACGCGAACCTCTCGCGGAAAAGAAAAACCCTCGATTGATCAGTTTCACATATGGCGTAAACTCGCATGATCGAGCATGCCGCTCTACTCGCGCGGAGTTCACGCGCAAAAGCGTGTTCTTTCGCAACGAGAAATAAGCGCACACCGGAGAACGTTCCGACCGTGCGGCTGGTATTAAAATTCTTAAGAAATCTCGCCACCCGTCATTAATTCCTATCCGCGCGCGGCGTATCGTTATACGCTAGCGAATTTGACCACCGAGCAATTATAAATATATATATTTTGCAAACTGTATTAATAAATTGATATGTGATCATAAATGTGTATAATAAAATTGTAAATGTATAACAAAATATATATTTGCAAAATCTAATTAATAAATCATGATATATCAATGATGTGTATTATACCTATACTTGCAGAAATTGTATACGTTTTAAAATTGCGTACGAAATCTGAAGAAGTCTGGAATGGTTTGGAACACAGTTTGCGAGATAGGGGAGCTCGAGGAAGAAAGACGCTCGAATCCTTACGCATCTTATTGTTTAGTCACTTATAGGGCCACTCCGGAGAGTTCGAGTCCCTGCGACTAAGTCCACTCCTGAGACAACAGTCGCGAGCGGCGAGAGTCGAGACTCGTGCGGTGGCCGCGGAGCGGAGAGGTGAGGAGAGGAGAGGAGACGACGGAGCGACACACGCATTCGCGAGCGATGGGGTTCGATGTGAACCGCTTCCAGGGCGACGTGGACGAGGAGCTCGTGTGTCCGATATGCTCCGGCGTGCTCGAGGATCCCGTCCAGGTAAGACGCGTGTTCGCGTCTCTGAAAAAAGTCTCTGCAACTGCACCCACTCTGCGTCCTAACCTAACCTCCATTATTCGCGTTATGCGCGTTTTTGTGCAAAGAGCTTTGAATCGAGTTCGAGAAAAAAGAGGAATATTCGAGTTTCTTTTTTCTCGAAGAGATGCATACAAGCTCGCGAGGAGGAAGCCCGGATTTTCGCGAGTTTTCATCCGTGAATTTCGCCTCGACTCGTCCGCACGAGTGAGAGATCGACGAGTATACGGGAAGCTTTCACTGATGATTTCGCATACCTAGAGATAAACAAAGAGCTCTCGAATACGTAATATTTCGCACGTCGTTTTCATTTCCCGAGGCATTTCGTTCTTCTTGCGCTCCCATTACGCTCACCTCGAAATAAAAAACGAAACAAAATCGCGCATTTGTGAATATAGGTTAGCTACCGACTTATCGCTTTTAAATGTAGGTTGTAAATGCTATCGCTGATTGTCATGTATCTTTTAGAAAAATGCTTATTCTAAATTGAACGAATGTTTGTATGCCTACGTACCAAATGTACAAGCAATCCTCTCTTTTCTTCTTTATATGCACTTTCCATAACTCCATCCATGTATATAAATTATAAATAGCTCTTTACATTTTCTAATTAGGAACACTTGGACCATCTCTAATTAATTTTAATTGACCAACCGCATCTGTCGTTAAGGCGAAGTAACAAGTGCGATTGATCAATTCCAATGAAATCCTAATCGTCGATTAATTTAACCAAAGTTAATCGAAGTGTTTGTTCTAAAATTCTTTTAATTATGTCATCCTTGGGAAGATATATCGATTTGTCTATATCTTACCTATACCAAAAGTAGCATGTTACCTATACAAATCTGCTGCTTTGTAAAGTCTTACGGACTGGCAGGTGAGCAATGTGTTGCAGGCGCCAGTGTGCGAGCACGCCTTTTGTCGCACCTGCATCAACGAGTGGATAAACCGTCAGCCTACGTGCCCCCTGGACCGTACGCCGATCACGACGACGCAGCTTAGAGCGGTTCCCAGAATCCTGAGAAACCTGCTGGCCCGCCTGTGCATCAAGTGCGACAATATCATGTACGGCTGCACCATGGTTGTGAAACTGGACTGTCTGGCGATGCATCTCGAGCAGTGCGAGTACAATCCGAAGAGACCGATGATGTGCGAGCAGGGCTGCAGTCTGATCATACCCAAGAACGAGCTCAAGGATCACAACTGCGTGCGCGAGCTCCGCAATCTGATACAGTCGCAGCAGCAGAAGTTGACCGACATGAAGCGCGAGCTCGACGAGCAGCAGCTGCAGATCAACGAGCATAAACGCGAGATCCATCTGCTGAAGGACTTTATGCGCGCGCTCAGAGTGTCGAACCCGGCGATGCGCGCGATCGCCGATCAGATGGAGCGGGACGACGTCGTCAGATGGTCCGCGTCTTTGCCGCGCGCTAGGGTCACCAGGTGGGGCGGTATGATCTCCACGCCCGACGACTTGCTGCAGGTGTGGATTATTAATGGCGATTAATTAATTTGTACCGATTGCTAAACTGATTTTACGACCGCCCCTCCGTACGCTGATATTGCACGTTTTTACGTTTTGCAGACGATGATCAAGAGAACTCTGTCGGAGTACAATTGTCCACCCCATGTGATTGACGAGCTGATGGAAAACTGCCACGAGAGGAAATGGCCGCCGGGTCTTAATTCCCTGGAGACCAGACAGAATTCTCGACGACAATACGACAACTACGTGTGCAAAAGAGTGCCTGGCAAGCAAGCGGTGCTGGTCCTCCACTGTGATAATATGCACATGCCGGAGGATATGATGGTCGAGCCTGGGTTAGTGATGATCTTTGCGCATGGTATCGAGTAGAATTGTTGGATATCGTATATGAATACGATTGTTAATCGAACACCACGGGCGTCCGGAAACACTGATATCATGTCGCAAACGCAGAAGAAGCGTATTTTTGCTCGGCCGTAGTTTGCGAATTGACATAAGTTATTCTGGATCTTCGTAAAATTAATTTGAGAACTATCATCCAATCGTCGTGTCGTTTTACTCGGAAAAATTCCTTCACCGGGGATACTCGCGCGTTTACGGTTGAAACCCTAAGATTGCAAGATTGTCCTTGATGCGAATTCATTCCGTAGATAAATCGAAGCCGTCGAGCATACGCAAATGATGATACTGTCGCCCTTTGTGATACGCGATTCTAGAGGCGCGATTGTCACGTACAGGGTCGATTGGGATTATAACTGTAATCGATATACGGCAAACAATACCGGTAAACATGTTTCTCGCCGTTCGTCAAGTTTGACTCGCCGTTATCGGTTATCTCGATCGAACTCCCACAGAAAAAACTCAATCGAGTATCTGAATCGTTGCACTGTGATATTGACCACTTCGGTGAGAGACCTCCTGAAATCGCGTGATAAATGACCGACCACCGCCTCTCCTTGGCCGGTCGATTGATCGAATTGTACATTTTTTTTTTTCGTCGGCGGTTCGTTTATCGTCCATTTCAGGATCATTTACGGATACTTGGAAGTCTGTGAATGTTTTACTATAATACTTTAGAGAGAAAGAGAGAGAGAGAAAGAAGCGCGTAAGCGATGATTGGAGAAAATTCCTACTAGTAATCAAGCAAGAAACGGGAAATCTTAAAATGGGATTCACACATTCGTCACACAGTGTGATCCTTTTTTAAACATTAGACGCGTATTGATTATGTCAGAAATCGCGTTTTTTTTCCTAATGATTTTTTTCCCTGCAGTTCTTTTCTTATATCCATACTTCCTTTCTTCTTCTTCTCGAACTCTTCCTTTTCTTTTTGCAAATGTACTCTAAGCTATGCGCCGTAAACAAGCTAATCATTATCATCGTCTGCATACGAATTGTAAGCATTTCATGAAAAAATTGTTGCTAATTATCCTTCGTTGAATATGCCACAGATAGCTTGATTGCTCTGAGTTAACGACACCTTTTGCTTCCTCGCGTCGTATCACTGTTTTATCGTTCTATTAAAAGAAATATTGAATTTAAACTTTTCAAAGGCATGCTATCACAATTTTATTCGATAGCAATCGTAAGCCACTACATAAATTATTTTTGTAACAATAAGTTAGCTTGTATACTGTCGCAGTACTGATCTATGATTTGCGAATCGCATAACGCTAAAATGCTTTTTCGTTTAACTTCTTAGTTTGCCATGCTATATTGGTTTAGGATCGACAGATTATTAAAAATTCTTTTTCAACGGTACAATCGATCTTGTAATCTATTTTTGCAACACAAGATAATGCCACATAATGAGATAGGATAAAGGTACTAGAATTTTTGTTCTTTCAGAAAAACTTCTGTTAGTACGTACGTCTTACGTTACTTCTAATTACTTCCAATAAGTCTTCGAAAAAAAAAAAAATCAGATACAAACACGCTGACAATTGTCGCCAAAAAACAGAAGAGAATAGTATTAACTGCCTTTCGTACCTTTTTTATTCGATAAATTATGTTATCTGATAAATAACATGAGTTTTAATTGTAGCATTATAACGTCTAGAGATTGTAGTAAGACAATCGATGAACAGGCTGATTTTATATATAATATACATTATATATATATATATATATATAGTACATAATTAATTGTAATAAAGCACAGATTTTACATAGCATAAATGATTTAATATGCATTATATTTTTATTTTATTTTTTCACTTTAATCAGACTACACAATCCATAAATCCCGTCTCGAATTACGCGTGACAAATGGATTCAAACAAGTAATGTGTATAACTAATTGGCAGAAATCATGAAATGTTGAAACTAAACATTGCAAGAAACGTTTCTGTGGCTGTGAACTCTAATTTAGTGAATAATGCTGTATTATTTTTCATACTCTTTTGAGATAGCAAGTCTTTAGCACTAAAAAGTTGCGACCGATCATATTGTCCATATTATGACCCATAATGACAGTTGAAAAAAAGATCTATTTTACAATAAAAAACGAATACTTTTCCCAAAATTGTATTAACAAAAATTCGTGCACGCATTATTTTCTAAATTACGTTTCAACATTTTTGTGGCATTTTTATATTCGTTGTTTGTTTCTTGGAAAGTATAATTTATTTTGTTGTTGAAATTTACGTAAAATTGTCATTTGTGCATAAATTTTACGATTGCACTTCCATGATAGTTTTTATATAAAATTCTAGCGTAATAATTGCGTATAAATTGATGACACAGTAGTGCTTTTAGCAAACGTGCATTTATAAATGCATTTTATTTTTCGCATTTTCATTAAACTTTTCTGACTATTGGTTTTACAATCGCAAATCGTTTCATTATATGATCATTATAGTGATACGACGTCGTGTCTTGACAAAGGGGCAAGCGATTATTTTAGTATAGCGATTTCCATAACATTAATGATACCAAGACTGAGCCAAAAAGAGATGAAAATCGATGAGAATGAATTTTTGAGAATTTATTATGTAAGAATTTGGATTTATTTACAAGATGTGCCGAATGCGATAACGCACAAATATTACATATATATTCAATATATATATTCACAAAATAAAAAACGCTTATGACTTTTATAGAAATTCTGATTTCCTTTGTAATGATTATGTTGAAACCAACTTCCTGTGTGTTCTACACATATTTTATAACTTACGTCCTTTATTAAATGATATCTTTGGTTACAAATGAGTTTTCTTATTCTATACAAAGAGTTTTTGATTGAAAAAAAAATTTTTTCGCAAAGACAATTAATCTGCAAGTTCGGTTTTTTACTATTTCTTATCTATTATTTGTTTTTTAAGCTCGTCAGAGATTAATAAAGTATTTCGAGGAGGAGAAAGATGATCGAATTAGGATTTTGGATAAAACTATAAATTCGGCCATCAGAATTCTTTCATCTTTTTAAATTGTTGGGCATACACCGGCGATAACTTGTCCGTAGGCTCGTTCAGGCCTGATATGGATTTCTTTTGTGTTGATCACAATATTATTGATGCAGCCAACATACTGAGCCTGCGAGGTACTGCCTCGTAATCTTCGTCCCAGTAACGGATGGCCACCGATGAATACCGGATGTCTTGATAAAACTCTAGTTACGGTTTTGCCACCGACTCCGGGTATTGCCGTTTTGTGATCGACTGATAGTAGTACTGCATTTTTCTGTTTGACGGCTGTTGAAAAGAAAAGGAGAGAATAGTAGAACGCGATTTAAATAACGTCGATTGTCAATAGTTTGTCTTTATTTTAGTTATAGGTAAATTCTAAATTAATAAAAAAAAATCAAAATTAAATTTTCGGCTTCAAGAATATTCTTAACATCAAATCTACTTGATATAGTGCTGTTTACCTCGAATATGGTGCCAATTGCCGTCGCATAGAGCGTTTGGTTTCGTCGGTTCAAACGCGGTCTCAATTGAACCCTTTTGCGTTTTTATAAGAAATTTGATGGTACCGTTAACCATCTCTAGCACAAGATGATCCCTTTTACCGTGTACCGATAGCAAATGTCCAGATGTCGATCGCGGTTTTATTTCCATTTGAATGTCGATCGTGCGATCCACGTTAAATCGATCAACTGAAAATTAACAAAATATTTCCTTTAGCTAACAATCTTCGATTCAGTTAATTGCTATTGCCGAGTTAGAGACGATATCGAAACATTTCTTTAACGAAATACATATATTTGTATTTAATTTCCTTACCTGCTTTGTATAAATTACTGCCGTTTCCTGGGTAGAAGAAGAGACCAGGCTCGATTCTCTTCAAGCAAGGCATCACGCCTATTCTTTCCGATGGTTCTCCAACGGGCTGCCCGTTCATCATGAAATTTCCTAGACAGCCGCTGAACGTTTTATTGAGGCCCTGAAACAAAACAAAAAAATTTGTCATTTGTGTACCTTTGCAATCCTAAGCGTGAGATTAAATAAAAGACCAGGCAATCTCACAATTGTTGTGTACGCGATGTCGGACATTTCCGGCAAGACACCACCCACGAAGAACGGCGGATTGACATTGACAGTAGTGGTCTCTCCCAATGAGTATCCGGTCACTGGTTCCTCCTCGTCCACAATTAGCGTACCGTAGTTACCTTGTCTCCTGAAGACCACGGTATGCCACTGCTGGTTGCTGATCATCTTTTCACTCACTAGCAATGCCGGTCCACTTCCGCAATCGAATTTGTAGTGGATCTAGAAGAATAATTTTCCAAGATCAAGATGATTTGTAAAACAACTTTTTCACATGAAGGAAAGTACTTCCTCTTACCTTTCCATCGAGCATGTACACGGTGATTAAATCTTGTTTATTGATGTCAGCAGCATAGAATATAATTCCATCGTTCGCCATTGTTTTTATACTAATCTGGAAATCGTAGTCGTCTTTGTATCTTCCGTTTAATGTCCTATATTCTAATCTACTGTTTCTCGTAGTACCTAAAAATAATTATTGGCCGTATGAGAAATTTTTATTAACATAAATTAGAATGTCGGATCAAATATAATTTCATGTAAATATTTTTTCCACTTATTTAAAAATCGTTAAAATACCAAATTGCAAAGCATTTTCACGATCAGGATCTGTTGCCGGATAGTACGGCAAGTGACATTGGTCGATGGTTTCAGGCTGTTCGGTTGATCTTTGCGTAGTAGTTGTGACATCATGTTTGTCTACATTAAGTCGACCTTCCAAATCTGGTTCTTCGTCTTCTTTCTCATCCTCCTTTTCATATTCGAGGTCTATTACATCTAAAAAAAAAAAATCATTTGTTTTTATTCTATCTGTCCATTTTTGTTTATGTCAATAAAATTTTTCTGTGTATATATAAAGATTTTGTTTTATATAATAAATATAACAATTATTTTGCTTCGCCTACTGGGTTGAGTTGCTGTCTCTACTGTGTCCTCTAGACCTTCCGACGGCAGTAACGGTGGCAGAAATTCAGGTTCGACGATTGGTGGTGAAACTAAAAATGTTTAAACGATTAAATATAGCTGAAATGTATACTGATATAATAATTCGATTAATTAGTATCCCAACGTACGCGTCTGATCACCGCCTTTGCATTTTCCTAGAACCGCGTGTGGTCTCTCGGTCGTGTTGGCGAAATTGATGATGATCTCGCTATTGAGGGTCGCGTCGCCAATGCAACCGACGAAGGGCACGATTTTCCGCCCTTCCGAATCGAAATCTGACGGCAGTCCACCAATGTACAAGTCGCCGTAGAGGAAGTGCAACGACGGCGGCGCCGAATCGGTACTGTAGTTCCTCGTGTCGTCAATGTCGAGGCTAAGAGCCGATTGATCATGAGTGGCAGTCACCACGTGCCACTCGTTATCGTCGAACCTAACATCCGGGCTGGTCCTAAGCTCCTCACCCTGGCTGTTGAATACCAACTGACCGTCCTCCAGTGATAGGTAACTAGTAGCCGCATTCTGTTGATGGTTGCTGGTCGCGTAGAAAATCAGACCATCGCTGGCCAATGTTTTGAACTTGAGATTCACTTGTAGACCGTCGGATGCCAAATTACGCCATCTCACATAGCCGGGTATGTTTTTCTCGAAAGAAACGAGACTGGCAAACTGAAAGAGATAATTTCGAGAGTTCAGCGATAAGACAAAAAGTTTCTTGATCTGAAACATTTCTGTTTTTACATCAATGATCTGCGAGCAATTAAAATTCTGCTCTAATTACCCTAACTGGACAGCCAGGCATAACTCCAAACGCCTGCACGTTGCGCGTGAGATCGACAGAAGTGTCGAAGATGAGCACGTTATCGATACATCCTTCGAAGCCATTGTTGGTAACCGATTCGTAGGGACGCTTTGCGTTAGGTGGATATCCACCGAAATAAATGTGATCTGATGAGGTCAGAGGCTTGGTGGTCCCTTTCTCTGGATGCGACGCGACTGGATGATCATCGACCTTGAGCGCGCCCAATGTATCCTGTCTAACAGCCTCTAGAGTGTGCCAGTTACCATCGTTGTACCTATCCGAGGACCTCAGAGCAATCGTACCCTCGCCGAGATCATACTGGTACAACAATTGACCGTTTCTCAATTCCAGAGACAAGAACTGTCTACCCTTGCCCATTAAATAAATTAATCCATCCTCCACGAAAGTCTTGAAAGACAGTTTGATAATGAATCTTCTGGTATCTGGCAAAATTTGCGAGCTCCTCTTGCTGAGGATTGCGTAGCCGTGTCGGTCGAAACGGTAACCTCTGCTCGGCGCGAAATTAATGAGCTTGTCGCGTTCGAGCGCGCTCTTCTGATTGTTCTCGCCGTCGACGAAGTTCCAGAAAGATACCGGTATATCGCCTATCATCAATTCCTCCATTTCGCCCTCGAAAGAGAACGCGGATACGGCGTCTTGGATGCCGAAGGACGATGGATAACCACCGACGAAGAGCTTCGAATGCTCCTGGTCCACATTAAAGATGTAAAGAGAACCCGGTAAAACCTGTTCTTTCTCGTACAACCTATCCTTGCCCTCACCAATATCTTCGCGAACGATCAACTTGACATTCTTGCCAGTTCTGAAAGAAAAATTTCGAAGAATATTGATACAAAATTATATTTTTGGATTAGATAAAGTCAGTGCGAGTTGATACCAACCTGTCGATAATTATCTGCCGCCACACATTATCCGATACCCATTTGTTATTGATTATCTTCTCTGGTCCGGATCCCAAATCGACTACAAGCACCGGATTTCCGCCTTCAATCGATAACGCCATGAAGTCATGCTGCGAAATATAAAATTATCGTTGGAAAATTTTCTTCATATTTCTTTGGTCCCCCCCCCCCTCCTCAAATTAGTTCTTTTTCACAATTATTACATTAAATTTTATTGGTCTCTTACCGTCTTAGAGCGTGGTAGCTTTGTCTTTTCCTCATTGCCGAGATACAATAGAAGACCGTTGGTCTCGTTGGTCCTGAAATACAGTGATATCTTTGTGGATGTAGCTAATAGTGGCAAACTCTCCGGGTTCTTCAGTTCCAAAGTAGTGTTCCTGAAGAAGGTCAAGCCGGTCTTGAATCGATTGGCGAGTTCCCGGGCATTCGCGATTTTGTTTCTCAGAGCCTCGATTTTACTTTGCAGATCGTTCCCAGTTGCGTCGATCGATTTCTGATTGCCATTCAGACTGTTTAGCAGACTATTAATGTTCGGCATTATCTTATCTACAACATCCAACTGTTTGTTTGCCTGTGAGATGTCACGGATTGACTCTGATGTATTTTTCGAGAGTTGCTTCGTCTCTCGTAGATCTTCCGGGATTTGATTCACGATGTCATTCATATCGTCGATAGCGAACTTGATGTTACGCTCGACGTTCACCGCTTGATTCATGGCATCATACGCGACCGAAGACGATTGCGAAGGAATGTTGCCAAGCGTCCTGCAATTTTTATTTGTCAAGAACAGATATGTGCTTGAAAACTCAACGTGTTTTAACATGCTTGTTGTCTTTGGATGAATTTAATTCAGTATAATTAGTATTTGATTATAAAAACAAAAATTAATTGAATTGGAATTAAAATAGGCCAAGAAACTGGAATTAAAATTAATATAGAAAACAAGCTGTACTTGTCGATGGAGTCGAGAAGTTCCTTGTTACGTTTATTTTGATTGTCAATCAGAGTCGCGTTACTCCTTGCGTCTCGCAAATCATTCTCGAGCTGACCCGTCGTTTTCCTTAGAGCCAACTGCGCGGCAGTTAATAATTTGAAGGACTCCTCTCGAGAATCCAGCATATTTTGCTCGAGTCCGTCAGTCTGACATTAATACACAAAATAAAATTCAATTCAAGAAAATAGATATAAAATTGAGAATATCCAGTATTTTACCAGCAAAGTTGCATTCTCAGCAGCGATTATGGCATTGTTCGCAGCATCTTTTGCAGCTTGAATTGCAGTTTCGATATCTCTATATGCTGAAACGGCTCTCACTGCGTTAGTATTGCGAGTGTCGGTCAATAGACTATCCAATTCCAGTGAACGATTGTATAGGTATGCCGCGTGAACATGGGCTTTCAGCCTGACTGGCTCAGTCTCCTTCAACATTTTATCATTTTCCTCTTTGGTGTAGTTCAGTTGATTAGTCGCATCGTTGATATCGTTAATTTCTAAAAAAAAAAAAGAAAATTCATTATTTTTGCGATCATTTTTATCATCCTCTTTACAATTACCAATCAGAGTATCAAAAAAACACCCACGTATAAGTTCGATATTGTCCTTTGCCTGATTAAGGAAATCACTGGCGTTATTCCTGAGCTGCTCCCCGGCCTCCAGGTCCTCTCTTGCCTCGGCAGTGGAGTTTTTCACAACATCGAGATTACCGGTATGCGCAGCGATTTTATTTTCTCGATTCAGCTTATCTACCATGCTGGCAATTTCTTGAGCTTGCTGCACGGTGTCCAGCAAGTCGTCCATCTTAGCGGTGGCATTTTCGATTTTGTTGCTGAGGTCAGCTGCGGCAGAGCTTAGATTGCTGACCGGAAAGTTGTACTCCTGCATTTCAGAAATCAGGATGTTGGCCTGGTCCGCTTGGTCCAGCGCCTTATCCCGAAAATTAGTGAAGGAGACGTCCTTAATTCCTTTAAGAATCTCCTTCGCCTCGTTCAATGCGTTATCGATCTTGGCGCCCGTTCCCTGTTCAATATTCACCGCTAGCGATTGTACTTCCGCTACGATCTGATTTACCAGCTCGATTTTGCGCTTCGCATCCTCCTCCAGATTACTCATGTTCTGCAACGTTATCTGCGCGCTGTTCTTCCATTTGACGCTGTCCTCAGCGGTAAAATCGATCTTTCGATTTTGATTATACACTTCGTGTTCCAGCCGTTTCAGCTTCTTCTGCAATGGCATCAGTAAATCTACCCGACTTGGATCCAATAATTCAACTTCGGGATAGAGCTCGTTAACCGTATCGTTGATAAACTTGAGTCGTTGATGTGTAAAGTAGCCTTCCGCAACCGTCTGAAAGTGCGTTAAGAACACATTAAGTTATATTAGTTTTTAAACAATGTGTATATAAATATGTATATTCACGAAATATTGCCATTTATTTACACTGTACTTGCGCGAGACAGGCTCTAACAAATCGGCTAGTTCGTCCGTGACATCTAGAAGATTTCCCGTGCAGGAACCGCAGGAGAAGCAGCCCTGCGCTGGGATGAGCACGTGCCGATACGGGCAGTGATCGCACTTTTCGCCAATCACACCAGGTAAACAGGTGCACTGACCGGTGGTTGTGTTGCAGGACACACCAACGGAGTAACCAGTGTGACATTCGCATGCTGAAAGAAATAGATAATTATATGTCTATTCTTATTATGTGATCATCTTAACGATTTATCTAATCTTTAATCCGAGCAGACTTTAATTCATAATAGCTGTAGAACGTAATAATTATTGAACGATTTAAGAGAGGTACGGATCTGTTCATCGTAAAATAAATTTTCATTCGAATCTTTCACAATTCGTAGATTCTCACTCACGATATTAAAAAAATAAATAAATAAATAAATCAAGTAATGATTCAAGAAGAATGATCTTACATGTGCATCCATCCGGTCCGTAATTCCAATACCCCTGAGTGCACTGGTCGCATCTGCGACCGGTGGTGCCTGGCATACATTTGCACTGTCCCGTTTCTCCGTCGCACTGGCTACTCTCCGAGGCCAGATCGCAGTCGCACGGCCTGCATCCGTTGCAGGTGTCGAAACCGTAATGATCGGGTGCGCAGCGATCGCAATGCTCGCCAATAACATTTTCTTGGCAGAAACATTGACCGCTGTAGCTGTCGCAGTGCTCCATCCCGCATTCGTCGCATACGCAGCTACGACAGTCTTTCCGCTCCACGGCGTCGCCGAAGTAGCCGGGGGCGCATAGATTACACGCCTCGCCGTAAGTGTTGTTCAAACACTGTAAACACTGACCGGTGAAGCTGTCGCACGAGCCAACTTGATTGGTGTCAATGTTACCGGAGCACTCGCACGGCTTACAGTAATCGCTGTACACCTCGGGATTGCCGTAATAACCGGCGGCGCAAGCCTCACATCGGGCGCCGTAGTATCCGGGCAGGCAGTCGCAGCTGATCTTATTGCCCTCCTCGTTCACCTCGCAGCCGGTGGCAAAGTTGTTGGAGGCGACTGGCAACGGGCATGCACAGATCAGACAATCCGTCGGTGTGCCCACAGTGGCATTACCGTAGTAACCCTCCTCGCAGTACTCGCAATGATCGCCGACGGTGCCATTCTTGCAGTTCTACGAAGAGAATCGGAAAAGTTACAGATTTAAAAAAAAAACGGATTTTTATCCCGAGGAAGTCTCTATAATTCACCTGACAGATTCCGGTATTCACGTCGCACGTAGTCGCATGGCCGTTGCATTGACATGGCGCGCAGTATCCTCCGTACGGTCCCGATTTGATCCTATAGTATCCTGGTGCGCATTCCTCGCACGAAAGTCCTTGGTAATTGGGTGGACACTGACACTGCTCCACGCTGCTAGCCGGGATGCTGTACTGAGCCGAGTATTGTTCCGTTGTGACGTCCAAGGTTGCGTATGATAATCTGTAAAGAAATATTTATTGAAAGGAAATAAATGATCCCTCGACATTTCGTGAAAGAAATATCGAAGATATACGTACGAAGCCATGATGCTGGGATTCCAGTACGTGGCACGCACGTATATTCCACGTAGATCTTCGAGAATAACCATAATCTGTTCTCTGGTAGCGCTGAGTCTATTGCTAGTTACGAAGTTAGCCTCGATGAGGCGGACGGACGCTCTAAAGTTCACGAAGGATGGCGGTTGCTCGTCGGAATAATAAAACAATGTAGTGTCGGCGCCCTGAAGGATCACGTCAGCGGCACTGACAGCCTTGCCGAAGGGTCCCGTGCTGTAGTAAACGCTATAATTGAAATAACCACCGTAAGAAGTCAGCTTTTTATTGAAATAGGTGTCGGGCGCCGAAAAGTAGACGACGTTCTCGAAGGTGTCGTTGGTGGTGAGCGAAACCGTGACTGTAGTCGTATTCTCCACAGGGTAGGTCGACAGAGTGGTGAAGTTGCCACTCTTATCGATGGGTGTGACCAATTCCCAACCGTCCATATCCATAAGATGGGTCCAATAGAGATTTGCGGAGGCGCATCTGATGAATAAATATTAAATCTTAAAAAAAAATGTTTTCTTTAATTTTTTACACATTGACAGCAATCAGTCTATTAATGATGATAGATTTGAGTACACTAGCGTAAATATTGCAACAATGATGACAAATACGGAGCGTACCTGGTGGTCTTGCCAAAGCAGAAGCACTTAGTACAACCGTCCGCATTCTCAGCCTGAATGTCGAAGGTGCCTTCGCGGCACACGTCGCACGCCTGGCCCTGCACGTTCGTCTTGCAGAGGCACTCGGCCGTGTATTGGTCGCAGATATCGCCGGTTGTGCCGCGTGAATCGCAGTCGCAGCGCTCGCAATGCGGAAACTGCGAGTAACCGGCGCGGCAGCGATCGCATTGACGGCCCACCACGTTCTCCTTGCAGCGGCAGAAGCCGTCGAGTAAATCGCATTGTAGATCACCGTCCAAGACGCCCACGGGTGAGCAGTTGCACTCCTCGCAGCCGATAAGCGGATGGAATCCGTAGGTGCCGGCCACACACTGGTCGCATCGTTGACCTGTCACCCGAGGCGGACAGATGCAATTACCGGTATCCTCCTCGCAAAGAGCGGGACAGTTGCACGGTCTGCATCTGGGAAAGCCGTAAAAGCCAGACCTGCAGATCTCGCATCGTCTGCCAATGATGTTCGGCCGGCAGGGACACTGGCCGCCAAATTTCTCACACTCGAAGCTGGTGGAACCCTCGCTGTCGCAGTTGCAAGGCAGCGCGCCATTGTTGTAATTGGTCGTTAGAGAAAAACTGGAATCACGGCAGAAGTTGTCCTCGGTGACGTTAATATGGTAATGACTGCTGCCGCAACGCTTGATAAATTCTTTCGTCTGGTCGAACTGTAATTTATCAAGGATCTTCTCGTTGTACTGATCCGCCGGGATCACCAGGACGTAGTCCAACCAGATACCGCGACCGGGCTCTTTCAGTGTCAGCATAAAACTTTCAATCAGCTGAAACCTGATGTCGTTGTTGTCGATTTGACGTACGATGCTACGACAGCCGCTGTTACTGGGACAATGAGGGACCAGCACCTTCGCCTCGTAGAACTTGCCGTTCGACACTAATACATCTAGCTCGAACTGAGGATGATCCGGTTGATAATACTGTATCACGAAGACGTAGTCTCCCGGTTGGGACACCTTCGCGTGAATGTCCATCATGTTGCCGTCACCTAGGTAGATCAATTTAGTGGCGTTATCATAAATACCGGGAGGTAGATTTACAGTTTCGTTGTTAGAGGCCTCGAATTCGATCTTCTTGGCGTCGGCGGCACCGGGGAAAATTCCTTGCACACATTTGCCGTTTTTCCTCACGCAGACAGACTTGGGCTTTATGTAATCCAACGACCATTGATGGTAGGGAATTGCCACTATCGAGTCGATCGCGACGTTTGAGGTCGGCTCGCCGGTCAGCACCAAGCTAACGTAATTCGACGGGAAATTTACGACGGCCACCTTGCCGTAGGAGTCGGTGACAACCTGTCGACATGTGCTGGTATACCTACAGGGATTCAGAGTGACTTTGCCCTTGCCGACTGTATTCGCGACTAGCAGCACCGACGTGTGTTGCTCGTCCCGTGGAGTGACATAAGTCACCACGAGAACGTGAGGACCAGGTTTGCTGATTCTTAGTTCAAAATGAATTTCTTCTTGTTGCTCGTTAATAAGCGGCACTTCATCCTCGCCGATCTCTTGCAAAGTCTCGCGATCGGTAAAGTACTCGGTCAACGGGATCCGGGCGTCTTTCTCGCTGAGAAAGCCGCCAGCACCTTGAACCGAATCGAATTGTGTCAGGTTCGGATATCCGTAGTGCCTGCAGAGGCCTTTATAGCCGACTTCGCAGGGCACGTTCACGTCCTGCGTCAGTATGCCGCCCTCGTAGTATTCCGACGGCAGTAGAACAAAGTAATCGAGGAACATATTCTTCTTCGTGGCGATCTTGATAGACCAGTGTCCGGGATTCATCACCATAGGCGACGGATGATTGCCATGTATTCCGGCAACTGTTACGAAGGCTGGTCGGCTGGTCGGCTTAAAGTTGACTTTAAACTGCTGCTCTACCTCGGACGGGCTATCAGGAGTGATAGTAATAGTACCGAGGATGGGCTCATTATTGGGATTCATGTAACGCAAAACCATCCGATAGAGCGAAGACTTGCCGATGCCCACGCCCAGTACAATCTCATCTTGCTGGGTAGTAAACTCGGCGTAGCCCTTCCAACTGTAGCCCGGAAAGATGTCCTCTGCGATACCGTAGCGGACGCTGCTGCCGCTGGGAGTTTTGCCGACCTCGGCCTCGTATTGATACTGATGAAGGGTAGGGAAATAATGCGCCTTCAGGGGGTCCTTGCATGTTAGACCGCTTACTCGTGGCTGGCAAGGGCACTGGCCAATTTGCTTGTCGCATATCGGGTTCACGGAGCCGCCAACGTCGCAAGCGCAATCTTAACAGAGAAAAATGCGGCGCGTTAAAAAGTAAATGTCACAAAAAAACGGAATAGTCGAGTAACCTACCGGAACAACCAAAAAGATTGTTTTCCTGAAGATTGTACGTCCCGTCGATGCATCGGCTACATCCTCTGTCGGTTACGCCGGGTTTGCAGATGCACTGCCCCGTCTTAGTATCACACTCGCCGATGCTGCCGATGACTCCGGGAATGTTACAGCGACACTCTTAAAAGTAAATACGCTTTATAAAAAATCATATATTTTCATCTTGCTATTCCTTTCATAAATATAATTATTATAGGTATAATAATAATTTTATGAAAGTTTACTATGCTTCGAAACAAATTCGAACCTTCACAACCATCTGGATTGTAAGGCTGCAGATTCCAATAAAGCGGCTTGCATTGGTTGCATATTCTTCCTTCGACTCGGTCCTTGCACTGGCAAAGTTCGCCGGGCGGCAAAGAGCCGCAACCTTGGAAAGTCGCGACTATGCCAGCCGGGTCGCAGTTGCAACCCTCGCAGGTAGGGAAGTTATAATAACCCTTTTTGCATTGCTCGCAACGAATGCCATCGAAGTTCTCGCGGCACTGGCATTTACCTTCGCTGTCGCAGGATACGCCGATTGAGCCGAGACTATCGCAATTGCATACTAAGATCGAAATATTAAAAGACATTTAATTAACAAAATATAATTATAAAAATATAATTTATTTAATTAATAAGATATATTAATGAGATTAATATGATTGATTTAATTATTGAGATAAACTGATATTTATCAGAATTATTAAAATACCTGAAGGCAATAAAATAATGAGAATTTCAGCGCGAGTCACATACCAATGCATTCCGGGTATTGGTAATATCCTGGACTGCACTGACTGCAAGTCCTTCCGGCGAAATTGGTGAGGCACGAGCACTTGCCGGTGGAATCGCAACTAATGCCGGATGAACCGACGGAACTGCAATTGCATGGTACGCAGTTGGGATAGCCGTAATATCCAGGGATACACTGGTCGCATCTCTGGCCTCCGTATCCTTCCTTGCATAAGCAAGCACCATTCACCTTGTCGCAAATACCGGGTTCTGTTCCGCGCGCATCACAATTGCAATCTGAAAGTTGCATAAAGAAATCGTGCTTAAAATTCGCGTCATAAATATAGAAATGGAATCTATGATTCCGTTTTATTGTACTGTAACTTCATGCAAAAATATATAAAGATATCTTTATATTTAAAAAAAAGAAGAATTAAATTGCTGTAGAATAAAAAGATATAAAAGATAGTCACTAGAAAGAAATTGTCAGCAGTTGACTGAAATTTTTATGTTATTATCATTGATCAAAATATAAATTCTATTGTACTGGTTGTAGTATTAAAAAAAATATATATATATATATTAGAAATAAATTATAATGGTTTAAAAAATTGTAACGTACATGTGCAGTGAGGATAATTGTAGTATCCGTTCTCGCAATTGTCACACGTTCTGCCTCCGTAATTGTTTTTGCACGTGCAGTTACCGGATACGACGTCGCAAACATCGTTCAGAGCACCCAGACGATTGCAATTGCAGGCTGAAATCGCAATGATCGACGTTAAGCCTTCCGAATAATTTTACTCTGAACACATCTCGAAATAATTTTCAAAAGATTCACTCACGTAAGCAATCGGGAAAATTGTAAAAACCCTCCGCGCAGAGGTTGCAATAGTGACCGGCATAATTTGGCTTGCAGGGACAAATACCGTCTTTTGCTTCACAATGGTAACCGTCAGTGCCTCGCAAATCACACTGGCAGGGTATACAATTAGGATAGTCAAAGTATCCGTAATTGCAGGTATCGCAGTTCGGCGGTGTGAACTCTTTTCTGCACTCGCATTTTCCAGTGGAATCGGCGCAGTTTCCGGTCGAGTAAAAATAATTGCAATTGCAGGCTAATTAAACATGTAAAAATCTAGCTTGTAAAAATTCGTAACGTTAAGAAAATTTATGTCGTTATGATTTATATCTTAAACGAAACTTACGTTGACATACGTCGGTTGCGTTGAGTAGCTTGTCACGCGGCCTAAAGAATTTGGGCTTGCAACGGTTACAATTGATGCCTTCAGTGTTATGCCTACAATTCTGACAAATACCACCGCCCTCGTAATTACCGTAAATATCCAACGATAAATGTTTCTCATCAATTTCCGGATCGTAAGTGCACTCGTCCGAATGTCCGAAGCAATTGCAGGCTGCAAAAATGAATTCACTGCTAAAGAAAGATATAATACACGTCTGGCAAATCCATTCCGCTCTTACACAAAGTCAAAATTGTTTTAATAAAGAAATAATTAACTTATAACAGTTATAAGTTGCAGACTCAAGAAGATAAAGTTTTCAACAAATTAGTGTAGCTAACAAATCTGTTTTTGTGATTCGTAAATTGATAGAATTTATAAATTAGTATACTTGACAAATCTGTTTTTGTTATTCGTAATTGATAGAATTTACAACTAGCAAACGGTCATCTCCGATATTAAAAAAGTAAATTGTTTTTACATTCGCATATGAATTTTTGTGATGCTGTAGATTGTCTCCATTTTTTCTGCTCGAAACCCCTGCAACACGTTGCACACTGAGGCCCGCAAGTGTTGTGCTGACATCGGCAGACCAGTTTCTTCGGCATATTCGGATCCTGAATGTCACAGATGTCCGCGTGACCGTTGCACATGCAACGACCGCCAATGCTGATATCTTTGATCGAGTAAAAGTACTGCAATACAAAAATAAAGTTTTTTATAAAAGTCGAATTATAAAAAAGTTATAAAACTATCGCGATGGGTATTAATTATTTAAAATAGAGTCAAATATTATTAAAAATTCGAGAGTAACGTCGAGTTAATGTCACTTACTCTTCTCGTAACGGTAGGATCTTGGCGAGCGACGGACATCAGATGCCCGAGCAAGTTCTTCGTCCTGAGAAAGCGGAAACGAACGTTGGTCGCTCGCGTCCATTCTTGCAACAAAGTCGAATTGAAGTAGTGCTTCGCCGAGGGCCGATTATTCAAGATCGAGATAGGAATCTCGCCACCCTCGAGTGGAACGACCTTTGAGTATTCGGTCGTGCAGATTACACTGTCGTCTCGAATAATGGGTCTGTGGCTGTCCACCCCGAAATAGGTCAGACAATCGCTGGCGGAATCCGAGAAGTATTGCCAGGGCGACCAGGTCTTGCCGTAATCTTTCGATTTTTCTAGAATCCAGAGTCCCGGCCGAGGAGAATTGCCCATTCGCACGTAAACATAAGCGACGTGAAATTCCTGAAAGAAATTTCTTATTTTTTTCAATCGAAATTTTTCCTTCTATTTTCTCGATTGTTATTCTTTTTATTCCTGACAAACATTTTTGTCCACTTTCCACTACTTTTCGCATCTTTTTGCATCAGTAATCATTACATTATTTCATGGGGAAAATCCATTGTTGCTTTACTTGTTGAAATTTATAACTTTCAAATCTAAACTTCGCATATAAATACGGTCCTGCTATTTTAGACGAAGTAACATGAACCAAGGGTAAAAACCGAGGAGTGAATGCCAGATGTGTGCCATCCAAGGTTCGATGCTCTAAGAACGGCTATCGAAATCTCAAGTATATGGGCTGGCTGAGAGGAAAAGTGAGATAGAGAGATTGATAGATAGAGAAAGAGATTTATGTCCCTTTTCTAGGACAATAGACTTAAGAAATTGGAGAATATAATAAATCTAGAACAGAATAAAGAATGTGTCAGAGAGAACGAGAGAGAGGAGATATTTTAAAAAACACGCAAATAAATTATTTTAAAAAGAGGGAAACAGAGAGACAGAGAGAAGTAGGAACGGTCAAACAACGGTGTAAATGAAACTTTCTAAGAACATGATTAGCGAAGGAGCGACAGCCTTTGCGTACGCGGCTGTAGCTGCGAAGATAAAAACTGCATTTCTGAGATAACAGTTATTTACATTAATAGAATTATGTGGATGGATATCAAAAGTTTATATAAATTATGCTTTGAAACGTATAAGAACTTAATTAGATATTAATTTAATAGAAATTAATTGTAAGATATTCGCAAATAATTTTTCAAAAAATATGCGATAATTTCCAATGACAGAAATAATGTCGTTAATAAATCCATTTTCGCTCGTTTATCTTCAAGATTCTAACACTTTTCATCATTCTCCGGAAGTAAACCAATGATAAATCTTCCCACTTGCAGGAAAACGCCTACTTGCGCGATAGAATGTTTATGTCGCCGATAAAAGAATCGTGCATCATTACTTCCTGTCGTTTCTAAATCAGATCCTTTTACACGCTTTGAAGGTTCTGTTATAATAATCTCTATATTTTATATCACAGTAACTTACCTGTTCCAGGTTGATCGTCAGATTGACCTCGTTATATTTCATCCCCCTGGATAAAGGTGGTGATTGCCACCACCTTTCCATACCATCGACCGCATATTCGGGCGGGTGCCTTTTTTCAGGATTATCAGGATCGCAATAATCGCATACCTATGAAAAAACAAATTTATCATATCGAGATGAAAAAATTAATTAATAGAATTTAGGACATTCATTTAGATGTATTTATTTTAGATGCAGAAGGAAACGAGAATTTTTTGTGAGAACCACATAAATTTTATTCATTTTCTATCGTCATACGTATATGTCATTTGCTACTTTATATTAAAATTCAAAGAAAAAACTTTTGATTACAAATAATACAAAAAAAAAAAGTAAATTAAGATAGTCGAAAGATAAATATGTAGAGAAAGATTTCTTTTTTGGAATCTGCATGTGACACAGAAAGCTTCTTAATTTCAGATGGGTGAACGATCGAATGTTATCGAGAGGTCATCCTTATCTCCCATTTTATCAGACTCCTTGCTTCTGGTCCACTTCGGTTTCATCTCCTTTTACCCACATAGATAGATATATACGATGAAAATCGATGTCATAAGCTAATGTGCCTTCTTTAGTATTAATTATCTATAGATGTTCGATCAGCATTATACAGCACAATTAAAATAAAAAATATGCATAGGTAATTTTTGATAATTATAACGCACATTAAAATTTTTCAGACTTTAAACCATTTTATAATATAGTAGAGAAATTAAACTTGGAAATTAACCGTGCGTTACTTTTATATTTGTAATAAATATATTATGCACATCCGCATGTGGCAGCGGTTCCTATTTTCGACGACAAAGGATTACGCGCTTGTAAAAAACGCGCGATGTGATCCTACGAGTCTATCGCATTCTTCAATCATAGACTGTGCGAACTGGTTTTTAGCTGGATCTCTCTTATACAGAAGAGCCTTATAGTTGTCTTTTGTTCTGACTGTCACCGACAAAACGCTTACACGTTAATATATTACGGAGAATATTAATTTTCGAAGCAATCAAGAATGATACAATCATGCTTGAAAATTACTAACGCATACAAATATTATACAAATACATAGAAATTCCACCAACATTTTATTTTATTTATTTAATAACTTAGTAATTATTTCAGCAAAATAAAAATTTTTATTAAAAAATGTGGTAAAAGCTTTTCAATTTTAGAACCTCAAAATATTAAAAATATAATGACGTTAAAGCATATATCATAAATTTATTCAAGCTTTATATGTAATCAAAAAGATACGTTATAAAAATATCTCATCAAATTTCTTCAATAAATTCCCTTGTATTTCTGCCATTCGATTAATGAAAGCTACAATCAATGGTTTTATTAATCTTTCTCGATATTATTTATCGTAATACCTTATCACAATTCCCAGAGAGGCAGAAAAAGTGCGAAGTAATGTATAATTATAAATGTTTACATAAAAATTATATTTATTTCGGTGATGAGAATAGCTATTGATATGAATGAAAAGACTATATGGAAGGGGAAGAAACGGAAGTAGAATTGAGTAATCGAGTTGATGCCTCGAAGCTGATAAACTCTTGGACTCGTAGGACCTAATGATAAAGTAGATAAAATTCGGTGCGAATACTGAAGACGAAAATATCATAATTTCTTTGGCTTGCAAGAATATTCATTAAATCAATTTTAATAATGTTCACATAATATTTAATCAGCGGCTTAATTATAGCGTATCTAAATATTAATTCAAATTGCGAAAAAATGTTTTAAATATATGAAATTACTACTATATATAAAAAATTCATTTAGTATTCATAAGTTTTTAATACTTTGTAGTTTCGGACAAGGGTTACGAAAATTTTCTTATGTAACTATTAATTTAATTTTGCGATTAATTTCAAAGAAAAATGAAAGGAAATTTGATAAATCTAAATTATACCTAAATGGTAGATATTATACACTGTGTTAACAAGCATTATCTGTCTCTTTTACAATATATTTATCACTGATATTTACCTGGCCTTGAATCAAGTTGATATCTTCATCCTGATCGGCGTTCGCGCCGACGAGTTTGCAATATAATTCGGGGCCGGTAGTGTCGACGCCGCATGTAGCCGAGGCCACGATCTCCTTGCCTTCAGCCAAATTGAAATACGGCGGCGTCAGGATCTCAGACCTGGACAGCCGAGCAATCAGCAGAAGACCGGCGAATATTACCGGCAACTGCATTTTGCCTGGCAGCAGAAAATCCAACACCTCTCAAGTTCTTTCGAGGAACTGCTCCACTCTATTTTTTTTTCTTCACTTTCGTCTTCCCTCCACGCTCTTCGCCTTACTCCCTTCCTCTCTCTCTCTCCCTCTCGTGAGAGAGACGATGATGCCTGGGCGCTTTCGCGGTGTCGACTGTCCATACCAGAGTTCATCCAGTGCCGCCGACTTGCCAGATGAGAAGAACTCGGTGGGGGTGGAACAGATCAGTGATCTTCAAGTCGGAGCTTGAATCCGGCGTGGACCCATGAGTTCAGATATCTTGAGCTGCTTACGTTTCATCTTCATCTGAAGTTCTGTCAGATTTTTACACAAATCTATCAAATATGCTTGTAACAAAGATAAAAAAAATAAGGAAAAATTTTAAATTTTGTTACAATTGTCTTTTTACATATCTTGTTTATAGATATTTCTATAAACCTTAACGAGACATCGCAAATTATGAGTATTCTTGCATATTGTTTATCCCAAAATATCCTAATAAATTATTCTAATTAAAAATTTTCTTCTAAGAATATATCGATAATTAGTTGTAATAAAGATCTTGATATTATCACCTTTTTCACGAAGACAGTATGCTTATACCGAATGGAGTAAAACTTTGAAGATCACTGATTAAGAAGGTTCGAAACCACATGGCATCATTCATACACGTGGAAATAAAATCTTGTTTATAGTTTTCTCTCTCGACGTCGCATTATCTTACAGCTCAGAACAGTAAAGATGGACAGTCTGGTAAAGGTGGATTTCATTGTCTCATTCGAATTAATTATATAAATTTTCGTTGATATTAATATTTTATATTTAATTGTAGAACATACCTAATATAAAATAAAATTAGACATAAAATTAGTTTTTTAATCTTTTTGCTTTTAGGTTACATGTCGCTCATTTGCTACAACATATGTACAGCGACACGACTCGAAAACAAAATTTTTCAGAAAATAAATTTTAATGCTTTGAAAAATTCATAGAAATTTTGTAATGCAATTTTTATGTAATAACTAATTAAAAAGAAAGTAAAAGCAGTATTTTTAAAGTATATTATTTTTTTCGTTCTTTTTCTGCAATGATTTTTTAGTTATACTGTTGTAGAAAATGAGCGATGTAACGTGAGGGAAATAAATCGATGTAGGGCAAATAATTTCTTTAATTTATTAGCAGAAATATGATATACCTTTACTCTCTCAAATGTACAGCACAATTCGTCAATTTCATAGCATACGCTTGCAACTAGAGGTACAATTTCCCTGTTATTCATTTAATCCGACTTCGGGCGGCTTCTGTAATAAAGGGCGGAGAACATGATGCTGGAACTCAGCAGAACCGAAATGATAAAATTTCCTAGCAGCAATATATCGGCAGAGTCCATCCATATCGTGAATACTCTCGCTAAAACATCATTAAATTTAATTCCTTTCCGAAACACTTTTATACACGCAAAACTGGAAACTTACTCAAATTAGTGAAGGCGGATATAAACCAAGTGAGAGGCGATACAGACTCTGCGTTTTTTGCACGAAGTATAGCTAGCAGCTGAACGATCTTACTGGAAGCTGAGATCGGCGTACACATTGGCTGAAAATCCATAAATCATACAAAAGAGGTTTCAAAGCACAATAGTGGAAGAATTATTTGCAACACTCGACATTGTACCAACCGCTAAGAGTGTAAGTAAAATTTTTGGAGCAATTTCCAGTAGCAAACAGCTGCTCAGCGCAAAATATATTATAGCACCTAAGAGGGACCACGTATTGATCTTGCTCAAGTATTTTAGCACAAGAAATATCAGTACATACTCCTGCACTAAAATTATTGGGTACTCCAAGTAGGACAGTAACGAGTATCCATTCGTGTAATTGTAACTGGTCATCACAGTGTAACTGGAGAATGTGCAACGTTAATAATTAAATTATTTATAAGAGAAATAACTGTGAAAGCTATATATTATTACCTTGTTAATTCTAGAAATAATCCTAGCATCGACATTTCGTCGGCCGATTTCACGGAAACCAATTTTAATATCTGCGGAATTTTCAATACGAAGCACATGCCTATTGTTATCAGGCTCAAGAAATCCGCAAATTGTTGCAACAGCGTCATTTTTTCGTCTTTCTTTCGTGCCCTTCAAGCGTACGTATAGCCTACGTCGCTACACATATGTGCACAAAGACAACATTGTAATAATTAACTTTTAATTTACGTAGCACTTATCGGCAAATCACAATTTTATCTTATCTCTAATCTCGTTGGACATGTCAATAATCGTAACGCGATCGGCATAAACATTTCAGCTTGTCCAGCACATACCTATATTTGTGAAACCTGCATACGCCTGTTAGATTCAGAAACTGTCATTTATTTGCCACTTCACCGCGACTAAGAGTTGTGTTCGTGCTACATCAAAGACACGAAAATAGACCGCTAATATAATTTTACGTAAAAATATCTTCCTACGCGCACCGGCACGTAAGCACGTCAATACCCGGCCATCACTGCCCGCAGTGCCCGCGGTCACCACTCACCCCGCACCCGCAGCTCTGAATCTGAGCCGAGCGATCAGCTGATCCCACTAGTGCGGGATCTATCTTTCGGTCCGACTCGTATAAGCACGAGTGAAAACGAGAGCACCCGAAATCGATTTTCAAATTGTACTGCAATGTTTTAACGTATTCACATAAAAGTTTCCCAAGATGGAAGAAGATCTATCAACCGAATTAATGCCACTTCTTACCTGATTATATAGTATATATATTCTTCTGATGCTTCGCTCCTGCGACTTTTAAAAAGTTTGAATTTTTGCGGCTCGAGAATTACGGCGGTCGGTAAAATGGCACACATCCTCACCGGCCGCGCGTTATTTTACCGACCGTCAGTGATCTCTCATGCGATTCACAAAAAGTTTGAATTCCAAAAAAAATTGACAACATATCACGTCGAGAATTATAATCAGATGAGAGGTAAGAGATTTTATAACTAAAATTTCAAAATCACGATTTTAAGAATTTTGAACGTGTTACGAAAGTTTGAACTAAAAAACAATTAAAGTATCGGAAGAAAAGTGTGAGCTAAGTAAAATGCGATGTATATTATACACACTATAAATTATAACCGCGAGGATTAATTATAATTTAAAACTGTATTAATTTAATTGTGAATTTTCTCTCGCTATGCGTATATATACACAGCACAAGCCTGAACATGTCGCATACACAGTAGTGGTTCACAATGGGTGAATTTTTTTTAATATAATGCGCACGTCCAGGGAGCAAGAGCGAGCAAGAGGCAGCGAGTGCCCGCTTACAATTGGCGCGACTTCACGTGTATAAAAGGCATTCATGACGTAGAGCTCGTAGTACTACATGCATAAAGGCGGTCGCGTGCGGCGAGGTTGGCAGCGCCGATTGGCTAGGCGTGACGCTCTAGGCGCGGAACGCGGCGAACCGGACCGACCGAGCCGAACCGAACATGGTGCGAGGCGAAACGTGAGGCTGCTCCGCTCCGCGCTCCGCGTACGTTGTCTTACACGGGAATATCGATTGGGGGGTCCCGGCGTGGGCATCGTGCGCGTCATGCGGCGATCATGAACGGCGTGCCCCCGCGCGACGACGACGACGACGACGAGGGCCCGCCGCGGGGATCGCGAGTGCGCCCAGGCCGATTCAGCGCGGAAGGGTAAGCGCGCCGCGCGCGGCGTCGTCGTCCATTCGCCTCTGCCCGCGTCTCGCAACTCCAGCGTGCGCGAGATGTCCTCGACGTCTCCAATTCCCGAGACGTGCGACGCGACCGCGAGCCAACCTCCTCGGCCCCCTGTCCTCCGCTCGCCGGCCGCCGCAGCTCCGCGGACGGTCCTTCGGCCGATTTGTCATTGTTGCGTTTAACGCCGAATCGGAGCACCCTGTTTTTCTGTCGTGGACTCTGCTTGCCTGTCATTGATAAGATTCACGCGAGATAGCCGTATTTATAGCGTTAAACGCGCAATGAGAATCGACGTCTGGCCGTTCGTTGCCCAACGGACGGACTCTTGGTTAGCCGTCGAGTGACATCGCCGGAGAATCTTCCGTAATTCGTCGAGAGAAAGCTCCGTTCCCTCTTCCCTTTTTCTTCTTTGAAAGATTTTCGTCTATGCGCGAGTAATTTTCGGATGGATTTTAGTCTTGAGTTCTCGGAATGTCATTGATTACGAGTGGAATGAATGGAAGAATTGATCTTCGTGACTCATATATCCCCAGTTATGACATTTTAACGATATGACTCATCCTTCCTGCGTATGATGCTCTACATGGAACTTACAGATTGTGCTATCACGTTTCTGTTTCAGGATTGTCAACCGCGTCGCTCTAGAACTCTTATCACTTGCAGTTTCTCATTCATAATGGACCATGCGCAAAGTACAAGCAAACGTACGAATATGGAGTTTGTGAGGCAGTCATACATTGCCTGTAATATTTTTTCTCAGGTTAGAGATATCTGCAGCATTGATCTGAGAATATTTTACAAGAGAGAAAAATATATATGATTCGCAACACTGACGGTCATATTGATAAATTTTAGGGGGTGTCATGGAAATATCAAAAATTCTGGTTACTATAGACTTTCCAGTGCACAGGTGAAACGGAGAAAATCTCTGAGATGGACTCCCCGCCATCATGTTCGCTAAGCGCTGGGCCTCTCAGTGATCTTGGTAGCAGTGGCCTGGGGGGTTCGATATCCAGCGATTCGGTTAGAGCACATCTTGCGATGGAGGTAGGACGGTCTTCTATTTCTTTCAATTTATCTTTCGATACGTGTATACTTAATCTTTGAAATTGAAAATCTCTTTCAGATGCAGGAGAGCGACATAGAGAGCAAGTCTCTATCGCAAGATTCTTTCGATTATTCGGACGGCATGTGCGGCGAGAATTTCAACACCCTGAAAAAGGGCCCAGGCTGGGGCGATGCGGACGGCAAGCTGGAGGTCGAGGTGGTCGACGTGGCGATCAAGCCGCCGCCAGAATTTCAAGACAGCCCGTCGCCGCCGGACTCGGAGTCCTCCTCGGCGCCGATTCTGAATTACGCGCGACTAATGAGACGCAGGACGCCGCGCTGGATCGACGACTATGCCGAGAACCTGATGCAGTCGATGGTGGAGGAAGCGCTGGCGATCTCTTGCCGAATCTCCTGGCCGGAAGGGAGGATCGCGCCTGTTGCGAATCCGGTTTCAGCGGTGATTCGGTCCCAACAGACCAATCCTAAACGCATGTGGGATCTAATGACGCCGCCAGTATGTCAGGGCGCCGCCACCATCACTATTACCCCGTACAACACGTTGAACCGGCCGAACTCACGCTGCTCGTTGGCCTCCTCGCGACTGTCCAGCTCGCATAATTCCATCAATACCACCGGGCTCGGTCACAAGGCCGACGACAGCAGCTTCATTACATCCGCGATGTCGCACGACGTGTTGACCACAAGTGAAATTAGCGACATGTACAATGTACCCTTTGATTCAGACATTTACACAGTGCCGATCGATGTGGTGCGACCGCTGCACGACCTGCGAACGCCACAGCGGCCTAAACGGCACCGGCATCATCGCAAGAGACGGCGGAACGTTTCCGCGAGTTCGCAGAGCGAACTGGAAGCGCACATCCAACAGGCGCGTCATTATTGTGGCAAATCCCGTGCCATCACGCATGTTATCAAATCGCAGCGTTTGTTGGCCGATGTGTGCTGTAACGAGGGCAATCCCGGTGTCGGCGGCGGCGGCAGTGGCGGTGGCGGTGGTGGCGGTGGCGGCGGCGGCGGCGGTGGTGGCGGCGGCGGCGGTGGTGGTGGTGGTTGTGGTGGTGGTATTAGCGGCAGTGGTAATAGCGGTGGTGCTGGCGGAGGTAGTGGTAGTGGTGGCGGTAAACGGCACAGCGTGCCGGGTACTTCTGGTCGTCATGGTGTCAGACCATCGAACGGACATGCACATAACATTGGCGAACCGATCCACATGACCTTGCACGAGGTGCGACAGTATCTACAGACGTTGTACTCCAGCTCGAGCGATTCTAGCGAGAATAAGATCAAACGAGATAAGGCTCCTCTGCTGGGCCATACACCAGTGCATCTTGCCGCGACGCCTAAGGCCCTCAGTGTAAATAATAATAATAGGTAAGTCTGATAATTTTTTGAATGATGAGATAAGCAGAACGTTTTTTTTTCTTTCGAAAATAATGAGCTTTTATTCTAAACTGTTTTATTTCATTTACTTTTGATGTGCGAGTACGACAACTTGAATTAGTTATCGAAGATAAGAAAAAGTCAGATATTAAAACGTTCTTGGCTACTGTCAAATTGGCTGTAGCAATAATCTAATAATATCTAATGCTGTCTAATAATAGGTATAACAGTAACGCGCACACGGACTCGTCCACGGACACGCCGGTGTCGAATAAGAGCACTAGTAACGGCCTAATGATCCATCATCACAACAACAACAATAACAATCATAACAACAATAATTCTAATAATGTAAAGAAACACAAGAGGAATACGTTTGTCGGCATCAGGCACAAGAAAGCGCGCGACGAGTCGCACAAGGAGAAGAGCGAGTCCGAGCGAGAGAAAATGAAAAAGAGTCAGCGTAATTTCTCGCTGAATCTCAAGCAGACGCTCTGTAACATCTTCCGATTTCGACGACTGGGCTCTCCGGACCACTTTGTGGAGAAGCGGAACAGCATCGTGCAGGGAGAGATCGTTGAGGAAGAAGAGGGTGTCGATTCCGACCAGCACACGAATAACAATAACACCGCTCCGTCTGAGGTAGAGCCGTCCGCGCAGAAGCTGCCGTTCTTCAAGCGCGCTTTGCCACCTCTGCCCAAGAGTAACAGCCAAGTGGGTGTAGAACAAGCGGAGGAGGCCCTTACAGCAATGGCACCCAAGTGCGAGTCCCCGAGCTCGGTACAGCAGCAAGTTCCGCCGCCTATCGTGCGACCAGAAGAGGATACTGCAGAGGACACGAGTATGGATTTTGCAGCCAGTATCGAGAAAGTGAAGGATGTATGTAAATTATATTGTTCTTTTTTTTTTTCATTGACCCTTACGCGAGAAAGAGCTGCAGAGAGTATTCTGTGTGATATTTCTATTTTCTGAAACAGTACGGATGGTATTGGGGACCTATTTCTGGTGAAGCGGCGGAGAAGATATTATCTAACGAACCGGATGGCTCGTTTATCGTGCGAGACAGTAGCGACGATCATTACATTTTTTCCTTATCATTCAGACTCAACAGTTGTGTGCGACACGTAAGGATAGAACATGATCAGGGTGAGTTTTTTTATCACACTGTATACAATATATTTAATAACGTGTATCCACGTGTGCTTTAAATTCTTTCATTTCTTACGGGCACGCAGGTAATTTTAGCTTCGGCAGCTGCACGAAGTTCAAGTCGCACACTATCGTTGACTTTATCGAGAACGCGGTCGAGCATTCGCGCAGCGGTCGCTATCTCTTCTTCCTACACCGGCGGCCAGTTCTGGGCCCGATGCGGGTGCAACTGCTCCATCCGGTGTCGCGCTTCAAGCAGGTACAGAGCCTACAGCACACGTGCAGGTTCGTCATCTTGAAGATGGTGCGCAGGGACTTGATCCCGACCTTACCGCTACCCCGACGGCTCATCGACTATCTCAGTACGCCCCATTATTACAGCGAACAGCTGGCGGCCGAGCAGGACGACCGTGCCGAGTCGCCGGTCAGCTCGTCGACCGGCGAACTGGAGAAGATTTGCTTCACGCCGCAGGGTCTCTCGTGAGGTATAGCCGTGTGACTTTTCCCTCTTCCTCCTTCTCCTCCTCATCCGCTCCGCTCTCTGCGCAAAGAGATATTTGCGCCGAACGTCGCCCGCGGCGTTGACGCAAATTTAATTCGCGGTTTAATTAAATTTTCGCAACATGTAAAAATATACATCGCCGTTTGATTCAGATATTCTGTCGACGTACAAAAATTTAAAAGGTCGCCGAATTAAATTTCCGATCGGACATAATACGGAATTTCATCTGTAATTTAAAAATACGTTATTGATCAATAATTTATTTTACAATTTAATTAATTTTTTGTTTACATATAAAAATTTGTTTTGCTATTTGTTTGAGTTTATGTATGAGAACAAAACTCCATTTTTTAGGGCAAGTAAATAAATATATATACAAAAATTTAACATTTACTGCCGAGTTAAATTTTAATTGGTTAACATAAAGGAATTTAATTAGTAGCTTAATTGTGTGTGAATTATCGTCAATGTGCGGAAATTCAACTGATAATCGAATAAAATTTCGTTTACATGTCGGAATTTAATTTGTGACATGAATTTTTGTTATCGTCGACGACGTGATGTTCGATTAATGATTTTGCGCTTGTGATTTTGACTTCGACGATTTACGGCGTATCGATTCGTAAAGTGAGTATTGTGATTAAACTTGAAAGTAGAGGAATATATAGAGAAATTTTCGTGTGCACCATATATCTAGAGCTGCAAGTTATGGTCGTCTCAAGTTTACCTGATTTGATTGCCGAAGGGAAAGGAATCGATTTTATTTTTGTTTCAAGAGAAAAATCGCGATATACTGTATATCGCAATATTTATTCTATGTACGCTGACACGAAACTTTTTTGAGATAGTTTTCTTTCTTCGAGATAAACGCAATTTTGTGCAGCTTGCATCGCAGCTAAAGTAACACTGTTTGCGGAACAGTCAACGTGGCTGATTGAGGGGAGATTCGCGACGAAATCACTCTTCCTCATATTTTATCAAATAATACTTGACGAGTAATGATGTCACATCTCTGTTGTTAATTTATGCAGTACAATTTTAGAGGCAAAGAGAGAAAGAGGAGACGCGCGCGACCGAGCTGAGTAAAAAAAAAAAAAAACAAATTCTGTAGTCCCTTCTAGTTCAGTTCCTTTTTATCGACTATAACGAATGGCAAGATTACATGTGACATAAACTACGCACAAAATATCCGTTTATACGTACACATATAAGTGCATATATAAATATACACACACGCGTATATATCGAGGGGAGGGAAAGAGAGAGAGAGAGACAGTGACACACGCAGTGGTCAGATGGAAACTTTTTACGTGCCATACTTGCCATTTTCTGTTGAAGATTACGCAAATTATCATTGATATTTCAATAATGTTGAAGATAATATTTAGTGTTCATTTGTTGCAGCCGTGCTTCCCGTTAAACTCGATCATAGATAGAACATCCTTACAATTCAGATTGTCTTTGCATGTTAATTCAAATTGATTTAGATAGATTAATTGCTAGAAGATAAAATAAAATCATAGCAAGATAAAAAGTATGGAATAATGCAAATCACATTTTTGCGAAGTTTTTGCATTTTTCTTTTACGAATCGATTACGCGAAACCATTGAAAGTTATCTCGATTGTAAAAAAAACTCTTACAAATATATAATAATAACCAAAGGAAATATTCTGGCAATATATAAAGGGTAGCTAAAGTCGCAACGCGCAATTCGAATGTTGCATAATTTTTCATTCGTTTAAGTAATCAATTTAAAACTAATTTAGTTGATAGAAGAAAAAGTAGTGAAATATTAGTGACTGGTGCTATGCGACATTATATTCTTCATTTTCATGCGCGATAAGGAATAATCGCGCGTTTATTTTTGTGCTCAAACAAAAAAACTTTGAAAAACAGCGTCGTGCAATAACATTCATCGAAATTAATCGGATTCTAGATGCAATTCTATTGATATTTTTATATTCGTTTAATTTCTCAATTGTTAAGTAAATCATATGTTCAGGATTTATAAAAAAAAAGTGACACAAACTTTCTCCGCAAGCTTTTTCGAAATAGATACTTATTCCGACCAATTTTCATATTTCAATGTTCCCTAGAGCTTAACAACGTGGCATTAGTATTGCTATAGATCTTCCAAAAGCAAACTTCCTGTTGCAATTTGTAGCTGAAAATCGTAAAGATACGTTAATATATCCTCTTTCTCATTCACTGCAGATAATCGAGAAGTGGTTCGTTGATTTGATTTATTACCTCGAGGCACAAGTGAACATGATTACGTTTGTCTAGGAAGTGTGTCGCTTGAAATTCCGTTTTTGTTTTGCGCTTTAGACACAGAGTACGCACACACATATACACACACACACAGACACGCATAACACGGACAAATTTTGTACCCAGTATTCACCAGGTAGATTTTGCAATACGATTACTATTAATATTAATGAGATCGTCCAGAGGGACTGTGCGAGTCCTGCGTGGGGTTTGTAAGGCATGTGCGTATAGTTAATAATGGTACCACAATACCTCACAGTCACAGAGGGAGGTATACGTATATAGAGCAGAATTAGTAAGGTTTTATAACGAGCGTATTTACATCAGCATAAGTTGCACACATCTCACACACACAACACACACATACAAACACGATAAACGTGTGATTTCAACTACAAGGAAATTCTAGTTGTAAGGGAGCGTGAGCGTCTTACGTTATAAGATTATGTTTTAAGGGTCAGTTGCATTAACAGGCTTAATTAATTAATTGTCGCGACAACGGATGATAATTCTAGCTAGTAGCGAATTAAGAGGTAAATTTTCGATTAATTTATGTGTTAATTTATGTTAGTTTTAAGTCTAGTTAAATCTTAACATCGTAATTCGATTGACTTAAATTGATTTAAATTAAATTGGATTTTATTAAGTTTCAATTAATTTTGTTTTAATCTAAGTCAGCTTAATTAATCGAGTTCATTTAATTTAAATCGATTTAAATTAATTCCAAGTTAAAATTTCGCGCTAACGTTAGTGCAATCATCTCTGAGATTTAGTTGTACCTTGATTAATTAATTCTCTGTAAATCATAATCTTAGCCAGCATGTAGATATATAAGAAAGAGTGCGAAAGAGTTTATTTAATTGCAAATATTAATCGATGTTTTCGTTAGCTGCAGTTGATGCAACCGGCTCTAAGAAGATTAATTGTAAGAGAAAACGTAGCGTTCTGCGCCAAGCGGGAGGCCTTCAAGGGCTGCAGCGTGTCGAAAACTAAATGTAATAATCGGACAAGAGAATATTGCCAAGTGCGTGCGAACCGAAGCATGACACTTTCTAAAATAATCAATCGAGATTCTAAAGACGAATAATTTTTAAAACTCGAAAATTTAGCGCAAAATACGGCACGTTCACAGCCCGAGGGAGGCTCGTAAAGGGTAGCTCAAGTCTCCGTCTCCGATTGTCGATTGCGTGATTAGGCGACGGGAAGTGTATGTGTCAAACGTTTTTGTATATTTGTAACATTTTCGTCGTCGTCGCGCGCGAGTACGCGCGGCGCCGTAAGGAGTGATTGCTTTTGAATGTACACTTCTTCTAGCGAAATGTGATATTACTGATAAACGGACGGCCACGATATTAGAAACCCGTCTCGCGACAAGCGAAACACTGCAAACGTTAAAACTGCGAATCGAGCGTTCATATACAGACTGTCCCGGCACTGTTGCGTACTTTGCTCTCTCGATTTCCCGATTAAATCGCAATGAATCTTCAGTGCGTGATATCGGCGTGATATCTTGCAAGTGAAATGAAGCTTCCGATCCTGGTTGTGAAAAAAAAAATGTGGCAGATTCGTTCGGAGGCCCGATCGAGGTTCCGATGTCGATCGGCGTTACTATCGCTTGGCACAGAATGTAAAATACATCCTCTCTCGTATGCCAAAGTATGCAGCTGTACCCAGAGTACAACATCTGTGTATTTTCGTTCGGTGTTAAATACGTAATTTTGCGTATAAAGATTTTTATACGCGACTGTTTATGGATTGTTTTTTTTTTCCTAGGCAGGTATATATTTGCAAAATTTGGCACGGAAATTATTTAGGGTTTATAAGATAAGAAAAGGGATCAAAGAGAATTGAGATTAACCCTAGAAGACTAACTTTTCTTTCCCATAATTTTTTGTAATCATATACTTCTCTGAGACTGCATATATTCGAGAAAAATAGAAAAAAGAATATGCGAAAATTTACTCAATAATTTAATTTCTTAATTCAAATATTAATACAGCTTTAAAATTGAGAGAATCACGTATTTTCGGAAAATATTTGGAAAGTTGAAATCTTCCCGATCTCTAGAAAAGACCAATAACGAACACATGTGTCTCCGAGATGTATACATATATTGATAGTGTCCTAGGGTTAAAAAAAAACATACAAGATGTTGTACTTCGGCTGTACGAAACAGGTACATTAAAACCTTATTATTTACATATAATTGCCAAATGCTAGTCACAAATACTGCATTTTTCAGTTGGATTTCAGTATTGTTTATTAATAAAATACCAATTCACGTGCGAAATCTTGTATTTATTCTTACTGATGTTTTAATCCAAGCAAAAAAAGGGAGAGAGTGAGAAGGAACAAATTGCAAAGGTCTGAGTACGAGGAACAAATAAGTTGACAAAAGCATTGAATAAAAGAAAAAAAAACTAATTTTCGTATTTTTGTTAGATATTTTGAGTTAAATTGACCAAATGCTCTTCCGATTTGCGTATACTTTTGATATTTAAACATGTTATTCATAGACATGATTAAGCATCGATGAAAAATTAAATATTTCTCGATAAAGAGCCGACAAGCATTCGAGAAGCATGAACTTGTCTGATCCTTGAAATCACACCTGCAATTCGATCGCAAAGATCATCTACTGTATACGCGACGAGGTGTACTAATTTATTTCTTCTAGTCTAATTACAGGGTGTTTTGCGTAAAGCAACTCGGAGCCATACCTGCGAGGGGACACTAAACGCGAACTGAAAGAATGTGCTACAGAATTTTTTCAGAAAAAGATTTCGATTCAAAAGGATTTTTCTCTTTCAAATCTCAATCGTTCGGCTACTCGGGACTGGGACGCTTTAAGTGGGACACCCTGCACGTCTTTGTCACCAAGTTCGATTGTTATCAGAGCGGGATGTGCACGATAATCAATCTGCTGCGGACCTCTTAATTTTTGTAAATACGATGCGGCAATACACGTTCCGGAAACTTCTCTATCAGGATCGTGCCGACGATCTCTCGCGATCGGCACTCGCGTAATTCCGTAAATGTAAAAGTAAGATAACTGACCGCGACAGCAATTCAATTTTGTTCCGAGGCAAGATTACCGAGTCTTTTAGAAGTGATTTTCTTTTTCAGTGAAGGAACCACTACTCCGCTTGTTTTTCATATTACACACATCTTTATTTAATTCTGTGTATTTCTCTCCTCGAATATTAAAGCATATTCAAACAGATATTAGTTACTAATGCGTTTTCGCCGATATACATTTACATGCGAATAATGTAACACCATATGCGAATGTGATAATTACTTTAACATCGCCGTAGGGTAATTTGTGGGATCAGTTGATAATTTTAAATACTAAAAAAAAATATATATATATACTTAACGTCAATCACGCACCCGAACACAAGAAACGAATCCTGTCCTTCGTTATCGGTTTGTCACAGTGAAATGGTATATGTAAGCGTATGAGATAATCGCGTATGTATTTGATTACCCATGTTTGTACTGCAATGTTGAAAATAAACATTTTTTGAGATTAACACTTTTGATTCTCATCGATCTCTCGTATCGTCGAAGATCAAAAGTTTCGCCCCCCCCCCCCTTCGTACTGTGTAAAATTCATGACAATACATTACGTGCGCAAATAATTTGTGGGAGGAATTATTTGCACACAAGGGATTCGTTTGCACAGGTAAAAATTTATTTTGTTTCCTACAGGAATGCCAGCGACCGACAAATACAACAATAACCGTTACTCTCGAGAACCGTTTCTCTTTTCCCTCTTTCTTGCAACAGACGGATTTTATCTTAAGGTGGGATACCCAGGGTCTTTCTCACCAGCTTCTGAGCTATCCTCTCGAACTCCCTGCGATCTTCTCTCCACATCTTGGCGGCGTCCACATTGGCGCCGCTCTCGTCGTTTGGTTCAGCCAACATACTTACTACACTCAGCAGTATCTTCTCCACGCTCTGCACTGGACTCCACCTTTCCGCGCTACTTTCGTAACCCATCGGATCGTCGCCAGGTGCGTGCAGTATGCTTATGCAGACTCTTCCATCCGCGTAGACTAAACAGAAAAAAAAAAGATACAATTTTGACAAAAATCTCAGTGTTACTGTGTACAATAATTTCTGATAGCTCAAATACATTTTGTCTTATAGCTTAATAACGATATCTTACTGTTGGGATGAAACATCTCACAGGTAAACTGCATTTTCGGAGGACTCAATGGATAATCCGGGGGAAATATTAATTTCGCTGGAAACACTCCACCTTCGAAGCACGTTCCCTCTGGCCCACTAAAAATTCCATCAAGACTGATATTCAACTTATATTGAAAAATTTATGAAAAAGCTTACGTAAAAATATCGTTTATTCAGCATTGAATATCGAGATTCGAGGTATTTAGGCTGTATGAAAGAAGTGGGATAAGAGCTATATGCGAGACAGCAAAAAAAAACGAGTCAACGTTGGAAATTTTCTGAAAAGGAAAGATCGAGGAAAAACTTACGTGATGAGGGCCTCCCACTCGAAGAAGTTTTCCTCGTTAATCGGGCCAGCGATGATGCCCTCCGGCGGGTTCAAGGTTAGCTCTGCAAGATCGTCATAGTGCAGACATTACTGCCTCGCGGAAAAAGCTCCGGCGTCATTAACGAGCGAGCTTAACTGCTACTGTAGCGTAGGATTAAAAAGACGATTCTCACGTTTGTACTCCGCCATCAGTCGTCTGAGCGCTGAGCCTGCCATCGTTTTTATCATGCAGGTGGACCTGTCAATTGTTGCGAGAGACGTCAAGCCGACGGACGGGGTCTTCTCCCCCGACGAGGTCCCCCGTCAAAACTGACCCCGACGAGCAGCCGCGGCGACGACGAGGATCATCGAGGTCAATTTGTGATTTTGTCGTTCCGATTCGCAATCCAATTCTACTCCGAGAATCCTGAGTTCTTCTCCGAAGCACGTAAATCCAAATCAGCTGTTTTATCCTAACCTAAACCTACCGATCTCACGTCTGGGCTGCTCTCCCCACCACTAAATCACTTACGCATTGTCACGTGACGCGCCGCAAACTGCGTTCCGCAAACGCCAACTCGGAACGTCGACGCCTCGTTATCGTTCCAAAACGCAACTTTTACGGGCGAGTTTCCACGGCTTCGCCGCTCTAGGGATTTCTGAGAGAAAAAACATTCCTGTGCCGACCGTCTCGCGTTTCTATTCGTCCGTCCATCTCGCGGCGACCAACGTCTGGTGCCGTAAAGCCAATGACGAAGCGAGGTTAAATACATCGATTTCCAGAACGACACTCGACGGAACGTCCGCGAGGGGTAGGCGAGAGCTAAAATGATGGCGAGTTTGCAGACTTGTTTGAAGACATCGTGAATTTTACAGTGACAACATTGTTCCAGGAAGGGCTCGTACGTATCGTGCGTTTCGCAAAATGTCCGAGTTGTCTGTACGATAAGCTGCAGCGCGTTAATTCCGCCGTCGCGAGCAGTACGATTACACGCGGTCTCGGATCTCGTCGCGTAATCACGGAATTGTGTGTAGCGAGAGAAGAGTTTTGACACCGCGGAAGAGCGACATTTCGCGTTTTCCAGCTCGACGAAATTGGAAACGCTCGGTCGAAAATCGAAAGATTCCATCGATGCTTCCGCGAAAGTCGCGTCGGTGATAAGCGCTGCAACGACTTAACGGAGTAGCCGCAGCGTGATATCACCGATGACGTTTAACGTTTCAACTTTGAAGGTTACTAATTGTTACAAATCGTTTCAGCGGCTTGACAGGCGTGAACGGCCTGTGTTTGTGCATCCGATTTCTCGGCAACTCTCGAGAAGAAGCTGAGCATGGCTTCGGCGATACTGCAGGTAAGCAGGTTTGCAGCAATGCGTTTGTTGTTCGAAGAAGACGAGGTGCCAACGAGAAATTACTGAGCGCGATGGACGTTCTTTTTACAGAAGGCCATAGATCTCGTGACAAAGGCTACGGAGGAGGATCGCAATAAGAACTACGAGGAGGCCCTCAGGTTATACGAGCATGGTGTCGAATACTTTCTGCACGCAATCAAATGTACGTCCACTGAATTGATATCTAATATTAACGTAAACGCGATGTCGCAAGCTTAATGAATCTTATTTTGTACGAATGCATTCGTATCTGAAGGTGGCATAATTTTCTAATGGATTTCAGATGAGACGCAGGGAGACAAGGTGAAAGAAAGCATAAGAGCAAAATGTATGCAATATTTAGAGAGAGCAGAAAAATTAAAGGAATACTTGAAGAAGAATAAGAAGAAGCCAGTTAAGGCTGGAGCAGACAACGCCAAAAATGAGGATAAGAAGAGTGACAGTGGTGACAGTGATACTGACAGTGACCCTGAAAAGAAGAAATTGCAGAGCAAATTGGAAGGTGTTATAATCAACGAAAACACAAACGTTAGATGGAGCGACGTGATTGGTCTTGACGGAGCTATAGAAGCTTTGAAAGAGGCTGTTATTCTACCTATGCACTTTCCTTACCTCTTTACCGGGAGACGCATACCTTGGAAAGGTATTTTGTTATTCGGGGTAAGTAATTTAGAATATATATTAATTTAATTATATATTTACCTTGACTTAACGCATTCTCAATTTTCGGTCTTTAGCCACCAGGAACCGGTAAATCATATTTGGCGAAAGCGGTGGCGACGGAAGCTAATCAGGCTACCTTCTTTGCTGCATCATCATCAGATTTAGTAAGCAAGTGGCTAGGAGAATCAGAGAAGCTTGTAAAAAATCTGTTCGAATTAGCCAGGCAAAAGGAACGTAGCATTATATTTATCGACGAGATAGATTCGCTCTGTTCGTCGCGTTCCGACAACGAGTCAGAATCCGCAAGGAGGATAAAAACAGAATTTCTAGTTCAGATGCAAGGTACGTTTTCGAAATCAATAACGCGTCTGTCTCGCGCACGGCTTTTGCCAAAACGAATGTGAATCTAGTTAAATTAATGTCTTCACTTGCGTGTGTTCAACAGGTGTAGGGAACAATAACGAGAATATCCTTGTGCTGGGAGCCACGAACATACCTTGGGTTCTGGATTCTGCGATTAGACGAAGATTCGAAAAGAGAATTTACATTCCGTTGCCCGAGAAACAGGCGCGTGCCGCTATGTTCAAGCTCCACCTGGGTAATACGTCGCATTGCGTGACGGAGGAAGATTTTAAGAAATTGGCGGCTTCTACCGACGGTTACTCGGGAGCTGATATAAGCATCATTGTACGGGACGCCCTGATGCAGCCGATCCGACAGGTGCAAACTGCTACGCACTTCAAGCGCGTTAAAGGACCGTCGCCGAGGGATCCTTCCGTCATCGTTGACGATCTACTCACTCCATGCTCTCCCGGTGATCCGGCTGCCATAGAAATGAATTGGATGGAAGTGGATGGCGAAAAATTGTTTGAGCCATCAGTTACCATGGTAAGGTTTACAAGCAACACTTGTTCCTCTTATCTCATTTTATATGTTTGTACACATTGAGTGTACATAAGAAGAATTTTGTTATCTATGATATGTATTTTCATTTTATAGAAAGATATGTTGAAATCGCTAGCAACAACCCGTCCTACAGTGAACGAAGAAGATTTGGCGAAGCTAGAGAAATTTAAGGAAGATTTTGGTCAAGAAGGTTGAGAGATTATCGATTTCTCTCACAACCAGAGTAAACAGATTTATAATTTAACAAATATTTTTAGTTATACATGCTTGCCTTATTCCTCTTACGATAACACGCTTGATAATATCTGTATAAATATGTTATATTTGGAAACGAGCTTTTTTTCCCTCGTCTCCTTATTTAGATCTCTTCTCTTTTTTTTTAAGCGCAACAGCGGATGCAACCTCAAGCTTACCGCTTATTTACTTAGTGAAAATGATATATAACTTATGAAATAAACCATATATTTTGAGATAAAAAATTCTTAGACTTTTATCAAGCAGTCAGACAAAAGGTAGATAATTTTTTATCGTAAAGTAGGAAAAGTGTTGGTGATACATTTACGAGGTATATGGCAAACTCTGTGTTTAATGCATCACTATGTAATCACTATTGATAAGTACCTAACAAATTAATTGTAAATCATAGATTTTATATAGTTACTTCCTAATAACCTTTGATCATAGTTTTAAAACACTCTCGTGTATACTGTTGGCCGATTTTCTCGATTCAATTGAGCTTGACGTGGAATCATTCACGGAGTCGGAATCGAATCGCGCGGTCAATTTTATGAAAGAAAAATTGGCTAACTGAAATCGACGGAGTAACGAGTGTTATGTAACATACTACATACATATTACTGATATTCAGAATACTGTTTTCATGTAAATTGTTTTTATTGTTAACTAAATAAATAACAAGCTGTATACTGATATATACACACCAGTATTGAAAAATAGTCAAAAAATTGCGACAGCTTTAGGGAGGACAGTGCCTTAAAAATTCTGAATCCATGTAAACGACCGTTATGGTGATGTCGTCGCGAAATATCCGCACCACTTCGCTCGGCAGAGTCAACAACTGCGACAATTTGGCGTGATCTATCCCGTATTCCGTGCCGCCCAGAGCGTTCCTCAGTAAATGCGTCGCCGCGTTGCTGTCGAGGGGCTTCTTCTTCAGGCCCTCCTTGCGTTGCAGCAACATCTCATTTATGTCGGACAATTTCATATTTTTACGGGGTAATCTCAATGGATTGAGCGTAACCTTGCCGCTCATGTGCTCACCCACCAAGCGCACAGCTTGCAACGGTGAAATCAGGTCCCACAGTCCGTCACTGGCCAATATGAGAAATTTGTCCCTCGGCGTTAGCCTGTGATACCTGACCTCCGGATTGGCCGTCAGATAGGGCGGCGTATGATAATTCGGAGGTATCGCCGACTCGCCGAGGAACGGCACCACGACTTTCTTCATAACGTTCTTAGTCCATTTGTAGCGAAAATCACCTAACGAGCGGAGCGGCGCCAATTGTCCGAGCAGCCTTTCCATTTTAATTACAGTCGATCTCTCGTTTGACGGATGCTCCGACAAGATTCTCTCCACTTCCGTGCGATTGTCGACGTTATGCTCCACCGTCATCATTTTAGCCGACCATCCATCGTTTTCTAAATGGAGCCAATATAAGACTTATATACTTCGTTCATATTTTTAATTAATATCGGATAAAACAGTAAGATAATGAAAAAAAAAACAACGAACCCGAGAGTACTCCTAAGACGGCTTTACAATCACCAACACCAGCGACATGTAGATGAGGACCGTCTATGTGCGCCACAACAGCTACCGTACCCGACATTGCGACAGCAAGAGTCCTTGCGGCATCTTTCTTATTTAACTGCAACAAAGCTTCGTTCGATAGGTCGTTGTCTAATCTAAGAAACGCATTTTCCAAAGCCTTTTCCATTTGAAATTCCTTTTTAGTATCCAATTGCATCAAGTCTCTTACGAAACTCAAGAAGCTCGCTTGATAAAGATCTCTGATCTCGGCTACAAAGTCCACTTTATCGTTGAAGGTCTCGAGTAAGTTTAATTTTTTGTCCGTACCAATAGAATTCAAGTATTGCTCCAGCAATTTTGGTGGTAAGAGACATGCCGATATATAATGAAACAGCCTTTTGGATACCACTTGGGCGCAGGCGCCGCCACCGTGACCATCAAAAACTCCCAATAACACACCTACAAATAGATAAGAAGTTGGAAACCTAACTGGGAACAGCAATGAGTTCAAAGAGACATAAAATTAAGAAATCCTGTCAACACCAGGTAACACGTAACTATGTAATTATGTTTTACTGCCAACTGTGGATGATAAAGCTAATGATTTCAGAGGAAAATTACTACTACAATTTTGTTTTTTATGGCACACCTTTAGTTAGCAAACATTGAGCCTCGGATCTCGTATCTTCTATAGGATTATTTGACGCCAATTGATTAGAGTCGTAGTATTTTATGGAGCCCGAGCTGGAAAATTCTTTGGTATACTCATTGGCCTGTAGAACGTTTGTGACCTGTAACGAGATAATGATAGTAAATATGACGCATGCATGGGGAAGGAACGAGATAACTAACGGATTTAAATGTACCTCCTGCGGCGTAAGCCGCGGCAGTGCCATGTACAATCGACGGAAGCTCTTGTTGCCGCAAGACTCGCTCGTTCTCGCGTGCACATGTCGGAAACCTTTAACCAAGTCATAGCTGATTTTTTGCAAGACCATCCTATCCCTCGAATATCACCGCCGCCGCCGCTTCTCGGCACCGTTCCTCGTGCTAATATTCTTCCTCTCCTCCGCTTTTCCAGCACATCTTCGACCACTTGTAGGGTTAAAAGACACTCGAAGTAAATGCACGCAGCAGCGACGTTGACTTGAATGACGTGCGAAAACTCCGTGTTCCCTCGTATACCGCGATTTACGTAATGTACAAATACGATTCTCTTTGCTACGGAATCAGTCGACGTGCTTAAAACTCGTAAGATAAAATAACACTTTCGGACGTTACGCGTTGTTAAATTGTCGTTTTGCTGTATCGCGTAACATGGACAAAATCTACGTAAACACGTGTCTCCGATTCTCCCGGAGCACCTAACGCTACAAGACGTTACACGAGAATGGCAAGAATGGACTCGCGATCACGCGCGAATCCAGAACCCTCGCTCACATCGTGCATAAACAAGAGAAGGAGGGGGGGGGGAGCAAACACACCACACCACGGCATGTCATTGGGAACTCATGTTGACGGAGATGTGACAGCGGAGGCGCATTGGAAATTATGCCTTGTGTCCACGATACTAGAAATTTGGTCCAAATTCTCGAATCGAGAACTGTGCAGCCAATCAACTTGCAGCTTACACGAAAGAAGCAGCAATTCTATTGGCTATACAGTTCTCGAGAACTTGGACTGATTTCTCTAGTATCTCTAGTATCGCCAGCAATATTCCCTAGCGATTTCGGTCGCCGTGCGGTTGCCGTGACTGCGACTACGATCGTCGGCGTTTAAAATTCAAAACTCAACGTAATGCCAAACGGCTCTCCGCGTGCGTTGGTTCGATGACGAGCGTTTGTTCGTTGACTCGCGTTCGGATTTTGACACGGTTCCTATCTACGCTTTCGCGACGAGAGGGACACTCGTTCCCCACGGCCGAGCGAGCTTCAGCGGTGGTACTACGTTGAGTTATTCGAGGGACAGACGGAACGCCCCAAAAATTTTCGAGGCAGTGACAGACCGACGCGGCCGACGATGTCACGATGTAAGAACAACGTAAGCGACGTCTGCTCCTTTGCTCTCTGAAATTTCCGCTCCCAGAGCTATGTTACTGTGAGGATCGTAAAACGCGTTGGTAAAACTTGAACGATCGTAGCTTTGCTAACGATGGTTTTCAACAAGAAGGATCTGATGGGCGGCAAGGCGTTCTCGCCGAGCAGAACCGTGAAAACGGGGATCAGGAGGCGGCTGCCGGCCGGCGGCGGATCGGCCAAGCCGGGCACGAGCAGCGGTTCCACGATGAAGACCGAGGACACCTCCGAGATATCGATCAAGGTGATCGTGAGAGTTCGTCCGCACAACGAGCGTGAGCTGCAGGACAACAGCAGGAAGATCATCGAGGTTGTGGACGACAGGATGTTGATCTTCGATCCGAAGGAGGATGCGACGCCCTTCTTCTTCCACAACGTGGCGCAAAAGGGTAGGGACATGCTGAAGAAGCAGAACAAGCAGCTGCAGTTCATCTTCGACCAAGTCTTCGACTCGATATCCACCAATATCGACGTATTCGAGGGGAGCACCAAGAGCCTGATCAACAGCCTTCTGGACGGCTACAATTGCTCTGTGTTCGCCTACGGTGCCACCGGCGCCGGTAAGACTCACACTATGCTGGGTAACAGGGACGACCCTGGTATCACGTACCGCACCGTGGCGCAGCTCTTCTCCGAGATCGAGAAACAGAGCAAACATCGCGAGTTCAACTTGGGCGTGTCCTACCTGGAGATATACAACGAGAATGTGCAGGATTTGTTGCACAAGTCGTGCCAATTGCATCTGCGGGAGGACGGTAGATGCGGGGTCGTGGTCGCCGGATTAGAGCCGACTGCTATCCAGAACGCCGAGGAGCTGCTGTCGCTGTTGGCGGAGGGTAATAAGAATCGCACTCAACATCCGACGGACGCGAACAAGGAGAGCAGCAGAAGTCACGCGGTTTTCCAGGTGTACATCAAGATAATCAACAAGCTGGACAGTCAGGTGCAACGAGTCAAGCTGTCTATGATCGACTTGGCAGGATCCGAGAGAGCCTCGGCCACCGGATGCAAAGGTGTGAGATTTAAGGAGGGCGCCAATATCAATAAATCTCTCTTGGCTCTTGGGAATTGCATAAATAATTTAGCAGACGGTATAAAATATATTCCATACAGAGATTCGAAACTCACGAGGCTATTGAAAGATTCGCTCGGCGGTAATTGCCACACCGTTATGATAGCTAATATCGCCCCTTGTAATGTCACTTATGAAGATACATATAATACTTTAAGATACGCGAATCGGGCGAAGAAGATCAAGTCGTACGCCAAGAAGAATGTATCCTGCGAGATGCACGTTGCCGGCTACATCAAGATAGTGGAGGAGCAGAAGAAGGAAATTGACGTTTTGAAAGCGAAATTGGCCGCCTTCGAGAATGGAACGGTGCAACCGGTCGTCGAGAATAAGCCAAGCGCTGTCATGCTGGACACGTACAACAAGCTGGTAAAATTACACGAGAGGAAGAAGAGTTTGATGGAGAAAATGCTGGCTCTGGAGAGCTCCTACAAGATCCTGGCGTGCAGGATACTCTACAAGAAGGACGCCGATGAGAGACTGCACAATCTAACGACGGCTGGCGACGCGTTGTCACTGGAGGAACAAAACGCCAGCGGGAAGTCGCGCATTAACAAGTCTTTACATTATTTCGAGCGGCAGAGAGAGTCCTTTAAGGCGCAAATGCAAGCGACATGGCAGGAATTGTGTTCGGTCGAGACCGAGATACAGGAGATGAAAACTAAGTCTCTCGATGAGAATCTGCAGAATAAACTGTCTCTGGAGATTTTCAAGATTGAGAAATGCTGGATCACTAGTATGCAACAGCACATGAAGAAGCTCAGTAGTCTCCTGCAGTGCGAGAGGCAGTCGATCAACACGATAACGAAAAGCATGAGTAATACGCTGCAAAATTACTACAATATGGTGAAAGGCTACGGTACGATGACCGATAAGATGCAACTAGAGTTTAAGGAGTTAATAAAATTACTCGAGGGTATAAGAAATATCAAATGGTCGGATTCGGACGAGATAAGCAAAGTGGACGATTTCAGTATGTTTACGTGTTTGAGCACGGTCGGAATGGATCCGTTGAATAATGTGATGCCAGTGACACCAGAGATGGACGATGAGGAGCACGATGTCTGCAATATGAATGTGAACTCCACTTTCAGCACAGAAAATAATATCGACAGCAACATCTCCAATCTGAACGACGAGGGTAATAGTCACGAAAATGGTAAATTTATTCTGAAAGACGAATCTGTGCAAGAAACTCCGCGGGAAAAGATTGTTGCGAACAGCATAATCAGGAAGCGTGTATTAAATGACAAAAACAGTGAAAACAGCAGTACACCGTCCAAGCAGACGAAAAAACTGACAACGAATAACAAGGTACAGAGTACTGGTCGCGTGGACAAGGAGAACAAGCAGAGGCCTATACAAATGAGTGCAAAAAGTATCTCCATTTTAAATAAATTAAAGAGCGATGCAACCAATATTTCATCTCTTTCCCGGCACAATAATTCCGAGGAAAAAACAGACATGGCGTTTAAGGCGGTGCGTAATAAGGAGAGGCGCGGCCTTATGACGACCCATCCATATCAAAAGCCAAACATTGGGAAAAAGTAAGTAATCAGAGAATATTTAATATAATATAAATCCTTTATGAAAGCCATTTTATGAAGAATATTATACATGAATATTATCTCTGTACATATAAAATATTTCCTCCTTTTCTAATTATAGACCCGCTCCAGCTCTACCATCTACTAGAGTTCCATGGTAATATTAGACAAAAATTTGGTACCTGGACGCAAGATTCAAGAGATGGTGGCCTTACAAACATTGCGTTAAGTAATAAGACTTTTAACAAGATTTTTTTTTAAATAGATGCAAGATTTTAAATAATAGATACTATTGACTATATGAAAGAGTAAAGTCAAGTATTCTAATAAAATGACTTCTTTTAATGTTATCTAAGTATGTTTTTTTAGCTTAATGCAAAAAAAGATATATAATTGTGCAAGCAGTATCTCTCTTTCTCTCTCTTTCTCTCTCCCTTTCTCTGTGCATGTTTAGAAAATAAAATGATAAAAATTTATAATTGTAAACTATATCGTCATTCGTGTATTTGTGTATGATGTAATCTCGTAATCTCTTGAAATTTATTCAAGACTGAACGAAACGGCACAGACATAGCAAAATACTGCTCAATAATCGTAACTTGCATTTTGTTTTTGGAAAGTATATTATTTTGTGTAATATTTTATACAAGTACCGTCAAAAAAAAAGAGAAAGAAAGAAAGAGAGAGGGAGAGAGAGAGAAAGAAGGTGCATTTTACTATTAAAATGCTCCGTATACCAAACTTACAATTAAGATTCGCATCACATAAATAAAAATGAAAAAATTACATTAGATTATATATATATTGACAAACCAAGTTTCTGCTGTGTAGAGAATGTCGACTAATTGTATGTAATCTTTAAGGAAAGAATAAATTATTTACGTAAATTTCTAAAGATCGCTCGTACATCGAAAACGATAGATATTGTTCTGTGCACGTAAAAAGTCAAGTGATTATCAATTATTTCTTCTCCAAGTCCTCATTGAGACTTTCCTGGAAGCACCACGTTTATTGTTTATGTTACTATACTTTTATTGTTTTCACTCAGCTATCGTTCAACTTGGAATACTCACGTATTCCTGCAAGGCATGCGACACGTGTTTTGAAACTTCTGGAACTCGCAAGTCTACGGCTGTCTGTCTGCCGCTAACTATCGTCGGCAGGATTGATCTTGAATGATCAAAGAGAGTGGCGAACGATTGCAACAGAAATGCCAAGAACGCCAACGATGCTAACACGCTGATGGGATCAAAGGCGCTAAAATACATATCATTTATCACTGTCGTCGTAAGGGGAAAGAAAGATGTGGCACGATTTATTTCAAGAAGATACTTGCTGGTAATGAGCCGGTGATGAGCCGAATCCACCATAGTAGCTGCGCTGAATCGACTGTTGCCTGCGTATATCCGGAGAATTTGGATAGGGTAGAAATGATATGCTCTTCGACTCCGTCTTGTACGTATCCGATAAGTAACACAGGGGCGGATTACTGCAAGACGGTGCTTCGCTTATAGTCCTTTCCAATCTCGTTCTCTGCATTTCGCATTGAATAATGTCGAACGCACCAAGAAGCAATGTGATCTTCAACATTTTATTCCGTTCCGGCCGAAAATGTTTAAACTTTTTGTTACTTTTTGTATTATCGTGCGCGTTACGGGATACAATTCTCAACGCATTTTAAATACGAGACTATCGATACAACACGCAAAAAGTATCAATCGTTGATAATATTCTTACGCGATATGTCGTTAAAATTTCTCTACCTTATACTCGAAGATATGGTGACTCGATGTACTCGACGAATATATAAATACTGAAAAAAAGATGGTAACGAGCGTATCCTCTGATTCTTCGTACGCTCCAGTTGCTAGCGTTTTATTTAAATTGTAATAAATTCGAGTACTGTTACAAACAGCGCAATTTCGATCTCGTTATGTTGACATTAGTCGTGATAGCTAACGAGCGTAAAATTATACACGGCAAATTGAACTTTCAAATAGGACACCGTTTACGGAAACTATGGAAAATAGATAACGCTAGTTAAAACGATTAATTCAGCTTTTCATGATACACAGTTCAATTTTATGCGATATTCAAGATTCAGCTTTTATTGACGCATTACTAAGATTTAACACATTTTTAACAGCTTCCTTGTACTTATTGACCGAGTATTGATCTTCGCCATTGTTTATGAGATCTGAAACGGCAATTTTGTATTCCGTTACGTGCGGGATGGTCTCGTAGTCGTAATCGGTCGGTGGTTCCGGCCACTTGTACAGCGTTACTAGATTCGTGCGACTCTGGCTGGTGTCCCAGTCGAAATACTCCATGTCCACTAGCGATTTTTCGGCTTCCCACGGTTCCACCCTCTGCAAGCAAGCATTTCGTGTTACTCGCTAGACTCATAAATCACACGCGGTAAAGGTAATTTTTTATTTATTTATACAGTTGCGAGCTGTCACTTACCCAAGACTCGTGATACACCGCCGTGAGTAGATATCGCACATATTCCAAGTTTTGCTTTTTGGTTGGACATCTGTCAGCTGTGATTGTTATTACATCCGTTTCCGGATTATATCTGTTTCCCAGTAATCGCAGTAGCTTATCTTTGGCATGGGTGTCCAAGTGAAGGGAGGACAGCCTTACTCGCAGACTCACGATCCTGGCGAGCGGATCCCGTATGGTGGGCGAGGAGTAGCAATAGTCGGACGTGATGATCTCGACGGGAAAGTGTTTCGCGCATTTCTCCTCGGTTTCCAAACCGGCCGGCCACTCGGTGCAAAACTGCTTCAACGCCTCGCAGTGCCGCCGTATCGCCGGCGGCGTGAGATGCAGGAAATTCGGTATCTTCATGAGCTCGGCGTTGGCATGCTTGGTGAACGGCGCGCCCTTTTCCTGGTACCCTTGGCGCAACGGCAGGGGCACCGAGGCGGGATGAAAGGTTCGCGCGCCCGGCCAGACCGACGGCCAGTCCTGGTCGATGGGCATCCCCTTCGTCCTGGGCGGCGGGACGGCGATCCGTTGCGTCTTTCGTCTCTCCTGCTTGACGTTCTTGCGCTGCGGATAAATTTCCAGTACTCGAAATTCTAAAAAAAAAATAAAAACGATTATCTTTCGAACGTTTCTAGCGCAAACAAACTGGGAATACGTAGACGATACCAACGTTGAGGTTCACCCGGGTTCGAAGCGCTTGAATACGCCGCGACGAGCCTCAGCATTTTCGGCAAACTTTGCGCGAGGCTTGCCTCAAATCCACGTTTCAACAACAACATTATTTACGTGAGATTGTATTATTTTATGGTAAAAACATAATCACGCGTTAACTCTGCCAAAGAATTCAATTTAACCTAACCTAACTCTAATCTGACATAACCTAAACATTTTGGTAGCTGAAGGAGTGTGTTTACCACGAGGAATTCTGTCGATTATACAGTAGTGCTTCATTATCGACGGTAATTTCTACTCAAGTTTGGGAGATTCGCCACTATAAATTTTGCGGCGCGCCGTCACTGCTGTCGCATTCCTCGAATCTCTCTCTCGTCGTATTGAGTGGTGTCGCGAGCATGATCGAGCAGTACTGGCGGAATACTATTTGAGGTTCGCGGCTGTTCGTGACATCGGGGAAGTGAATTTTTTGGCACGTTGTGTGAGGCCGAATGACAGAATGACGAGGAACGTTGATTCGCTCGCAGTCTAACGATGCCCGTCGCGGAGAGGACGTCGCTGTAAAAAGGGACCGCAGTCATGTGCGACAATATACAGGGCAATCCGTTCGCCGGATTGTTCTCCACGGATAACGATGCTGTCTCATTCTCCTCGCAGCATCATGCGATTGACAACGAGGCCAACGACGCGAGTTACGCGGAACGATCGTCGGACGCGATTAAGGACGAGGAGCCTCGCGATCCCGCGAACGCAACGGAGTCCGCGAGTTTCGACGACGACAAGGTCGATCGACTGATGGCACATGTGTTCGGTTTAACGTTGCATCGCGACGGTGACAGCCGCGCGCAAGAATCTCTCGTGTTTATTGATACCGACTCGATGGAACACGCCGTCTTCGAGCGTCTGATGCTGCCAAATCCTAAACCTAACAAGGCGCAAGACGTCGATAGCCATGTCGTTCAGACGCAGGTTATAACCTACCTGTACGAGTGCTACTGTCGTTTAAAGCGTTACCGTGTAAACGGTGATCTCGAAGACACCGTGAGAAACGCTTGTCAAATTGTACTTCGAAATGCCAACACAGCTTTACAGGAGCCAGATTTGTTTCAGTATCAGGAGGTAGAATACCTTCTTAACAGTCTTAAAATCTTCTTTTTATATAACAGTTTACGAGCGCTAATTTATGTTGTACATACCAGCAAAATGTAACATCGACTGCTGTAGCTGTCATTAATTGTCATGCGTTTTAATTGTTTTAGGTTCACAATCAATTCGTTGCTTTATTTATGGATGACGTTACGTCAAAGTCAGAATTATCGTCGTTTGTTAGTGGCATAGTGGAAGAATTAATAGCAGTGAATGGAGAGAGCGATGTAGAGGATGTAATTGCCAGGTCATTCTCACCTGTCCTCGATATCGTTCATAAGGAAGCGGTTCAGAGCAACCTTTTTACGTTCCGCCAACAGTGGTTCGCCCTATTGAATACATTTTCCACTATTGAGCCACTGGCTAAATTAATAATTCGTCATAGTACGCCGAAGAATAATCAGGGGTGCACATATTCTGACACATTATTGGGCGCATTCTTCAGTATAAGCTGTCTACCAAAAACAGCTAAGGATCCGTATGATTTTTTTGATAAACCTCTCTTACAGGTATGGAAAAGTCAATTTTTCTTATTAGTCAAGTAGATTTTTTTTTTAAGCTATTCAATTTGCTTTACTTATATATTTGAATTATCATAGCCAAATACAGTCATGGAGAGTACCATATGGATAGCCATGGACAGCCTGAGCGAAGCTCTATACAAAATTTTCCATTCCCTGTTGAAATGTTCGACGGAGCTTCGTCACTTGACTTTGCAATGGTTGGGTAATTGCCTACATGCGAATGCAAATAGAGGAAAACTGTGGAACTCTCAAATGGATATGGGACTGCTGGGAGTGTTGTGCGTGTCGGATGGTTTTATGCTGAATGTGGGCAATGTATTGCTGCGCCTTTGTCAACCATTTTGTGCTAAATTGAACGACGCCAAAGTACCAAAGATAGATCCTACCTATTGTATCGCAAAGGTTGGTTTTTCAAAAATTTAAGAAACATGATACACAGTATTTGGCTACAATTAGTAAGCTGCTAGTTTAAATAAAACTATTTTTAAATAAGACTAATATATATTAAATATGTATATCAGTTTTATTTATCATTCAGTAGCCAAATAAGTTTTGCTAAGCATTTATTTTAGCAATCCGCTTTGTATTGCTTTTATGCAACCTTTCATTTTTTTTATCACTAGTACATAACAGGCGTGCGCTTCGCGCGCGCTGCGTATTGAATCCCGTACATCTTCCAATAAAATTTATACCAATTTACAGTTTATTTTTTTTAAATTAAACAAATGTTTATTTTTAAATAAAAAATTTTTTTTGAAAATTTTTTATATCATGCGATTTTTAAAATAAAAAATTTTTTTTTTACTATCGTCATCCACCACCACTACTCAGCACCACCACCCACCACCATTACCCACCATCACCCACTACCACCTCCCACCACCACCACCCACCACCACCCACTACCACCACCCATCTCCATCACCCACTACCACCATCCACCACACCTACTATTTTAAGATAGGAATCTTATAAATTGAGCCACCCCTCTGCATTTGTTTGTATTTGCATGTTTAGGCAGAGGATGAAACCGAGAGTCTGCAACGTGGTATACATATGAAAGGATTGAATTCAGAGACATGTTTAGTACCAACTCCAGAGGACGGATGCCGACCAATATCAAATTCGTTCGGATTCATAACAGAATGCTTTTTCCTGACACATCGTGCATTAGATCTTGGTTACAGAGTTATCCTGGACAAATTTTTGAAGTAAATAACTGATCTTATAATTTTTTTTTTTTTTTGAACGACCGTTCTCATTGTGCTTAAAATTGTCACTTTTAATTCTACAGAACAAATCAAGATTTGGCTAGGATACAAAGAGCTTACAACGATGCTCGAACCGGGGGCAGTTCGGAGGTGCTGGAGCTCATAACACAACGAATGGAGAGCGAAATGATAAAGTATATAAATTAATGCATTCATATTTTTAATTCTTTTTATGTTTATCATAACTAAACTTATATAACTTATGTAACTTTTTATCTTTATTACAACTATATATTCATTATGATATTTTTTCAAATTGCATTTTAAAGTTCTTTTAAATCTATATTTGTATCTATATATGAGAATTTACTTTTTTTTTAGGTACCTATCTCTCAAAGCGAGTCTATTAGTGCCGGAAATGTTGGGTCACTTGGCGAAATTTCACGCAATGACGGCGTTTTGGTTAGTTCAAGTCAATTTACACATTGTCGAGAGCACACAACATATTGTACCGGAGCAATATATACCTGTTACATTCCCGTTACCAGAAACTGTTCCAACTACGTTAAGGTACGCGCCACATATATGAACCAAATTGCAATGATCACGAATGAATTAATATGGAAATTGATGTGCCTACCATCCACAGATGCATTCCTGAGTTCGTAGTAGAGAACACCATTGGATTTTTGTGTTTTTTACGTCGCTTAAGTCCAAACACGTTCGAGGAACAGGGCCCGAGTTTTTTAAATCCGATCTTGACGGAGGTAAGTCAAGGTAGAACGAAACCCATTCTTATCGCGATCATTAAAGTTAAATATTGTTTCCTTTAGATTATAGTTTTGATGGAGTCTCCGCATCGTCTTTACAATCCGCATCTGCGCGCGCGTTTAGCCGAGAGTCTGGAGGCACTTTTGCCGACGGTGGACGAGAACGCTGCGCCAGCGACACCAAACTTAGGAACATTCCATAGGGAACAGCTATTTCTCACTCATCCGCACAGGGAGCAGGTGAGAAAAAAAAATTCTGCTTAAAGTTTATTATCGAGAGACGCATGAATAGTTGATTATCCTTCACATGCTGTTTGTTTTACAAACAGATAATTGTCAACTTGCTGCACGTATTTGTAAGTATTGAGATGACTGGGCAAAGTGTACAGTTTGAACAAAAGTTCAACTATCGTCGTCCAATGTACATTGTTATGGATTATTTATGGAAACTCGCCGAGCATCGTAATATTTTTGTGTAAGCAGAATTATGATATTTAATCATTGTTTTTGTTTGTGTCTAAAATTCGGCAGTTGCCAAGTAAAGTGTCATTATAATTATCTCATATAATTATGATGTGTCAGTACTCTAGCTGAAGAAGCGGAGGGTAATATGGAAGCGGTTCAGCCACCTCTGTTTCTACGTTTTATTAATCTGTTGATGAACGATGCTGTGTTTCTCTTGGACGAAGCCTTATCAAATATGGCACAGTTGAAACAAATGCTTCAAGCCAGGTATTTGTAAAAACACATTGAATTATTATTTTCTATTGTGTGTGTCATATTTTTCAAATTAAATACTTTATAATAAATTTGCACTAAGTATATCGTTTTGTTTTTTTATTACAAGGGAAAGCGGAGAATGGAATAAACTGCCACCAAATGAACGCGAGCAACAGGCAGCGTATCTTCAGCATATTGGTATGATTGCTCGCTTCGATAACATTCTGGGTAGAAAAACTATACAGACGATAAAAATGTTAACTACCGAAATCAAGTCAATCTTTTGCCATCCAACGATGGTGGACCGTATTGCTTCCATGCTCAATTATTTATTACTGCAGTTGGTAGGACCGAATAAAAAAAATCTGAAGGTAATTTTAAGAATCTGTAAATGTTACGATGAAAAAATTATGTTGCTATAATTTCGTATATCTAATGAAATTCAGGTGAACGATCAAAAGGAATATGCATTCAACCCTGCAAATTTGGTATTAAATATATGTGAGATCTACATTAATTTAAGTAAAAATGAAAGCTTTACACTTGCCGTGTCTCAAGACGGACGTTCTTACAGTCCAGAACTATTTAAACTTGCGGACAACGTGCTCGGTAAGTTTTTTGTATGTTTTTTTTTCTAAAAAATAACTTATGCCGGAAAAATCTAAAAAACCGTGTACATCACAGTTCGTATTGGTGGCGTGGGAATCTTGGGAGATCTGGATCAATTTGCAAAAAATGTGGAAGAGGCCGCGAATCAAAAGCGAGAGGAAGATGAGATTTTGACAGGCGTTCCCGACGAATTTCTAGACCCGATTATGTCAACTGTCATGACGGATCCTGTTATTTTGCCGTCGTCGAAAACAACTATAGATCGTCAAACTATAGCAAGGTATATTGGAACATGAATTATATGTATATATATATATTTTTTTCAACTTTTACATACGTTGCAATATACAATTTTTCATTTATTTTATCAAATGTATTTCAGGCATTTGCTAAGTGATCAAACTGATCCTTTTAATCGATCTCCACTTACAATGGATATGGTAAAATCGAATGTCGAACTTCGAGAAAAGATACAAGAGTGGATTTCACAGAAAAAACTGGAGAAATTGTTAACGACTGATACATAATTTATCGTCAATTGTATCACAATTGGAATAGTGTTGAAATTTATATACGCAATTTGTAAGACAAATTGTAAAATGTAAGTCATCAAAAGTGCACATAGATGATAACCTTACGGTTGCTGAAAAGAGTTCGGATTTATGATAATCAGTATTTCTGTGAAATGAAAAATACGTAAATATTTCATCGTTTTTAGTGTTTTATTATATTGTTTCATCGAGATTTTACCATTCGTTGATGTTCGATTTACCCAATAAAAATAGACAAATAAATAAAAAGCAATTTTGTATACAGACTTTGTAATGTAATTATGTACAGGGTTATAAACAAGTATATAGAATTACATCTATAATAATTATTGATTGATAAAATGTTATATACATAGATGGCACATGATTTTAGAAAATCACTGTATCAAAAAGATAATTGTATATGTAATGTGTAGAATAAAGTGTGTTATTTATGAAATGAATGTTGTCTATAATTTCCAAAATTGCTTTAATTACTATAATTTAATTCTCGATCCATTAAACATAACCATCTTTTTTCTGAAACAATTTATTTCTTATTTTCTTGAACAATTTATTTTTACTAAGATATCAAAAAGAACCTCGTATCATTTTCATAGAAATATTGCGTGTTTATAAACAATTTGCAAGATCATCAAAGTTTGTAACAAACCATTGAGCGCGTGATCTTACATTTTCCCTAATTACATTTCCACCAAATCCTGTAACAAAAATAATAATGATAATCAAACAGTGATCTGCAGTACAATTATTATTATTATTTTAGCATGAATAAAATATTACAATGATATACACATAGAGACAATTTTTCACGTGAATGTTATACATACCTATAAACGCGTCTGCTGGCGGTGATGCTTCTAAATCTGTTGAGCCGTCACCGACATGTACGACAACTTTGAATCCTTTTTCATCTTTCAGACGTCGTATCACTTCTCCTTTGCCACCGCTTCTAGAAGTCGGCTGAGTCTCGTCGAACCCAGCGTATTCACCTGTGACATTTGTGCATGTGTTTTATATGTCTCGAAAAGAGCTTATGAATATGTGGACTAATGCATATATAATTTACCTGTAAAATAAAATTTTAATCTATTTGCATAAATATTTTCGAATGGAATGTTGAGTTGCTTAGCAATTGGTGTGATGAGACAACGGAAGCCACCAGAGACAAGGAACACTTGCTTGCCACGAGCTTGTAAGGTAGACACCAACTCTCTGAAATATATTGATTGATGATTCTTAAAAATATGACGCATAAATCTGCATATGTTTATTTCTTGAAAAATGAAATATATCTTACTTGATGCCAGTGGTAAGTTTTATTTCATGTGTATTCAAGAACTCTTTCACTTGTGTCAAACTTGGATTTATGATCCCCAGTCTTATAGATAAGGATTGCTGAAATGTCATATCACCTTGCATAGCCTTTTTCGTTCTGAAAATAATATATTTCGATATTTTTGCATCGAGATGGTGGAATCGTGTTGCGAGCAAAGGTCAAATTATAAACCAAATGAGGAAAAACGTACAATTCGGTGATTTGTTTTCCTTTCCCGCAGAAGTTGGCAAGTTCGTCGATAGCTTCCTCCGTTATGACAGTGGAATCGACATCGAAGGACACAGCATCTGCGGTTTTCCATATGTCTCTTATGTTATTCGAACTCGTCATCTAGAAAGTAATGAAATTAATAAAAAGAAGAAGATGGAAAACTATAGATGCGAAAGATGCAAAAACAAATTTTGTTATTCAGCTTTCATTACTTTTCGAATAATCGACTTGTAACTTGGGAGAAGGAAACGGGAAGCCAAGTTTATACTTTTCATAGTGTGGATGATACAAAACTTCCGCTAAAACGTGTGTTTCGCCCCGCATGATTATATATTCGGATTAATTCGTAAATAATATATATGTATACATTGCATGCACGTAGCTCAAGTCTCACGTGATGTCTATGACGTCATATATATATGTCATATCCACAACACGATCGCGATCTCTTTACCGACGGATGACAATTGCGACACGTACGTTTCCCGAAGAAGTCGACGAACGCCCAGCTGTGACCCAACAAAATAGCAATGACCGATTATCGTTTTTACGTCATCCAGAGAAATGTGAAAGATCACGCGTGATTACGCAGGTATAATAAGCGTGCACGAAACATGGAACATGACGTTTTACCACCTGAGTGTGGACTTCCGTCCAGAGAATGCAATAAGACATGTAATTAAGAATTTAAAACGACAAATGTATAGGTATGTAATTGAAAAAAAAAAAAAAGAAAACAATTCTTACAGCGTGCTTATGGAAATTCTTAAAAAAAGGCGATTTTTGGTAGAAATGTGTGATTTCGACAGATGACTTGCGTTCATTTAAATTCATCGTCGATTAGTATTGCGGTATTTAGCTTGTAAGGTAAATTAACCGATAAAAAGATCGGCCAGATTTCTAATCGCTGAGTAGTTTTTTCATCGTGCTCTGGCAGGCATGCGATCGCGAAGAGTGAAAATTACCTTGTCGACGTCGTGAGAGGGATCGGCAAGCACAACGGACGGCAACGGCGAAGCAGCACGACGAAGCAACCAGAGTAACCAATTAACTGTACGTGTGCCACTGTACTGTCGTGGCAGAAGGAAGTGGAAGCTCCGTACGTGCGGATTTATCGCGCGATAGACCACCGCGGTTTCGTAAGCTATCTCGTAATCACGCGTAATTGCTCGGCTGGGGGGCCGATTCGAGCGCGCTCGAGCACGTAATTGAAACGTTGTTTTTTTCGCGCGATCGATTCTCTCTCAATAAGGTTATTGATGCGCCTGTTTTTCGGCGATAAGATTACGACGATCGCTCGGGTTAATCATTGACGTCTTTACCTGATAGCGACGCGCAACTGAGTCTCATTGAATTATTTTATCAAGAGATTGATCGGATTTAAGTACTTTAAAAAATACGCTTTTTACGTAATTGCTGTAAAAAAATGACAACATACGTTACTGTAAACAGCTGTGAGTTCTCGTTGGGGAGAGAATTATATAAGAATGCAACAGATACATATAATAGTTATAAGAGTAGCAGCATATAGAAGTTAGATAATGGATATAAGATTTATTGGAATTATTTTTGACGGGATTTAATTACTCATCCAATCTGAATAGCATGAAAATATGGTCATAAAACGTAGGAATTTGTAGATTCGACATTTTAGACATTCATGTGTAGTTCCTATTAATCATTACGACACATATAATGTCATGGAAGTGTTGAAAAAATTTATATGAATTGAAAAAGCACGTGTTAACCCACGTGGTAACTTAGCAACCAGTGACTATCGTAATTTGATTATATATATTTTACTATATCCGAGTTGTCGATTGCCTCGATGTTTCATTGATAAAATTACTTCAGCTCGATAAGGTATCGACAGTCGCTAACATCAAAATCTGTCTTGATAATAGCACAATGTTGAGTTTTCTGCGTATAGGTTGCGCTGTTATTGAATTATATAATGGCAGCTGATGGCAGCGTACATACAAACATTCGAATTGCTTTGGGGAAGGAAGGTCCGCGGGTGTTTACATTTTTGGTTAATACATCAAGCTTTTTTCGAGAAGCAAAACAGGAATGCAGGCGTTATTCGATATGATTATCAATAATTATAATACTCTGTTCGCTTCTCCCAGGTAAAGAAACGAAATGCGTACGTTGTACATACATGAGTAATAAAATATATATCTGTCCGATTAATCACGCGTTATCTGATCGTTATTAAAGCTCACTTTTCAAGACGCGATGGTTCTCTTAAAATTATATATATATTAATTAGTAATAATGCGATAAGACAAAGAGGTCACAAATCTTAAAAGAAAAATTCAAAATGTGTCTAACTTTCGTCATTAAAGTCAAACAAACGAGACAGTTTTATAAAATGATCGTAGAACGATATACTTCCTCTACTTCGTCTCCAAACATTTTGATAGTGTATGTAAACATTCTGCTTTTAATGTAAACTATTTATAAATGAAGAGCGCGCACGCTTTCGTGCTTTTTGTCAAAGTCTATGTAGATTCTGTGCGAAACGGAAGTTTACGGAAATCGAGAAGTAAAAAAGGATTAAAATTAATTGAGATTAACCTGCAGATTGGAAACCAAACCACGGCACTTTCTGCTTATCAATGTGTGTGCCGGAGATAAGCGGACGCGGTCCTTCCGTCCGAGGAGTGTGTCTACTCGATCCAAGCGCGAGGAAATCTGACCGTGGATGCGTACGAGCTAGCGCGGAGCGTCGCGACGAAGCGTCGCGGCGCGCATCCTCCGACGCAGATGTGCCGGGCGCCAAGCGCCGGGCGCGAAGCGGAGCCACCGCGAGTGATCATCGCGCGGGTTGCGGCTAAATAGCTTACGCTCTTCGACCGCCCTTGTCGCGATGTGCGACCGTTCCGCAAGCTTCAATTTGGCGGTTCTCCTTGCTGCATGCGGTCTGCTGACGGCCCGCGGCGGTGCCGACGGCGTCGGCGATGCCGCCAATGTATCGCTGAGCGACGATCCGCGTTGCTCGCCGTCGCTCAGCGTGATCCTCAGTTCGGAGAACGACACTGACGACGCGTCGACGCGACCCTCGGGGAACAACGGTAGCATTTTTTACGATGGCATCAATTATTCGCCCGATCTGCGCTGGACCGACGGCAATGTCATTTACGGCTGCATTTGCCGAGTGCGCACATGCATCAGGAAGTGCTGCGCCAACGACGAGGTTCTCCGCAAGAACTCGAACAAGAAAAGGATATGCCAGAAGATATCCCAGAACGATAGGAACACGTCGACAGAGGCCGAGATGCTGGATTTGCGTCTGCCGAAGGACCAAATGTCCGATGAGCTTAAACACATTGACACGCTGAAGGAGCACTTCCACTTGGTGCAGGACAATTCCTGTTCCGGTCGCCTCTACGCTCTCTATCCCGATGACTCTGGTGAAATTACGAATATTCTTCTCCAGACGAACGGTAGCTTGCTGGACATCGACAGAAAGGAACAATTTCCGATCTGGAATTATTGCATTGATTGGAAGGTGACTGTCCATCATATCGGCATCTTGGGCTGCTGGACGCCGGCGAGTGAGTCGAAAGAACCGGAGTACATACATCATCATGTGGGCATCATAGTGTCCATTCCGTTTCTCGTCGCCACCTTCCTGGTGTACGCGATTACCCCCGAGTTGAGGAACCTCTACGGCAAGACGCTCATGTGCTATGTCATCTGCTTAATCATCGCCTATGTCTTCCTGATCTTGGTCAACTACATTTACATGTCTCCGATACGCATATTATGCTTCAGCACAGGTAAGATATCTCTTTATTCATTATATATCCATTAATTATTGACACTTTCACAATCTGATATTCGTCGCAGATATTCGTTTGTGTAATCAAAATCTTATTACAATTAGAGTTAAAGAATAATATTTTTTGTGCGGCATTGTTATTTTAATCGTACGTAACGTAAGAAAGATTGATGTGATGACATCACGTGCGCGAAAAAAATAATTAAAATAAGTCTCGTATCATTAAGCCACATAATAATATGCTTTAATTTTCAAATCAAATCTACATTTTATTATGCCTTATTTTTTCTTCAAAATGATAATCTTGGGAATACTATCTCGAGAGAATACTTTCGCAAATGCGAATAATAGTAGATAACACTATATGCATTACTTAAATAATTAAATAATTACCATAATGTAATGATCATTAACTGCACACTCCGCATGCAGCACTCTAACATTTCCAGCAACTAAAGAGCAAAGCTATAGCTCCTTTTAAAAATTGCTGAATCATTTTGAGCAAAAATAATATATTTATTCAATATTAATATTCTGTATACTCGATCGAAAATCTTTTTATAAACGAGACATTTTTAAATTCTTTTATATTCGTATTTTAATTTTTCATATTTAGAATTTAATTTACACTGCTCTTAAAAATAGTTTATCATGAATAAAATTATCGGTTGATGACTTGAAGAAGATTAATCACGAATTTATATTTATAACCGCGAAGTTATACGCTTAGTCACCAATTGAATTGATTAACTCCTATAAATGTATCAATTGATTAAAACCGCAAAGAAAAAAAATTATAAATAAGAAATAAATATTAGATAAATAAAAACAAGTATATAGTTACTCTTGATAAATAACGATTATAGATCTTCTAGACAAAAAAAATTCTGATTTTTTTCTCTCTAACAAATTTTTAATCTGTAACACGAAAAGAGGAACTTTATTAAATTTTTTTTGATAGATTTGTAAAAAAACGACGATTACACAGATTTATAATTTGAATCTATAGTTACGTATAATCTAGATTATATTTATTTTATTTTATAATTACATTGTAAGCACAAATGTACGTATGTTATCACGTATAAAATAAGTGTTATCACTATTCCAACTATTAATATGGGGCACAAATCGTCATGAATCAGTCATGGGCGTTTTTTTCTGCACGCGCGATTCCGATATCTCTGTGATTAGTAATGATGCCAGAACCACATACTACACTTCCTAATACAATTTATGTAATCCCTAGCAGTCGTTTCACATTATTTCGAGGAAAACGCGATCGAGAGAATGCGTCTTTCAATGAGGAAAATAGGAGTCGGATCTGGACTAACAATAAGAACTTGTCGGCGCCTCTCGAGCCATCACCACCTTCGATTTCCCATAAAACAAATGTTAATGATATCCCGCAATGAATGTGATGCGAGATACGAGCGATGAGTACAAACCGGTTTTTGCGTAGTATTTCGTTGTATACCACCGCATTGGTCAAGCATTGCTTATAGGGTGGGATAAAAGTATGCGTCAATAACGGTAAAACATAATAAAATTATATTATCTCTGAATTTTCAAAAAAACTTTTTTTTCTTTTATAGCTTAGAAAGATAAAGTGATAAGATTGAGAAATCAGCTGTGGGAACCAGCAAAGGTTTTTTTCCTAAGTATCGATTAATAGCTTTTTAGAAGATAAATCTTTCGGCCGTACATAAAATAACACCTGGTGCAACTTGAAATTTTTTGTTGCTCACTCGTTGTCTAATCCGTAGGTCTATTCTGAGGTCTTCTCTCGAAAATGTAATGGCTCTTCGGTGGAGCATTAAAAATCTAAACAGTCTAAATTTATGTTGCTGCCGGATTGGTCAAGCTTCTATCTGTAGACCGTACAAGTTTGTGAATAAAACATCTTTTTTCGAACCGCCCTGTATACACGGCTTCGCAGCAGGTAGGCTGCTTCTCTAACGTTGTCGACTCGTTGTCTGGTAGTCTCGTCTCGTTGCTCGCGCGAGTATACGCGTTTCTCGCGCGCGCTCTTCCTTAATCCGTTGCCGGGAAAAGTCGCAGCGAAACCGAACACAGTGCTGGGCTTTATCGAATCCAGCGAGATAGCTGAAAGTCAACCGTAATCGTCAGTGATAACAGTGCTATATTTGAACCAGGATGGATTTTTCATGTTTTTCGACGATTTGTTCAAAAAGAAAGAAAGAAGAAATCGTGCGAAATAACTTTGCCTCCTCTCGCGTTTACTCCGTTCTCTCCGATAAACAATTCTATCGCATACGTCAGTAACTCGATTGACGTCTTGTTTCATATTCTGACGTATTTAAATACACGCCCTTTTCTCAAATAGCCACTTGACTCATTGATTATTAAATTATCAGAATAAAGTATTTGCGCAGTATATATTATATATATATATGTATGTGTGTATGTATAATAGTATATTTTTTGCAACAGGTATCTAGCAGGTAAAAATATATATTTTTTACACATAAATTAGTTTGCTTATTCAAACTGGATAATCGAATATCCATATTGTACATATTAGCTCCATTGTTATCAAGAATTTAACTGTACAAATATTTCACTGTATGTAATTGCTTTGATATTGTCATTTACATATTTATGTGTTTAGATAGTGTACTGGGAACTATAATCACAATTTGCATTAAAATGTAAATTTGCTTACATCTATATTTTAGTTAATCATGAATTAACATTTCATTAATTTTTTTACTTAAAATCAAGAAGCGATTATGATTAAATGAATAAAATCTTATTATCTTGATATAGAGACTATATAGAGGATGTGATTGACATCAAGCTATGAACTATATTAGCAATTATACGAGTAATATTTAAAACAGTACGTTATACACACACACATACACACACACACACAAATAATATTTGTAACGTATTTACTTACGTAATCATTTATCATTTACATATCTGTAATTCGTATCTGTGAATAGTATGCTTTTTATAAATAACTATATCTCATATGACCAAGGATGCTGTCCACACAATATCTTTCGCATTAAATACTGATAAAAGTTCGCACTCTTCTTTATCACTTTTACTCGATTGGTTCAGGCACTTAAACATAACAAGATGTAGTAAGACTAACAACAGAATAAAAGATGTATGTTTTATTATTATTTAAGGGGCGTAAAGAGAGAGAGAGAGTGGCTCGCTATATTTTTTTCAAAGTCGCATGTTTTTTTTTTAGTCTCTCTCTTTCTTTTTCTCTTCCGCCACTTCTCATGGCACTTTCGTGAGTAAGCTTCCGCAAAGCGATAACGCTGAGAGGCAGCGACGATAATTATCCCAAGTTGCTGCATTTAGCAACCTCATTAAATTAGTACATAATGAAACGGCGTCTGAGAACAATCCTATTCATTGCGATCGTGTTCGCGGCTGCCGCTCTCGAAAACGGCCAGGCGGAAGAAGAGCCAGAGGAATCATGGAAGGAAAATTTTATCACCCCCCATGTTTATCTAGAGGTAGAGATAATTCCAAGTTCGATTGTGTATTATATGTTGTACTTGGAATTTGTCGATGGGATCAATTCTCGTGTTGCTTTGCTAATGCGTATTATAATATTGTGCTTACCTTAATGATATTTAATGCCTATAGCGATTTCGTGATGACAGATAGTAAATTCTCGGGTATAGTAACAACATCAGAGACGATTACTAACTGTTTGTGTATTGTAATTAATCAAGACTTTTAGAAGAACTTGCATATTGAAAATTAAGCTTGATGAATCCTAGATCACCATATCATCTGGGTACAACGAACCAGTGCGATTTAGTCGTTTCTGAAATTACATTTCTTTAAACCTTTACTTGAATATATTACTAAAATATTTTTGATTTGATTCTTGTTTATCTTTCTCTGTCAGATTCTGAGATATTAATTTTACAGTGTTGCTAAAAAATATGCTTTCAGTTAAAAAATATAAAGACAGAATGGTTTTATCGGTGTGGCGGGGAAGATAACTAAAAATAACGATGATCTAGGATTAAATATAAATGTAATTACAATCTCGATATCATAAAATTATGTAGAATTATAGATTTATAGACCAAAACTTACGTAAATATTAATCTGCTAATGAATTGCAGTAATTTGTTCATCTTGATCAACTTAATTCACATAACGACTATGGACTCAATCTTCTTTATTAACTGTAATTGAATGTAATACGCAGAAAGGAACCAACGTCAAAATGAGTAATATTGTGGATATAGTTATCAGAAGACTTTCAGTAGTGTGAATCTAAAAATAAAATAATTTTCTGACAAAAGGATAACAAAAAAAGAGTGTCACTAATTGACCGTATAATCTGCATAACTCACTATGTATATAATATGTTCAATAACAAAGATTTAAAAACCTCTGGCATTTGGTTCCTCTCCGCTCATGTCCATAACCGTGGGTTAACATTATTTGTCTCCGTTTCCTCTGGCTCCTCTACTCCTAGACAACGACTGACATCAATGGTGACGGCTCCGGGAAGCCCCGCGTGTCGCTATGCTGTCGCGTCGGCACTTTCCTCAGCGGAGACGACTGCGTGGAGGCCACCATGAACGGGACGGAAGCGATCCAGCTGCCGATGATCTACGAAATGGACCTTGTACCGGCAAACATCACTGCAAGCGACGAATATTTTGATCTTCTAATATGGAATCCGTGTGCTGGCATGTGGCGATACGCTTTGAATCCGCTCATGTACAAGGAGGATGAATGGTACCTGCTGTCCAACGGCTCCATATTCCGACCTCTATCTGAAGAGCCGGAGGATCGTCTCCTCGACTATGACCAGTACTGTCTAGCGCGGGTGACAAAGTTTCCGGGTTATCTGGTATTCTTCTGTGAGGAAGCGTACGCGATCGAGGACGACAACAACGGCGGGGTCGTATATTCCTTCGGGATGCTCGCATCCGTCCCGTTCCTGGTCGCCACATATGTTGTCTACTGGTTACTGCCCGACCTGAGAAATTTGCATGGCCTGACATTGCGCGGATACGTCGGCTGCCTAGCGGTGGCGTACAGCATGCTGGGGGTGTTGCAACTGACGCCGCAGGAACGAATCCCAAACGGCATCTGCATCACATCCGGTATATCTATAAAATGATGCGACTTCTATTTAACTCATATTACTACAAAGAAAATTAATGCTAATTTGAGATTATTGCGCGGCGGAATTAATCTCTGATCGCACCAATTATCGCCTATATCGATTTCGTAAATTGTGATAATTTCCTTACTTTTATCATATATGTATTATGCATAGAACATTTTCTGTGAGGACCGCGTCAGACCGGATGAAACGTGGCTTTAGAAATCTTGTGAATTAATGAGAGATCTGCTTAGCGCAAATGCGTGACAACTTTCTAAATGCTCCCATAATATTTCTGCTTTTCTTATAAATGTTGATATTAATATTTAAAAAATTTATTTATATCATTTTTACAGTTTATTGTAATATATATAAATTGTTTATTACTCAACAAATGAGAAAGTCAGTATTCTGCTGCAATGATGTACAAAAAATGAATGTATAACTCATTCATCAATTCAGATCGTATAACTACGTAACTAATTATTTTCTTTATTTTGCTTCTATGCATGCCTTGTATATTTGCCTTGTATTTAATTTAGCTGCCTGCTTCTTCCATTCAATTAATATAGAAGATAAATATTGCACTAATTTAATACAGGATTTTTCAAATACTCTGCAAAATTTGAATATAAAGTGACGGAATTTACGTTCAGCTCGATTGGTTTCCATCATCTAATTATTTGAAAAATTACTCTTAGATCTTTAAAGATCTGGCTTTAAATCAAATTATACATAGAAAGTGGAGTGTGTAAAATAAAGTTTTCTCAGACATCAGTCGTAATGACTCATCTCGGTCGCTGCGAGGCGAAACCGGAAGCTCGTGCGTCTTAGGTCTAAGACCCGAGAGAACTAAAAGCCCTTAAAAAACTTATAAAAATAAATGCAAATGAACATTCACATCGTGCCGCATATTCTCCAAAACCATACGTTCCGGAAAGCAAACTACAAGATTTACCTCGTGAGTTTTTCCATGTTTCGCCCAGCTCATGTTTCATCATCCTTAGCCGAAGCAGGACCTGCTTTAACGAGGTGCCTTCTTTTTTTATCCTGGCATATACTTGTACGTTTGCTGCGAAACAGGTTCGTCCTTCGGACAAAAACGTCGCTGTCGCGGACAAATCGTGGCAGACTAACACTATCGCCGCGTATATCCTCGTTTCCGTAGTTCGCGATACCGTTGCGGTTGCTGGACATCTGAATACGAGAAGCTCTTTGTAAGGGAAAAGGCGGTTCAGTAAATTCAACGTGTCAACGGATTGACGATGCGTCGACATAATCACTTACTTTGGTGTTGCACACTTCTGTTCGTTGTCTGCTCTTCTAAGCCTCAGGGAAATTCCACGACGACGAGCGACGACGAGCGGAATTCCACAGTACGATATGGAATTCGTGCTGATGTTACCGCGAATCATAGCGACGATACCGAATTGATGCGGTATAAGTTGCCTGGTGAAAATTTCACCAGGAATAACGACGAGTCTCGCGCCAACTCCACGAGTGACGACTACGAGGATAATGATTTGGCGCGGTACGAGTTTCACGCACATTTCGCGAAGGATCACGAGGATCGCGACAATCAAATGTCGATGGAGCTTCGCGCGTATTCTACAAAGGCCGACGATAAGGACAATTCCACGTCGTGGAACGAACTCCGTGGAAACTTGACGGAAGTTGAAGGAACAAGCAACTTAACGTTGTACGAGCTCTCTGAAAAATTTTATGAGGACGATAATAAAAGAATCACCGTTCCTTACGAGATGTGCGAGAACATCACCTGCATTCCGCTCTGCTGCCCTCTCGGCAGCCGCTTAATCGAATCGAATCGGTCGATTGATGAGGAATGCGTTCCTGGAAAGTATTACTATCCTTTTCCGGATGTGTACGAGTACGCGACGTCGGAGTGGAGATCAATTGGCAAAAAGTTGGACCAATTTTTCTCGCTGACCGTACGTGATCCGTGCATAAACGGGCGCTACCCGCTTAATCCCGAAATGGATCCAAAGGACGAGTATGTGTTCCTCGTCAATGGCTCTCTGTATCAGCCAAATCTCAACGAGTTCGTCAATTCGTACTGTCTCGCTGTTTTGCAAGAGCATAACTCGTACGTGATAGCCGTTTGCTTCAAGGAGGACATAGTCGTTGACCAAAGACAAGAGAATAGCATACCCGTGGGTCTGTTGGTGTCCTTGCCATTCTTACTGGCGACATTCGTGGTTTACTCCGTACTACCGGAGCTCTGGAACATGCATGGCTACACGCTGCGTGGATACGTTGGTTCATTATTCGTCGCGTACACGTCCCTCGCGATAGTTCAGCTAACCCCGACAGCTCTAATACCGGATTCCGCCTGCATCGCAATTGGTACAGCATCTAATAAAATAAAGTGAACGCAGCGCATCTTATTAAACTTATTGTATATTTACGTGTCAATTATTCTCTCCCTCTTTATCAATTCGATAATTTGAATATAAAAAATTATTAAAATTTTAAAACGACAAATAGCTGGTAAAATTAAAATCTTGATATATAACTTGGAGATTTATTTGAAATATCTTTTTTTTCCTTTCACTCATGAATATTATGCTGATGTCATAATTTCGATAGTATTTAAATCGAAATTGAGATTTTAATTCAATATAATACATACAGTCTCAAGGTTTTTTTTTTATTACAAATTCCTGTGATACAGGAAGATAGAATAAACCTGTTTTTACGAAGACGAGAATTAAGCCTTATTCTTAGTATCTTGATACATGATTAATAGTTGTTTATTTCGACTGTTGCAGCCTTCATCATCCACTTCTCATTTTTGGCAAGCTTCTTCTGGCTAAACGTGATGTGCTTCGACATTTGGTGGACATTCGGGTAAGCTACCAAAATATTTATATTCTATTTTATCTGCAGACTAAATCGGTCTCTCACAAATAATCCCTGTAACATTTCTTGAATAAAAATGGAACAAAGGTATTTAGACTTGAATCTCGAAGATAATTATTCGGAAAAGCCATCTCATTTTTTATATACATATAATCGATTACATATTATTTTATATATATTTATAATTATAATTATGATCGAAGCATTAATTACGGTTTATCAAGGATAAAACGTTTTCAGAATAAGTTCTAGGTCAAAATAAGTTAATTGATTCGCCAAATATTTTCACAAGCGCCACTCGATCCGGCGCTTGTGGTAAAGAAATTTGATAATTGGCAAACACTAGGGGAAATTGATAGCGACAGGACGTGAATTAATATCCGGTACGTGACCGGCGTGCGTATGTGGTGCAAACACAGCCGAGTTAATTTTGATCTCCTTCGCGGTCGGACGTCGGTCCAAGAAGCCATTCGGACAAGCAATATTCGGTGAACGGAAAATGTCAATGGAGCATATCCTCGAACGTCGATATTCACGCGCTGCGTGAATATAAACGTCAAATATACTCATTTATCAAAAAAGATTTATTAATAAATATATACAATTCTATTAATGGAACGTTTCAACGTAGTATTTTTGAATGAAAATTAAGAAGAGATTGCGAAATATAAGGACATAAATCATCATTTGTATGTTGCGATGATCAATTTAATAGTCGTTTACAAATAATTGCAATATAAATTATACGTTTTTAGTCACGACACGCGATATACGCGCATCCTTTATTTCGTTCTTTCATTATGCGCGTTCGTGTGGAATGCTATAAAGTAATTTATTATCTCTCGCGTGTCAATGAAATTTCATGACGCGATATTGTCGTGTCGCTATTTACCATTCCCGCGCGGAGATGAACTGACCTGCCGTCGCCAAGCCCTACTTCACCCTACTACAAGGGTGTGACGACTGCCTGTGTACGCACATTGCCCGTTCTCTTGTAATCAATTACAAGAGTGTCGAGCGCGCGTGCAGTGGATCGTACTTGGAATCGGATTAATTTCCTTCTTTATTGCGTGCACGCATCATACGCGACATTATTGTCGGCTTCACACGCGTGCCCTTGCGAAAGCATGAATCATTCTTCGGCAATAGCATTTTACATGTGTTATGTAATTTTCATGAATTTTTAATTTAAATTCTTGTATATGATACTATCACCCATATCCATCTATTCCATTCTTCTCCATACATTCCATTTCTATAATTATTTCATATTTAAACTAAGCACATTGAACTGACTGAAAAGATTATCGATTTATGAAAAAGAACAGTTTATCATATATAAAAATGTTTATAGTTCAAAGAGATTACAATTTTTATTTATATAAAAATTAAATCATTCAAATTTAGTTGTACTCCAAAAAAAGCCTATTAAATTATGATTGAGTGCTGTGTAAGACATTTTTAAAACTTATCGAGACAATTTAATACTTCATAGATTTCAAACATTTCTAAATAATTTTTTGTTTATGTTTCTTAAATAAACACAGAAAATTAAATTCGAAATATTAATAATTTTTAATAGAAATTACGTACCGTAGTTATATCGCTTATACAGAATGTACTGAACGAAATGTAACAATCGGTCATATTTCCGAGAACCGCGACAATAGGCGATAGTTATTTTAATGTGCATTTGCATAGTGACCTGTTCTACTTGTTGCTGGCTCAATATGTAAATCGCATTTTGCAGAGGATTCCGTTCGTTACAAGGCAGTATGAAGCAACGAGAGAGAAAAAAATTCCTAATGTATTCAATTTACGCGTGGGGAAGCGCTTCCCTTCTCAGCATCATTTGTGCCATCATGGATTTCGTTCCCAGCGTGCCAAAGGAATTGATCCGACCGGAAATTGGTGAATCGAAATGCTGGTTTCACAGTAAGTGGATGTCTACTAATAGTTAACGATAGCGATGTTTCATTAAAATCATTTGGCCAAATCTGATAATTGTCAAAATTAGGCACTTTCAAAATGCGATATATGATGCGAGAAATTAATTTTCCGTTTTAGCGGACGAGGCGAGAGCGATATATTTTTACGGACCAATGAGTGTCACTGTTATCTGCAACATTTGCTTGTTTATCTCTACAGCACTAAAAATTGTGCGCCACAAAAAGGACACAGCTCATCATTTGAGAGGGTCGGAAAGTAGACGCCATGACGACAATAAGCAATGGTTTGTATATAAGCATTTTTGTATTGATACGTGATAATCATATTAATATGATATACGCCGATATATCCGTTTCCGAACGATTTTGCATAATGTCGATCGGTCCTCGTTCCCAACAAGATGATTATTTTTAGACGGCAACTTTCCCATGCGGCGGTTTGCTTTCATAATTACGAAATCTTTTGAAACAACAAACACATCGCCGCCGTTTCGAACGCGCGCGCACGAGATTCCTCGAGAGCGTCTGCGATTCTCGAAAAGAATGACAAACGATCGTGCGAATAAAATCAAAGTAGTTGTCCTTATTTCATAAAAAACGGAAATCACATTTCCTTCAAAATTTCTTAAGAAAAACTGGGCAACCTTCTTTCTTTTAGCTTAAAACTTGATAATTACGATTTTTCGAATATGTATATTCAGTAAATGTTGCTACTTTGGATGCTCTCGTCCGTACAGCACAATTCTTTGTTTTAATAATCCTAAATATAATCCTAAATTGTAGAAAATACAATTAAATGTATTTGCACATAGGTTCAATCTATATTTGAAGTTGTTCATCGTAATGGGTATAAACTGGTCCATGGAAATAATATCATGGCTATTCAAGACTGCGCCGGCGTACGTCTGGTATCTCACCGATCTGACAAACACCCTGCAAGGCCTCATCATCTTCATTATATTCGTATGGAAAGATAAGATCAAGCGGCTGCTGTTAAAGCGATTCGGTTGTCAGGATCGTGGTCTGTTCTCCAGAAATTCGACACGCAGCGGTTGCCATAGTTCAGCCTCACGCACATGCACTACTACATCAGCAGTAATGTCCCTGCAGGAGAAGGTCAATCCCTACGTACAAACAAATTGTCGCGCGAAGAGTTTATCCGACGAGGCTGATACTTAGTGTTGCAAAGCGAGAGAAAAATTCCATTATGAAACAGAAGTCGAAGAATTAATGGGTTAATGCATAATTTAATTCTCCACTCGAGGATTAATTTTGTATTATTTGCGTTGATCTCTTTGTTTGGAATACCGAAATTTATGGTTTCCATCTCTCTCTTTTTTATTCCTTTAAAAATGTACTTACAAGTTTTTTTTAATTTCTTTTTGCAGTCCAAAGAGGATTTAAAAAATTAATTAAATTACTCTGCATCTATATTGTCGTCCTCATTAAAATAATAAAAGCATATTGTATATCATGTACATTGACTGCCGTATGCTATAATTTTGTATAAATTTTATTTTAATATGTAAGGATTTGTTTATTATTATACACTATCGATAATGCTTCAGTAAAAAGGCTACGTATAATTTTTACTCTAATTTTAACTTCAACTGTAACACATTATTCGCGTACAACTATCTTACATTCTCTTTTTTTTATTAAATATTTATTTCCATTGACATTCGGTTTACATTTCCACCGCACGTATAAGTGTTAAATATCATGAAACGAATTCAAGAAAAAAAAATATATTGATATATGCATTTTTAAACACATTTATATAGATAGATGAAATGACTTTTAAGACGATATTTTATCGCACAACGAATGTGCGATGCAAATACTGACCTGTGTCAAATCAACCATACACTTTATCATATACATGTGATAGTATTACAATATGTATCTTAAAATTCCTTGATAGATTTTACATCAAGCATCTCCATATTTGATTTAAGATTCCGTTAATTTATTATAAAATGCATTTACCGATAAAGTTCCCTAGAATTGCATTTCACTTATCGTATTATATGTAGAATATCTTTACCGCTTCTATACGGTCACAGAATATATTCCTGTACAAGTGTCATCATGAACATTCGTCTAATATTTAATAATTGCATTTAATATGCACCTATAAAGTCAAAGTGTAGAAAATCAAATGGACAAAATTGCAACGCAAGGAGAATAAAAGCACAAAGTCTGTAATCATTCGAGGTCTGCAATTATTAGTTAATAAAGGCTTAATCTGTATTCATTACTATTACATGTATGTGTTTGTAATCGTCTACGTATACGATAATCAGACGAGAAAAAAAAATAAAAAGCATTACAACACGTATTTTTGCCCGCTTGTGTACGTGTCCCGCACTCCTTTCAATTACTATTTTTTCAATTACTGTCAGAATCTTACACAAGTTTATTTTACGCAAACATATCTTCTCGATCAGCTCCGACGCCGTCGCCGTCTTCCAAGCTTGAGAAATTGAGGAAATGAGCCGGCCGGTGCACCTCGTGATAGAACTCCTTTGGATTTGCCAATTGCAGCTCGTACTTCATGTTGGGATCGTGTCTCACGCCCATAAAGTTGTAATTCCACGAGCCTTGACTGGGCACCATGAAGAAGCCGAGGAAACGATCGGACAGAAGCATCTGTACCTTCTCGTAATGGCTGGGCAGATAACCCTTCGGATTGTTGCCTTTGTCGGTGTTCTGCTTACCCCACTCGAAACCACTCGGAGTCAACTTGTACGCTGTAAGAGAACAGGAGCCGGGAGTGAAACTGCAAGTGATGACTATGGTCTTCTCGCCGTCCCAGATCGAATTCTCCGCCATAATCCGGGCGTGAGTGGATATGTCCTGTGGCGAGAGTTGTGGCAGCTCGTTTGGCTGCGTGTGTATCCATCCGAGCGGCTCCATCTCTTTCAAATACTGATGGTTAGGTAGCGTACTTGGCAAATGAACCGTCTGATGAGTTCCCCATTGCGGCGCCATTACAATACATCTGATTTCTTTCACCTATATCACACGAAATTAGAGTAGATTATAAGTATAAAAATACAGCTAAAATTTTAATTTTAACATATAAAATTAAAAAAGTATTAAATATTTTAAATAGAAGTAATAAAATGATTTAGCAGTAATTACCTGAGGATTATCAGGTGGACTGATGCCATATAAATAGCCAGCTATCTGCGCTCGCAGATCGGAAATGGTGACAAATTTCTTCAATACATTCTTAGGCAAGATATAAGTGTAACCGGTCTCTTTGATATCATCGGATGAAACGTAGATGTGATTCGTTCTGAGATGGAGATTGGTTGCGGAAATAGCACGTACTCGCCACTCAGTCTTCGAGCTGAAAGTCTGCGTCTCATAATTGGACGTGGTCGCGGTAATGATTTCATCACCGTGTTTGTTTACTGTTCGCGTGGTTGTAGCGGTTAATTGGCTCTGTTCCTTGGTCTGCTTCTCAATCTCTGCGATCTGTTGCCGTTGCGCGGACGGAGCGCTTATCTCCATGCCTAGAATGATATCGCGGATCTCGGATTGCGTGAGCGACGCGACATTGACATTGTTCTTCTTGCCGTAGTCCGCTAGAATTAGATCCTTCAGCTGCACTTCCACTTTAATCCATTCGTCGTCCGTCAGTGATGGCCATATGTGATGCGGCTCGGTGATGGTAGTCTTGTCGGGCTTGAGAACGACTTTGGTTCTCTCGGTGTTGACGTGCAGAGCGCGCAGAATCAGGATCAGTCGTGAGAACGCAGTGTAAGACGAGATGGTCTTTAACCAGTCGTCATAAAGATTGAACAGTACCATCTGCGGTTCGGTCGCCTTTAAAATCAAATCACCAAACTTCTCCACTTTGAGACATGCCTGGAATGGTAACTGTAACTCGGATCCTTTGATGACTATGTTGGGAAAGTCCAGCAAGTGCACTTCCAGTGGATCTAACATTCCCTTTCTGGTGACGATAATCTGCTTCGGTTGCTCTTCCACTGGTAGAGAGCGAATCAGCGCAGCAACTTCCTCGGCGGTCTTCCACTTGGCCAGCTGACCCAGACGCTTTTGACCAGCCCAGACAGAGGTGTGAATAATCTTTAGAAAGAGTTGCCCCGTACGTGGATTAAAGATGAAGATCGCGCCGTTTATCGGCTTTGTCGTTAAATTGCCCTCAAAGGTTTTGTGGATAGTCACGCGATACACATTCGTGTCATCGACGAACCATATGATTTGATTGGAGAAGAGCTCGCCATAGTTTTGCGAGGAAAGGTAAGGCTCCGTCGGTTCGGACGAATACAACTGCAATGCCTTGCGGATGCGTTCTCGTAACACATACAAGGCCGGATTCGCCTTCATGATCTTCGCCATGGCTTGCTGTATGAGTGGTTTGCAACCGGGGAACCAATTGCCGTAGGCGCTGTGTAAATTGTACGCCAGATCGATGGCTATGAGAAGACCGGTGGGTGATGGATAGATGGACATGTTGTCCGTGGTATAGTCAAGGAATTTTGCACGAGCGTATCGTTCGATGTCATGCGAATCATAGTCGCCCCATCTCAATTGAACATCGATCCAATACTTCTGCGTGGTTGTGTTGTCCATCACGTCTTTGGAGTCAGCGAGAAGAGACGGCCGAGACACGTTCCACTTGTAGGCGGAGAACAGTAAAATGTCGGCGCACGAAGAGTTCATCTTGTAAGACTTTCGCGGATGTATCGTCTCCTTCTGCACGGTCTCGATTTCCAGCGCGTCCAACTCTTGATCGAACACCTGGCAGAGATCCATCACGATGGACTCGTGTACCTTTTGCCACAAGTGAGCGCGGAATATCTGGATCAACGAGATTTTCAAGGTCGGTATTTTTCCGTGCATGAATATCCCCGTCAGATCGAGCTGCACCTGGAAACCGACGTAAACGTTGGCGCGATTAATGGTAGGTGACCACCATAGAGTGAATCGACGATTGGGAATCTGGTTGAGACCGGAGCGTTGAGCGTTCGTCAGCTTCTTGTATTTCATAGATTCTTCAAAACCGGACGCCTTCTCCCAGAACAGACCCTCCCACGTGGGGAAGTAGGTGCCCTTGAAGAGAGTATGCTCCAGAATACCCTCGACACCGCCGAGCGCTTGTATCATGTCGGTTCGGTAATTGTTCAGATTCCACAGTTTACCGTCGTGACGCTGATGAGTCCACCAAAATGGATTCTGCTTCAACACCTGATATTGTTTGAATTCCGTGCGGATACGCCAGCCCTTGTCATAGGCCAGCGTGTGCCGGTCCTTCTGAAACAGCGTATTTATTCTAGGAATACCGCGATCCCAGCTATCTTCCAGGTCCTCCAAAGTGAGTCTACGATTCTGGGCGTTGGCCTCTTGCCGTTTCAGGGCGTATTCCGCCCAGACACGTTGAGAATCGATAAATTCTGATTCCCACGGCTGTATGTATCGGTACAAGTTCGGAATCAGTTGATCTTCATCGTGGCTCATACCCGAACGGAAGTGAGTGATGCCCACGTCGGTTTGCTTCGACCATCTCAAGTCTGATTGCGGTATTAACACGTGACCCATCGACAGCATTCCCAGGCCGCCCAATTCCTTGGGCGTGTAAAAGACGACGGGTGGAAAACGCGACGGCATTTTGGAATTCAGTCCGATCTTAATACGCGTCTGAATCTTATTTTCGCACTTGACTAGCAGATCCAGCAACTCTTGCGTGTTCACCACCGCCTCTCTGAAATAAGTCATTAAACCGATCAATGCAGTATTCCATTTATTCACAATTTTCGTGAAAGTAGTCGAACCCGAGGCCATCAAGATTTGTCTGACACGATTGTGGAAGCGCTGCAAGCTCTCGTCATCGACACGCAGGAAGCATTGCGCCGTTCTCTCTTTCGTGATTTCGTTCTGGAGATTCCAAACGCCATCTCGATGCGTAAATTCTTCGTGAGTTGTTCTGCATTTAGGCAGAATTCTGCATTCAAAACCACTCATATTAAATAACAGATTGGGATTGTCCTTGCTATAAACGCTGACAAAGCTGTTCTCCCATTGAATAGTGGTGGTCGAACGCGGTAGTCGATTCTTGATGTCCCAGAAAACGGCGCGACCCAGGTTCACATCGTGCTTCATAAGCCTCATACGGGCGTCTCGCGGCCAACACTTCTTATTATTGTAGCCGACAATATTCTCGTTATTCGGATCAGGATGCTCAGTGAGATAACGCTGGATAAGATCTCTCGCTTCATCGGCAGAGAAGCGTAGGAATAGATGTATCCTGTCAACGTAGCGACAGTACAATCGAATAGGATGCGCCGTTTCGGAGGCGACATCCTGGAACGTCAAGAAGTCGTTTGGCATTTGCGGCGGACCGGCCATCTCGCTGGCTCGTTGGAGACCTAGCACGAGCAGATCTAATACCAGTCCATAGTACTGGGCGATAAAAGATGCGAATTGCAGTCCCCTGATAATGCCGTAGCTGTTGGTGTGATTCATGTCCTTGTAATTAATGACCACGTTATTCTTCGCCGTCATGTAATCGGCGATATTATGATCGACTATCAGACGCAACAGCCTGTTGAGCAGCGTGAGATCGATCTTCTCGTACAGCTTCTCAAATTTCGACTCGAGCAATACATTGCACTCGCCTTCACTGACATCCCACACGTCCTGAAGATTGTTGATTCCTTGACACCACTTATAGACAAGGAGCGGCGGCGGTTCCGTGTCGGCCGGTTTCACCCAAGGTGGGAACAGCCGCCTCTTGTCCGCCTCATACCACAGATACTGATCAAGATAAGCATCGGTGATCTTTTCGAGTGGCTCCACATCGTACACAGGAATCAAGTGACTATAGAGATCCATGAATTCGATGCCAACCTCTTTGAAGGCTCTCTGCGTAAGCAAGTGTCTCTTGATCCTGGATAGTGCCTCGTGTGGATTGTCGTACGCTTGCTCTATTAATCCCAGTTCTTCCCGTTGACTTTGATTTAATCTAGATTTAACGCTATACGCTTCCTTCAGGCGTTCCAGAGCCAATATCAGCAGTTTTGTGTCGTGTTTGTAGGATAACGGCGGGAAAGGAATCGGAGCGAATCTTCGGGACTCTAGCCAATGCACCGAAGTAGTGAATATGGCTACGGCTTCTTCCGGCGATATGTACGGACCGTCCTTCAAGTAATTGTGCTGTCGTTCCTGCTCAGCTTTCAAATAGAGACGCGTCAAACGACCTAGGTTCTTCTTGCACACTGTTTTATCCACCGTGGCACCGCGTCGAATCCTCTCTCGATTGTAATGAGCCGTGTTCGTCCACCAGTCGGCTTTCATCTTGACGTAACG